CTGCAGTCACTTACTTTGCCACCTACTTGTCGTTTCTACTTCCCTTTATTTTAACTAAAAGTATATCAATAGTGGTAGTGGATAGGCAAAGAATCGACGCCATTGAAATGTGGTGTTGGCACCATATGTTGTAAACGTCTCGACCCTGGACCATTAAAACTAGACGATACGCAGCGCCTGTTTATAAACTGCTTGCAATCCATAACGCGATTGTTTGCTTATGATGCTTGATCAAAGGCAGAGATTATGATTATTTAAAGCATTAAGACAGGGAAAGTAGAAGGAAAAAGTCTTGGTGATTGATGTCTCAAGAACTGGGCAGATTAAGTATCCCAGGTACAATGGACAGAGTGAAAGCTGCAGACTAAAATAATCAGGGACAGTCACTCTTCTGTAGCTATGGAAACGACCCAGGGCAAACATACATTTACAATACATTCCGCTTTGCGCAAGAATATTCTGCATTCAATCTGACTCTCCCTCAGTCCCCAACGAGTACTAAAATGTCCCGCTTTTACAAACAAACGTTGAGAGACAGGAACAAGCGAGAACGAGTATATAATATGCGATTTTTAGTTTAAGTGAGGGTTAGATACCTCAATTATCTAAAGTCATATTTTAACCATTATTTGATTTTTTCTATTAAAATGGCATCTTACAGTGACTTACTCTTTTTAAATTTTTGTCTTATATACGATAGATATAGAAATAAAAAACAAATGGACACATAATATATTTTATTGTGATATACACATTTATAAACTGGATCAGACACATAAGTATAAACACATGTTGAAATATATCTATATGCTATATTAATTAACACTTGTTATTGTTAATAAACATGATTACAAACATATCGGAAACATGAAATAAGGGTTACCTTAATAAAAATAAGTTTAGTAGTTGTACTAAACTTATTTTTAGATTTGAGGCTTATTATTACTATAGGTAAAGGTTTTATACCTGAAAACGAAGTTATCATAGATAATATTGAATAAGTAGGCAAATTGCTAAAGATTACATTTATGTTATAAAAAATAAATGGATAAAAATACTTTAATTATGTACTATTATTTCTTGGCAATATCAAAAGGAGAAGGTGTTACAATTACCTACTTACATTTTTCTATTGGAATGAACTATAAGTATAAAAATATAACATGGAAAAATATTGGTTTCTCATCATTACACGACCATAAATATTTTGTCAAGGAAACTACGTCTTATATTATAGATCAATTCACCATAAACAGTCTTCCATTGTGTTATGTGTTTTGACGGTGTATGGGGTTCTCGTATTTTGAATGCGTATCGCGTTGCGCGTCGCGAAGAAAAATCTTTTGAACATCAATGGTAACAAATATGGTAACCCATATTCAATTAATACGGAAATAAAAACTTTAATGCAAAATGCCTCTACTGCTGAGCTTAATAGGTACATAAACCTTATAGGTACATGAGTATTTTGCGAGGTAATTGTTACTTCGCAAAATACAGACGTCAATAATGGCATAATGGTTTCCAAAGTAGATACATCTCGAATTAATATTTAGACTGAGTTATTGAGGAATGCAAAGCCCTTCCGCTATCAATTTGACCCTTATCCTCTTTTTGTCGCGATCCTTAGCGAAATCTCTCATCTTACTCTGAATATATGCATCATATATTTATTAGCAAAGTTAAAATATTTGTTCTAAGCTTAAATTCGGCTTTTCATTATATTATTACACATCAACTGCTGTGTTCAAAACAATTCTATTCAATTACAGTAGGTAAATGTGTTAGTTTTTGATTTTGCGTATTAATAAAATATTTTTAATTTCTATATAAAAAGACTTTTTATAATTTAATAACAGAACGGCTATTGTAATTAAAAATATCATAAAACTTCAAAAAAGAAAGAATTGAATACAAATAAACAATTGATAGTTTCAGAAAGGAATAAACAACATAATTTTATAACACGTGAAATATCATAACAAATTTAAAAAATCTCTATGAACAAGGAACGATTGTAAAATATAAGAATTAAAATTTAGTAAGAAATTTACATTTATAATCTTACTATAGGAATTAAATACTAAATACAAAAAGTTTACCCACAACTTCAATTAATATTTAAATAATAGTAATATCCCTTATTTGAGTTTAAAAATTGTATTACTTTTTATTATTAAATTACTATATAAATTAAGTATTGGCCGCTATATTTTTATTCAGTACTCAATATCTGTAGAGTTTTTATAATTTTTTTATTATTGTAAACCCAAATACAGAATATATGTTGTGTATAACTTGGTAAAACAGAGTATCTTACAACATGTTCCTTTCTCTGTTTCGTCATGGAATATACCTACTAGTTTTTGGTTAATCAAAGCTATTAGCCTTAACTCACAATCAGGTCATAATTAGGACGGAAGCATAAATACAATTTAAGCAAAACTTTATAATTCAAACAAAAAGTATAGAAACAAGACTGTTGATTTTTATACAAGTCATTATTATAAAGTTGTTTCGTGTGAATCAGTTCATATTATATCACAAAATAGTGTTAGGTGACAAATATTAATTGAATCATAAACAACACATTTACGGTAGGTCTTATCTATGCTCAAATAAAAATTATAGTATTAATTCAATAAACTATACAGGTAGATAGGTATATATCATTCAATCAAAATATGTCTCCTTGTAAGTGTGAAATGGTAGATTTTCACAAAATAGCAGTTAAAATGTACCATTCGTAGATTTTAATTAAGAAATAAAATTATTCTTAAAATTAAAGTAGTAACATTTATAAGCATCATTCTAATCAAAAACACTGAACTATATAGTGTGTACCTTATAAAAATAGAATAATAGATAACCACCGAAAGCAATAAATAACACATTGTTCCATATTATTTAATTGTTATAGTAACATTTCAAATGTTTTTTAGAGGCTGATTTGTATAAGGAATATACTGCCGTAAATATTCCGATAAAGGGTTGAGACATTCTTTTAATAATAGAATAAAAAATGCATCATAATCCGGATGGTTTTAATTAATTATATTTTTGTAAATTTATACAAGAGACACTGAGTGACTTTTTTTTTTTAAATATTTTTTAAAAACGTTAAAATATATAGCAATCAGGTTATTTGGTAAGATTTTTTTCCAGCATTTAAATGTAATTTTAAATTCGTTGATGTTCATAGAAAGTGAGATTTTAGCTCTGGATCTAGGCCCAGTAAGTTTGAACGTTACAATCTCCCTCACTGCACACACTTTGGTAATAAAATAATTTTAATTTATTTTTGTGTACGCCATGCGACTTAGTCCACGTTCCTTTTCCGAAAAATAAAAAAAACTGCATTAGTAGGTTCAATCGTATCCAGCATTATTGACAATATCACAACACCTTAAATGTCGACACAAAATGGCCGACAGTTAATTTTTATCCTCGCTAAGACATTGGAACACCAAGTGATTTAATCTATATAGTTGTGCGAAACTATTTATCTTTACACATTTTAAATTCACTCAAATGTCTAGTGTCCTTTTGAATAGTATTACTTCCACTTACTCCGTTAACCTATTAAAATGTACACGCAAAACCACATCAGTTTATAGCAAATACCTAATAAATTTTTAAACCTTAATATATTGAATTTCAGGTTCAGATTTTCAGATATTATATAGTTATCTGACGTACTTTTGTGTGCACAAGTACATCATATTATGCTATGAAATGCAAAAAAATGACAAAAGTCACTTTATAAAAAATAGGCTTATTAAAAATGTCCGTATCAAAGTAAGGTTACCGATATATAAAAATATCAAGTAGTTAAATATTTTATTTTTGTATTTAATAAAACTAAAAATGACGAGTCATTCTAGAATATCAGTTTTGATTTCGTATTTAGTTTTTCTTTTTTCAAAATTAAGTGTCCTCTTTTGTATTGTCACATTCAAGACCACGGTAAATTCATAGACATAGAGACATAGACTCTTCAAAAATATTTTTGGTTTTGTTCAACAATCACTCAGGCGTTATCTTTATGTGGTACGCCAATGATTTTCATAATTCCACCACTACGAAACCAAGTTATTTCAGGCATAATTTTATTGCTACTTTTAAGATTTAGCATTTTAATAGACGAAATAAATATAGTCCAATATAGGTTAAGCTTAAATCTATATTTGTGTATCTTATTTAATACGTAATGCATAAATACCATCAACTTTTTTAATATATTTTTTATGAAATGTTTTACTCTTTTTTTATGTCAATGTTCATAAAGCTCAACTTTACCATAATGTGGTTTTATCACAAACAGGGATAAAATAGGTACCAAAAATATCACATGAACATATAATTATTACTTTTTTTTATTATTGTTCATAGATCTTTTAAGGACTAGTGTTATAGAGGAACGCTACGGTTACATAATAGTAATCGTGAGCGTCGATAGATGGGGTTATATTATAATTTGGTGGTTAAAGGAAAAGTTCATATTCATTCATAATGGCATGTTTTCCGCATGTCTAATAATATTATGTATTCATGTTATACCTTAGAAAATTAATTCAGATAAATATTAAAAACAAAAGATGGGTAATATGGTATCTGACTAGCTAGGAAGCAGAGGACTGCTTCTAATTGCAATTTATATGCAATACCACAAGGTTTTTTATAATTATCAATTTTCTGATTTAATCAAATTATTAATCCAATAACATCAATAAACAGGAGTTCTATATGTAGTATATATTTGCTTTTGTACCCAAATTTTTTTACTAAGAGTGTGAAGAGCATACGACATTCAGTAATAACCAGTAAACATTAAGATTTTTACTAGATAAATAACACATATAACGTTTCAGGCAACAATATTATACTATGCCAGTTGCTATAATTAAGAGAATTAGCGCATATATTTACTCTCGTAAAATTTGTCACATAGTAGTGTTTTTTTTTTCTTATTTTGTTTTTTATTTATATTTATTTTGCTTAAACTATTAAAACATTACGTTGCAATATTGCGGTCTCACATATTAACCTTTTGGGACGCCGAGTTATTAAGATATCAGTATACTATGTTTGTTAGAAACTTTTTCCTGTCAAAATATTTAATGAATATGCTTCACAAATTCCATAGATCTCACTATAATTATCGGACATTTTGTGTAGATAATAGATTATATTGAATTTCAAAGAAATCGGTACATGTATCTTTAAAGAGGTTAAAAAAACTTGATAGAACAAATTATTTTAGCTGCATATTCAGAAAACCTTTTTAACCGTTGTAAAGGTTTTTTTATGTAAATTTTCTAACAAACACTATACTTTGATCTTTATTTAGTAAACGTAGAGGACGTACTCGCGCTCCCTCGATCATAACTCTTGGGTCTCACGAGCGGAACTCGCGCCGCGCTGAGGACTAGCCGAGTTCACTGCCTGATGCATAATGTGGACTCTTACATCACCTGTCGCCGTTTTATACTCCAACGCCCTCCTGTGTCTATTGTTGAACGAGCCAGTCAGGGTGCTCTTGCAGCAGCAGTAGTAAAACAGATGAGCAAAAGCGCGCCTGAAGTTCCTATTCATCGAACTGTAGAGAAAACTGCTGAAGATCGAACGGCAAACACCGAACCAGACGCAGTGGTAGAACTTAGAGTCGCTGGTGCCAGGATATTTGTGGACGATGATGAGGTAGGGCGTCCACATTATTATGTAAATTAGAAAGGCCGTAATATTCAAGCTGGTCGTGGAGAAATCCCTTTCGTATTGCTGGGACCGTTTGTAGTACACCTGTTCACGGGCGCGGCTCCTTATGCGGAAGTACGAGAATATGAGACCGAGAATGGTAAGTACACTAGGTATACCGTGAAATAATACCGATGTTGACACACGGTAGTAGAAATTCCCGAAGTGGCTTCTCTCGCAATAGTCGTAATCTAACCCCAGGAATACTCCCATTGCGGCCATTACAACTCCTATCACAAATACTGATATAGTTACTAGGCCGATGCGCATAGATATGAACATTTCGTATTCCGGTGTTGAACGACATAATCGATAGTAAGTTTCGGCTGACACGAGCTGCAAAAGAAGAGAACATAATAAAATCGTCCAATTATCATGGACGGCGTGAAGCTGATCATAAAAAATTTGGAGGCTGAGGACTCTTGAAATCATCAATACAGCGTTTTATAAATTGTCATTTAAACAACTAAAATTTATGTTTTATGAATGCCGTAGAACAAGGAATTATTAGATGCGCGCACGGCCGCATGTCACACTACACCTCCACCGTAACAGACCTCTGTTAGTAGGGAAGTTCTAGGTAAACGAAGCGCAATCTGTATAAAATCCACAATATATAGTCTGACGTGCAGCCGTTTGTACCATTAAGAGGATGTTTATCTAAATATGAAAAATAAAATAAACCTCTTCGGACTTAAATTAATAATAATAATATTCTTTATTGCACGCTAGACAGGACATAATACAGAGAAAATAGAAAAAAGAGAGAGATTACAAAGGGTGACCTTATTGCTACGTAGCAATCTCTTCCAGGCAACCCGAGAATTAGAGTCAAGAAATTAGGTCTTCTTAAGCAATAGCTGACTCTATATTATATCTGGAATCTAATCAATTTGATCTAGAAGGCTTAACACTGTTGTACTTTGGTCATTCTGGGGGTTTATCTATAGCCTACCCCTAGTGCCCAGATATTGTAGCTAAAAAAAATATCGTTGACGCGATATTTCATACTGCAAATGAAAGCTTACTGTTTGTTAGTATTTGGTGATTAAGACTGACTTAAAACTTGAGATTTTTTTGGTTATTGATATACCTAGATAAAGCTAAATAAAATTGAAGTTTTCGAATAAACTTACGAGAAAGAATAGACTGTAGCAGTACATAGCAGTCTCAGTGAGGAATTGCAGAGCGCGGCAAACTGGCAACGTGTCCCATTCTCCGGCTGATAGTAAAACTACAGCAGATACTGGCATTACTGCTGTAGTGACGATCAGGTCAGATAACCCAATGCAAGCCAGAAATACATTTCCTAACACATAAAATAAATAATGAATTTAGATGTTTCTAAACTCTAACCGTCTTATGAAATATGAAATTAGGTCTAATTTTAATACCAGATTTAAGCTATTATCCGAAGAAATAAGTCAACAGGTCCCAATGTGACTTTTTATCTACTCTCGCTAATAATTTACTTTAGGCGATCAATGATTTAATTCAAGAACTCACTAACTTTAGTATTCGTTTATATAATGTAAGAAATCGTGACAAAAATTTAAGAGCTTTCTAAAGCTTGATATTTCATTATGTTGAAGTACTAAGTGTGTAACATCATTCAGTCCCAGTGTGATAGTCAGGTGCTGGTGGCGGCGTGAAATAAACTTTGAGCGATTCCTAAATATGTTTATTCCAATAATAAAATGCAAAGTTTTGGACACTTATTTTTTCTAGTCACTAGTAGATAGTAGGTGAGAATACAAATTCCAGCGCTAGACTCCACTCGTCCTCTCGATATGCCCATGAATGTAATCCACAAAGTCGCATTTTGGTAATACAGTTTGTAACTTTCCTACAAAACCTGTACCTACATGAACTCAGTAGTTAGATTCTTTGGTCTACGGTGCATAGGCAAATTTATTCATTTACTCCAGTTCCTTAGGGGTCGTTGAGCCGTTGGTCGCAGCTGCATCTTTAGTCGTTAACACCTACCTAACTCTTCGATCCTCATCATCATCATCATCACCAGCCCTTTTACGTCCCCACTGCAGGGGCTCAGGCCTCCCTTATGGATGGTTAAGGAGGATGGGCCATGACCCTCTACGCTGGCCCAATGCGGATTGGAGGGTATTAACGACTGCAAATGCAGCCGGGACCAAGGGCTTAACGTGACTTCCGAAGCACGGAGTAGCTCGAGATAATAATTGGTCACCCATCCCGTGACTGACCCTTGCGAAAGTTGCTTGACGACAACGATCGCGGGCCGCGGCGCTTATCCACTACGCCACCGAGCTACTGAATTTGATTCTATCCATAGGAAAACCCTCTACAGTAGAAGCATTCATAGGCATTGACAATGATGACTATGAAAATCAACTTACCGATTCGTTTTAGCGTGTGCTCGACAAAGAATGCGGCAACAAAGAAACCGTTGATGGTGGTCCCGATACACGAACAGAAAACCATGAACAGCAGACGTCCCAGAGTCGGCCATTCGTAGCTCAGTGTCACCGGGGAGTAGACCCTGGTGACGTTCTGTGCCCCGTAGCTAATTCCCGCCCCATGCATGGGCGGAGCCGTATCTGTTGGAAACACGTGCTTTTTACTGAAGTGTATTGAAACTGATTGAAGATCACGGTAGTCTTTCAATTATGTCAATAGATGGAGCTGTGTTTTTTTTTGTGCTTTTAGCAAAATATTTACTAGCATTCCGCTTGAGGCATCACCATCATTTAATTTTCTTTAGGACTTTAAAATCCTTTCTCAGCGTACCGTTATGTTATAATATAAGTGTGCCTTCCAGTTCGAGCCTGCCTGCTATAGTAGTCTGTTAAACAGTCTCGAAATCGACGTCTTCGTAACTGTGAAAGCATAGATTCAATTAAATAAAACCTTTGTTACTTTTTAAAGTAGGTTTTATGTAATTGCACCTCTATGCTGCCACACCGCTACGCGTGACGTTGGATTCGAGGTTGTTTTTGTAATAGAATATCTCTGTAGTGTTTTGAGCTGTATGCAATTAGACAGTCGCCTTTGCTTTTTAAAAACATCATAAATAGGTGAATCAAATTAAACTCTAGCGCCATATCATTACAGTTAATACTAATAAAATCGCGATGACCCATTCATTTTCATTCGCAAAGGCCAATGAAATAATAATAATTTATTTCTTAACAAAAACTGAGATTTACAAACTTAGACAGCAATTAAATTGGAAACTATATAATTTGCACGTTATCATTACTTGAACGTTATATTTTAATAGTACTGTAAAAAGTTTGCAATACATATTTAGTCACCCTGGATTCCACGCTAGGATACCCTGTGTGGTGAGATCCAGTTCCATCACAGAACTGATTCTCAGAATTCTCACAAACTCCAATTCATAACCCTGATGTTTAAAATAAATATATAATTTAATAATATAATATGCATGGAGTATATATGTAAACATATACATAAAATCAATAAAAAAAAATATAAATTTATATTAATATAATTTTAATATTATAAATGTGAAAGTTTCTTTGTTTGGATGTTTAGATATTTGGATGTTTGTCCGTCAATCACACCGAAACTACTGAACTGATTTTGATGAAATTTGGAATCCAGATAGGGTATTAGCTGAATTAGATAATAGGATACTTTTTATCCCACTAAACATTTCCCTAGGGTCCACGCGGGCGAAGCCGCTGGCGAAAGCTAGTTTATATATAAAGGTCACTACTACTTGTTTTATCAATTTAATTTAAACCGGTTATATCATCACATGCAATATTTCATCAATTTCTTGGTAACTTTTAGGTTGTAGCTATTGATAAACAAATCACCTAGGAATATAGAGTACTTGTAATCTAGTAAGATTATTGTTGAATGGTAGAATTCTTATTAAGAGTGTATAAAGCAAATTGCTTATACCCATTTTATTGAAAATAAAGTCCAAATAATTATGAAACTAATAAAGAAAAAAGAAATTTATGAAACTGAAAGAGAAAACTATATCCGCAGCTTTTGAAAGGAAAGCTCAAATGAAAATAAACTGCACAAAAAATAAATGCAAAGACGCTTCTTGTTAATTCCGGTTTGTTTCTTCTGTGCAGTCGCGTCATCGTTTGAAACACGTCTGAAGTCCCGTGTTAAATCCCTGTCGGTAAAATGTAGAAAATCAACGTTTCTGTATTGTCTTGGGCTTATTTATTTATGATTACTATATTGTGGGTATTTCTTCTTTTATATTGTATTTAATTTATTAATTATTTCAAAGTAAAAGTTAAAAAAAAAACTTAAATAAAATAAACTAATTATATGTATTGTTAGTGTAAAAATGCCAAAAAAAAACACTTTCTCCCTGGCACACTGAAACGGGATTCGAACCCATGATCTTTCGCAATCCGTGCGATTGCTCTCAGCTACCCACTGCCACCGAGCTACCCAGAGCCTAATAGGACTGACGAATTTTTCAAGCACTTATTACTTTTTCGCTACTACAGAGCGTATTTTCACAAATGTTCAGGAAATCCACCCAAACAGCCTAAAGAAACGTTTTTAAAAATAATTAAACTTTCGATAAAGAATGAAAATTTGTTCTTTACAGCATTGTGAATGCAGATTTAATCAAATATAACTGTTGTAAATACTTTTGATTCATCCATTTTTTTGCATACTACAATTGCTTACCTTGTAACAACAACTAAATCAATTATAACTAGCATCAGAACAACTAGTTATGCCTGTAGTTCATGTGTATTGGAACTAAGTTGTTTCCCAAGGATTTTGCAGGAACTCTCAATGATAGTCGTATTAAAGTTCGCGACAATATATAGAGCCAGATGCAGTAATTATATACCATAAACTACATGAGGTCGTTTCTGTCACGCTGTCACGGAGTTCGAAAGTTACACTTATAATTAAGTGTGGCACTTGACGCTGATACAAGGAAGGTATTTATAGTGACACTCTAGGACAGGGTCCACAAAATTATTTCGTCTACTGCCCACTTTGGGAAAAAAATATTTCTTAGCGCCTTATTTAAAAACCAGCATAACTTCAAATTAAATTAATAATTGTACATTAATTCTTAACGAAACTTACTATAACCCACAAACTAGCTGATTAATACAGGAACCCACAAATCAGGTAATTTAACAATAACTCGATTTGGTTACGGGCGACCGTCCGTAATATCTCAAAACAGACCTGTTATCCACTAAAATTACATATCTAGGAATAGTAGTAACCAGATGATATGATTTTTATTTTATTTTTTCAATAGAGCGGGACAGATTTATATGAAAAACACGGAGAGAAAAGGATTCTAACAGAGTTAGTTTGAGTAATCTCTTAATTATTATAAATCGAAGTTCCCTAATTGTAGTCGAGAATCGTAACTTCACAGGCTGAGCTTACAAATCGCCCCCTAAGCCTGTAGAGGGTCGAGAATTCGAGATACAACGCCCCCATTTTTCTTGTCCTCTAAACAATGTCCACATGGTTATGTGGACATTGCAGGCTCTAGAAATAATGTTTATTTACCCGAACTTTGTATTGTAAAGGAAAAAAAAAAAGATTCATTGCTATGCCTAATAACAAAACCGAATACATTATATTCATACTCATAACCATTTCAATGGGTTATTTAATTAGAAAGTTATAAAAGTTAAGTTGCCATCAACTGTAATGTACCTATACGATTCTATAAAGATCTATAAAAAGATATCAAACTAGTTAACTATGAAAATAGTTTTACACTAAAAACCAATCAAACATAAATTAATATTTATAATCATCAGCTTATTAATGTTCCCAATGTTGAGGGAAAGATTTTTCCCATGTTCGAAATAGAAATAACAGGGAGAAATAATATTTTTATTTACACAGAACTATCGCTGCTTGAGTTTACCATTTTTATATCTCTTTTATTTTAACTGGCCTGTAAAGGTTCTGCTTTCAGTTTCCAAAATGTTTATCAGCCTCAATCACTATTGCTAAGATTGTGAAACTATCTGTTGTGTAGCTGGACCCTTTGAGTTCCACATCATGCATTCTAGATGTTCAGATTTTGTTGTCTCAGCAGAAGATATCAGACATTAGACACAATATTTTTTGCCAGAGTGCCTTTTAGAGATTTTTATAACTCTTATAGCTGGTATTGTTAAACAAACAATATACTGACATTTGAGATTTATTATATATATGTAATATGCATAGATCATTCGATAAAAAATAATAGAGTGTCCAGCTGATGAATTAGGATATGAACACGTTTTTCGGTCGGTAGAATTGTTTTGTAGAAAAGACACTGAGCCCTTTTATAAATATGCACGTACAACACACTCGCACTGTAGTACATTTGGTACATAGTGATTTTGCAGTTACATTTGTCATTTTTAAAAAAAGGATAATAAATTTGTGATTGAAAATTATGAAATTTTTATTCCTTAAGATTAACACAGTTAACTTAAAGCTATTTTAAAGTTTTTTGGTTTATAAAAAGATTTGTTTCTATATCTGAGCAATGATATTGCGTCTCTACGAACTATACTATTATCGTTTCTTTAGACCAGTTACAACTAATCCAGAAGGTTCAAAAAAGGTTCCAACGCGCCTATTATGAAAAAAAACTTACTCTGCATTTTTGACTTTAATTAAAATATTAACAAAGCTTTTTATTTTTTGGACAAATCGAAAATGACTTCCTAATTAATATTTATATATACTTAAATATAATTATTTAATATCAGATTGCTATTATTAATTTAATGTAAAGAGCAGATCTCATGGAGTTAAGTATGTCATTTCTATTTAATGGGCAAATAGTAAATATCAACTCTGGAGTTTTAATTTTTTGAAATAGTTTCAAAGTGATTTGTTTTGAACAAATACAGAATATATTTCGCTTTGCAATTTAAAATCACATCAATAAAGATAAAACAAGGTACTTTTAAATATAAAAAGATAAATGCTCATGTTTTTCGAATTAAATTTTTTTTATTTGCTGCTTACTAATTCGCATATGCCATAATTAGTTATAAGTAATACCTACACAAAAAGCTTATCTTATTTATACAATATCTTATTTATTTGCATTAATTAAATTAATTTATACAAATCAATGGCGGAAATGTACTTCATAATGATTGTACCTAATTTTTTGTTGTTGTTTTGTTCCTATTAAGGCAGGGTATATAATTTAAAATTAATTACGGAAAGATGATATATCAAAAGTATGTCTTTTTATATCGTTATATTACTTAAAAATGGCCTTTACTATGAACATCAATAGAATCTATGACTTACAAACTAAATGTGAGTGTTATATAGTTGATTTCCAATTTTTTCCATAAATTTACCAGTGGAAAGCCATGGCAAACAGCCAGTATTTTATATATATATAAATATTTTTTTTTAATGGAGAAGACGTGATGATGAAGCTCCATGTTTTAACTTCATTAATTCGAAATATTTTAATTAAATCGTAAAAGTTATTCTAAAAATAAGATTAACCAACTTTCGTAGCGGCCGGTCATTGGATGGGTGATCAAAAATGTAGAACCTCGAGCTATTCCTAGCTTCGGAAAAAAGATACGTTAAGCTTTTGGTCCTGGCCGTTAACACCCGAATTGGTCCCGTTGATATTATCAAAAAAATTACGAGCTACCAGCAAGCATAGAGGAATAGTGTAAAAAGACCGAAATTAGACTCATTCTCTAAATATTTTACCATTCTAATAAAATAAATTCACTGTGAAAGGTTAAGGAAAATGTTTATAGTCTTGGTGTATTTTAAAAACAGTTTTTTTTTTAATATAAATAAAATGCTTACCCTATCCTCCACAATTGTGCGCCTTCGTCGGCTTCCCAGTGTCCTTATCAATGCATGCGCCAGAGCAGTTCAACGCCACAAGCACTGAAAGAAGAAACAATGTGATTAAATGCATATTTGCGCGCTTTTTTAAATTCGGAATCCTCGGGAAAAGATCAGACGATGTTATTTTTTTTTTGTCAGAGACAATATTTGAGGATACAGTATCCTAGATATTTTCAGGACACAAGTTGTTCGCTGCCGATGTGAAAACAGACTGAGTGAGTGCACTATGCACCCGTATGATATACTGAGATAAACTAACTGAGCCAACGCAAGGTCAAGGTCAGGGTCGAACAGGACCGAACTCTTTGAACACAGACAGATTCGCATCTAACTTCTTGGCTATGCGGATAATAAACTAAAATAAAAACTCAATTACGTAATTAACTAATCTAAAGAATTTGTATCGATTTCAAGAACGATATATATTTGATATAAAAGTTAAGATATAGATGAAAGTTTCAGACGCGCGTGGTTTTATGGTTCGATTGTTTTAAACAAAACTCTAAATAAATCAAAAGTTTATAGTGTGTTTTTGTAACTATGACGCATTTTGCTAGCCAGATGTCCGGTGTATGTCCATCGTCAAACAAACGAACGATTAATGTGAAAATAGTTACTGAATTCATCGTTCACGACTCATAAAATAGTCTTCAATTGACTTTAGTTTATATTTTACATACGCCGGCGAAATCATCTGCAGTTTTACATCAAATCAATTTAAAAAAAAAATACTATTATGAAATTATTTCTATGCGTTTTTGCATACTAGAATATTTGGATTTTATTAATATTTATTATTCATCGACAAGTTGCTTTCTATTTTAAATACGTACTTGATAAACTTTAGCAAAAGAAATGTTTTTATAAAAAAAGTTTTTAACCGCGTATTTACGTCAACAGTTATTACTTTACGGTGAATGAAAAATATATAAAAATAATATAATATAACAGGTTATTTAGTAACATATAAGTGTTCTATTAAAACAAAAACAGTTATTTATTTATCACTAATTGAGTAGTATTTCAATATTGTTGCAAAACTGTCGAAGTACTAATAAATTATTTTATATTGTACTTACTTTGAGATGGAGGTATGTTATAGAAAATAACAACATTTATACAATGTAAACGGCAGTCACTTAGTCACATTTGATAAAATTATCTTAGCAAATGTACAACAATTTAAAAAAATATCAAAATTTGTCTAAAACACCACGATAAAATATTACAAAACACTACTACTTTTGATAAAATAGCCGTAAAAATTGTGCGTAACTTTTCAAGTTATCATGTGTAAGTTAAAGCTACCTCCTTTTGTTGATAAAATTATAGTGGTATATAAATAAATAAAATGTAGCGTTATATTTTTTGGTAAAATCCGTTCTGTTGCTAGGTGTGGTAAGCGGTCGGGAAGGGTAGAACGAAGCTGCGCTATAGCCTTAAAATTAGTCACTGCGCAGGGTGAAGCACGAATTTCGCGTTATTAAGCGGGTTGGTTTTGGTTATATGATGATGTCACATTTCAACTCTTATATCTATATTACACATAAAATGATATCAATTGACATCCTCAAGACGCTTACGTCTACTGACGGGCGCTTTGACGGCGTCTGTGTTCCCAACTCCCTGTTAGCGCAAATTTATACTGACGAATATTACTTATATATATACCTATATATATGTTGTGATCTATCCGATCTCGAGTTTCGGAGCATTCGCTATTACAGAGATCCCAGATTCGACTCCATGTAGAAAAGTAACCTTCTACGTTTTATTTATTAGATTAATTAATTAATTTTGTCAAATGTTACACTAACTTTAAATAGAATTAAAAGAAAGAATACGTACCTACACATTAAATAAGTTTCAGTTGGTTCTGTGCAGAGAAATAATATTGTAATAAGCTGTTATTCCAATCATTAAAATAATATACGTAAAGTTCTGTCACAGTCAATAATGTGTACTTAGGGCTTTCCGGCAGGGGCTTCGTCCGCGTGGTCCTATGTAACACATATAAATTTTGAATCACTCTGTATAATAATGATAACCGCATTAAATTCTGTTGTTATTTAAATGATTGCATCGTACAGAAAGCGAGAAGTGACTTTGAGAGATAATCTACGTTTTTTTTTATCTTTTAGCGTTTTTGTTGTAACTGGTCCCTTTGTCATAAAATAAATATGCGAGTCTCTTGTAACTGAGACAAGTATGTAATAGTTTGATAGTTTGATTGTAATAGTTCACTTTTGTAATAGTTTGCGAGTAATTAATTGAATATTTATTGTACTCGTAATGTAATAGTTTATGAGTAATTAATAAAACCATGTTGCCGCGTAAATCGCCACCCTCGATCACTGTCTATCACATTACCGGACACAATGAGAGAAATAGTCACTGTTTTTTGACTTTGCGTCCTAAAGCTCCCAAAGTCTATTTATCTAATTTGTTCATTTATTACCCTTTCTGTCGCCTCATTGTTTAATTTTTAAAATCTATCACACTCCCTTTAAAGATAAAGGGATTGTGATAGTCTTTAATGGAATAACGTATCGTTTAAAGTCGGTATCGCTTACGAAACAAATGATGATTTCCATATAACGTCAAATTAACGGCATCGTTCATTGAATATTTTTGAAAAAACAATTCTGTCGCAATCTTTATGACATGTATTCTTAGTGTGTATATGTGGGTGTGTACTAGGAGAATATAAAAAATTAGAAAACATAGGAGGTAAGTAGTATGACATTACTCCTGGTAAGGTCATTAACCTAAAATAGTGTTGTGACATAGCACACTCGATGTTTTTATTAGTTATTAAAAATTAGCCTTTTTACTGAAAGTTAAAAGTTAATGCAAAGGTTTTGAAAATTTTGCAGAGTACTGTTTATATGATATACTTCAATACTCTTCAGCTATAACAGGTATTTTTGTAACACCCGGTATAGGTAGTTATTATAGCGTGAAGTTCGTGAATATCATTTAAATGTCAAATTGAAAGGGTTTATTAATATTTTTTTAATTAGACTATTAGACCTTGGGGCCCTTAATGTCGGTACATGAAACCAAAATACTATCAAGTTTCACTATCAAGTCTTAATTTTTTCCTTTTTTGTTATGTCTATGGAAGTTGAATATTCATATACCTATTCTTTTTTAGAACACACGAAATAAAGATTTGCAATTGTCTATATTCGATTTACAATTGTAAAAAGATCGGTTGTGTAGTGAATAAGCGCCGTTTCCCGTGATCATTGTTGTTAAGCAACTTTCGCAAAGGTTGCTGACGGGATGGGTGACCAAAAAATTATTATTAAGCGGAGCGTTAAGGCCCAACCTCTACCTTTACATACAAGGAAGGCCTGAGCCCCTGCGGTGGGGACGTAAAGGAGCTGATGATGATGATCTGCAATGCTAGTCTGATAAAGAGGTTTAATCAAATTGAAACCATTTCAAAAATTAATAAAGGGTCTAATTTGATATCTAAAACTTACTACGACGCTGTTCCTCGTTGTATTTGTACAGAATAGCAAATCCAAAATGTTACCATTAAAAAAAAAAATTGCGTAAGCGTTAGTCAAAATTCATATTATTACTATTTTCGAAATGTTATTACGAGTCGAAAGAAACTTAATTTTCATTAATTTATGATGATACGTGGGTAAACTTAACATCGCCTCTGATGCAGATAATATTCACGCATAGGATGTAAACAAAATTATAAGAAATATTCTAAATTTTCCGGATTTTAATTCGAGGACCAATAGAATCTTCATGTGTCACGTTAAAAAGAAAGTATGTTTTTTAGTTTTCTTAGTATCCAATGTTATCAATATGAGTTTAACTAAGTCCAATCTTAGTATGAATTAACACGGACGTCAAAACTTTTTTTTATTAAAACACTGAAAAATACCATCTTTAAATTATTCTCTCTATTTATTCTGCAATACGAGCTTCGAACAGAATTTAATAAACTAGACCTCCACCACTAAGGACGAATTCCGAGAAACTTGTACAGATACTAACCCTGAACGAACTGAGAATTGTATAGGTACACAAAGCAGCACGTTGATTTACCAGAATATGTAAAACTTACGCAAATTAATTTTGAACTGTGCCATAACTTAAATTATTTGTTCAATTACAATTATCTAGGTATACTAATAATAAAGAGGTCGAGTTTCTAGCTTAGTTTTGTTTGTAGGGGGTTATAATCTTCGAAAATACTGTGGGATAATTTTAAAATATTTCACAATCATTATTAAAGCTATAGTAAATTTTGGGATTTACATCTATACTAATATTATAAAGCTTAAGATTTTGTTTGTTTGTTTGAACGCGTTAATCTCAGGAACTACTGGTTCGAATTCAGAATAAATTATTTTTGTGTTGAATAGACTATTTATCGAGAAAGGCTTTGGGCTATATAACATCACATTGCAACTATTAGGAGCGAAGAAATAATGGAAAACGCGGACGAAGTCGCTGACGGCCACTAGTAATTAATAACTTTGAAAGTTCTAACTGTGCTTATTCAAAGCTTTCAGTTAAAGGCTTTCATTTTAAGCGTTCAAAACAGCCTACTTTACTTGTGCAAGGTTCTATGCCTAATCCTCAAAGCAACATGACGGTCAGCTTGTTCTTACTTTCTTAATTCAGCATTTTCAGAGATTTAGGTGCGTAATGCTTAATTAAGTTTTGCTAACGGATATTTGACTCTAACGAAAATTACCACTTTGGAGCTTTTCGAATGGTTAACTAAATCGAGAAACGGTCAATCCACACCCTTATATTTTTAAAAGAGCTGTCCAACGACCCCACGCTATAGAAAGCTATATTAAGTTTATTTTTCTAGATATTATTTTACCACTTTGTCAGCGAGATTAAAATGTATACTAATTCTAAATTACACCTATCTAAAACAAATCGTTAATAAACTAAACCACAGATCGACGGATGAACAGACGGATATAACGAAATTGTAAGGGTTCCTTGTTGAGTACGGAACCAAAAAATCTAAAATGGAAGCAACAAAAAAAAGATATTGAACAAACATTGAAAACTAAAAACACAGTAGCATCATTTAACGAAAACAGCTTATTGTACTGTAACATTTTATTTTTTCACCTATTAAACAATCAATCAATTCCCCATTAAATTATGTTGTTGAAAACGAAAGCACCTTTGTTTGATATGAATCGAGAAAAAAAATATAAAGACTACAACCATAATAAAAATCAAAATCCCGTTTTTAAGGTATAGTAAGTAGTTCATCTAGTAATCAGTAATGACAGCTAAATGTAACATTTAAGTTTTTGCCCGATTAACAATTCCAAATTAAATTATGTTATTGCAAAACCGTAAAATTGAAAACAATTTTTTTTTTATAAAAATCGCAAAATAAAAACAAATGTTACAAAACATAAAAATGAAGCTTATTAGGGTCAGCTAAATTTAATATTTAATTATTTCGTTCTATCGATAATTCTCCATTAAATTGTTATTGGAAGAATCGCAATATTTAAAAAAGAAAGCTACTTTGTTTGATAAAAATCGGAAAAAAGTAAAGACTATAAACATAACAAACAAAATCCTATTTTAAAACTACAGTTGTATCATCTAGTAATCAGCTAAATGTAACATTTTCGTGTACTTAAGTAACATAACATATAAGTAACATTTGCATTTAATATTAGCGACAATAATTGTGCCGATTTGAATTATTCAAAACATTTTTTAATAACCAACTTAAATCATTTAACAACGGATTTGGAAAAGCTTGGCATAGAATGTAATTAAAATGACAAATTGAATTTGTAAGCAATGTATATGATAACGATTTAATACCCTATACGAACTTTCACTCCCATTTTCAACTCTTTATATGCTTTTTTCGGGATATATATTTATAGCCATATGCTGACGCTGACTTTTTTAGAACCTATATAGGCGATTAATTTCGTACTAAAAGCACTGAAAATTAAAATATTCTCAACAAACAAATAAACTCTTCAGAATTAGTATAGATATGCTTTTGCCGACACAATAAGATACAAAAACATGTTTATGAGTAGTCTACGAACGAATTCCACTAATTATTCTTGTTTTGCGTCTTCCAAGTCGACTGTGAATATATATTTAATCAAGACAAGTTTACGGCAATTATAATAAAAACATTTTTTTACTCATGTCATGCGAGTGGATGGATATACATTATTCTATGGGATATACTGAGTGGATGAAATTATATCATAAGTGAAGATTGTTGAAATCTTGGCTGCATAGGATTACCTTTTGCCTTAAAAATACCAAGAAGCGTAGCGATGTACTTTAAGAACAAAATGGGAACAAGAATGACTGTTTTATTGTATAAGTAACGAATCCTTAATCTGTGGTATAAGAGTAACGATAACGATAATACGACTACCCAACTGAAGTTGGTCAATAAAATGAAGTTTATTACGTTTATTTATTTCTTCCTCTCATGACTTCTTTTTCTCTCGCTCAGATTTAGATTTTTTTTAGAGAAGACGGTGCTCTATTACATTATCACTATGCAATGTGCAGTTTTTTATAGGCGGAATTTGGAGATAGGTTGTTCGGTCGTAGTTGAATGGTCGCCACGCCCACCCGACCAAATCCCGACTTTTATTTGTGGGGTTTCGTATACATTAGCAATCCAGATCGTGTGTGTCTTTTAAAACAGCGTATAATGAGGAAGTATTTAAAAAAAAGTATTTAAACTAGATGGCGACTCCAGCAAAAGAAGATTTTTGCAGGAAAGAATGAAACGAACTTTCCTCCTAAAGGTGTTGATTTAATACGATAATCGTATTATACTTAGCGCTTAACACTGTTAATTATGTAACTGTTAAGTTGTTATTAAATTACAGTGTTAACGCGCTAGAACCAAAACTGCCCGCGACCGACCAGTCAGTTAACTTTAATGGTAATGTACGCGTTAATGATATATAACCCCGCGTGAGACCGAAATACGCTTTTTATTACATGGCGTTTTAATTAGCATGTTATTAACCTACCTGAGTATCAACGCGTTAATGCTTATAGCGTTTTCGTTTGTATTATAAGTTAGCCAGCCAAGTCGTGGTCTGTCTCCTGTCATGTCATGTCACCACGTCAATTTTGATTATGTCAACTGTTGTGTCAAAAAGCAAAAATTTTAGTGTGATGGAGCGCGTAGAGTTTAGATATTGTTTTTTCGTTGTTTAAAACTACATATTGTTAAAGGTTTTGAATTAAAATGATCTTAAATGTAAGTGAAAAAAATGTTTAAAATGAATTCAACTCCTGTGTCACAGTAGATATTCTAAAACACTCTTTGACAATTTATTTTATCCGGTGAGTGTTGATCTAAATTATGTTAACCTTGATATATAAATTTGTAATTTGGCGCTACAATTGATTTATCGTTCAAGACCGGGGCATATTATTTGATTACCTTAACGATCTATAATAGATATCTGTCGCGACCTATTTCTGTGATGTTTAGCTTATTATAGTGCCACTGAGCTTTTTTATTATTTTGTGCGAATATTTAATTAGAAAGAAAGAAATATCTCATTCCGAGTTTATTTCAGTCTCGGGTTTTTGCTAGCCACCTATGAATTTTAAGAAGTGAAAGTTAAAAATTAGAGTCAATAAGCCATTTTGAATTTAATAAATATATTGAATTGGCTCAAGTACCTAGGCCAAAAATTAAATGGTAAGATAATCTAATACTATTTTGGCCAAGAGACCTCTTTTTAATACACTTAATGGTTTTGTTTTTCCAAAATACCATCACTAGTTTTTTCTTATTCATACAATATTTAAAAACTTTGAGCTTGATAAGTTACTGAACTTTTTATTGTGTTTCATTAAAATTAATCAGTAAATTGATATCTATTATTATGGAATATAATTTATGAAAAACCCGATAACTAAACATCCTTCTGTATATATTTCAGAGTAACCAGACTTTAAAGTCCAGTATGATGGAAGAAACAATTGTTAATGGCATTGCCAATATATTGAGCACCATAACAATATTGTCATGTTTGTTCCTCAAGGTGCCACAGATTCTGTATATACGTGAGAAACAGTCCGCTGAAGGTATTTACGTGCAAGCTATGATAATGGAAATAACTGGGTAATTATTGTTTTTGGTACTTAAATATTCCGTGCTTACTCTGCATGTTTACTAATATGTGAAAGGGATAGCAGTAATGACATTGGAAAATATGAACTGAATTTGTTCTTAAGATATATTATAATTCCATATTTATTAGCCGGTGCAAGTGTGACAAAATTAATTAATATCCTTAATAGATTATTTGTGAACTGTACAATTTTGGATGTCATATTAAAATGTTATGATGTTTGGCAACTGATGAAACCAATCTTCTGTTATATAGGCACAGATCTTTATAATGTCAAGACTTGTGCAATATAGAAATGTATAGATTTCAAACATAGCTAAATGAGATGTGTGTAAAAATTTTACTTCTCTTTGTCTGACATGCAAAGAATCTAATTAACAGAATATCTTAAGAGTTATTATCCATCAGAGCTTGACAAAAGTTAGGTTGCAGTTGAAACTAATGTAAACAGCATTAGAAAAGAATAATGCACATTGTGATTGATAAAACATTAAATTATTTGTCACCATTGTGGCAGCATTATTTGCATTTTGCATATTATAAATAAGTCACATGATTTGTTTACTTTTTTGACATGTTTGAATATTAATTATAAAGAAAAATACTTATAACAGAAATTGTTAGTGTTGTTTGTTTTTTTCCCATTATCACTCTTCTCTCAACACCGTTTTTAATTATTTGACATAAAAGAATATTGTCTTAAGATAAGGATAAAAAATGTACACAGTCACCCGACGATGTTGACATTAGTATTTTTAGAAAGCTAACACATTTTCGTATCTTTTCCTTCTTCAGTCCATGTTGGCATGTTTGTTATTATATAGATTATTAAAATATTGTGTAAAAATGATTTTCACATTAGGATTTGTAAACTTTTAAATAATTATTGGATTTGCAATGAATATTTGGTTAGTATTTGGTATCCTGCCTATTTGGCTACTTTTGTTATATTCCGCCGAATACTGAAGATATCCATCTTATTCAGCCAAATACTGAATACTTAATTATATTTTGTTGTAATGAGATAATTGGTAAAATGAAAGAAATTATTGATTAATTTAATAATAATATTATTTTCATATTCTTATAATTATGAATAATTACAACAGATGGCGATTTTTATTCATCTGAATTGTTGTCATAATCAAAGTTTAGAAGCGGGAAGTTATGGTATAGAAAGGTAAATTGGTAAAAAAGTAATTTTTCACAAATTCTCTTCAACAAACAAATCAAAACGTAGGGCGAACTATAAAATGTAATTACGATATGCATGAGCTAACTTGTCAAACCATGCAGTGCATGGGTGGCTCAGGGTGAGAGGGTGGTGAGTACTACAACAAATAAGCGCGAGACAATTACATCAATACAAGTTTTGGCGCCACATGCCGAATAATTATGCCTACTAATAGGGTACCTATTAGGAAGCTCAATTAATATCAGTACTCGGCATATGGTCGAATATACTATATGTTGCAAATCTAATAATTATACAAATAGAGGTTTTTAAATAATAACAAAAGCCAAAGTGTAAAGACTTTGCAAAATTATTGTTAAGGTCATGTAGTGCGGTTAGTGGAGACACTTTTCGTTCTTTAAACTCCCTTGCAGTGCTCACTATTCACTGTACTATGACATCAGAATTGGTTTCTTGTCTGTAAATGCTTTAAAAGTTTATTATTATTTGGTTTTAATTTTTAACATTATTATAGAAATAAGTATGACTGGCAGAGAATACCCCAGCATTAAGTCCATCTTTGTACATTTGTGCATTAAGAGTCAAATAAATAAATATCATTGTCATTTTATTTTGTTACAGATTCTCCATAACGACGTTGTACAATTACACAAATGGATATAGTTTGATGACATATCTAGAGTATCCTATCATCTTACTCCAAGTGTACATGTTGATGTATTATGTGCTTCTATACAAGGGCATTATACAACAGCCTTTAGTTTTAATGACCACCATAACTTACTGGGCTCTGGTAGTCGGTTTTGTTATTGAATTTTTACCAAAGGTTATTCTCGCGTATTTAATAGTAAGTATATTTGATGATTTTATATGTTTTAAATTCATTGTTTCAAATTCAGTCTCTAGGCTGTTAATATTACTTGTGAAAGTCATCAGTTCGTGAATCTATGGAGGGGAACCTTCTTGGCAGTATAATCAGCAAGAAACTCTGCAAGTGCTGCTTTTGTCTATCTGTTTTATTTAAAACTGCATATTTTCTTATGACTTCGCCCGCCTAAATTATAGTCTATGTCTCACGTGTATGATGCAGCTTCCCGTAATAGAAAGAGATTATTAAAAAAAAAAACAAATCTTTCAAATATACGCTACTATCGTTTTCACGGTGATTTACTACGCACATGGCCAATATTTTGTTGCTCTTCACGCCCCACGTTGGGCGCCAGCTTGAAATGTAAGAAAGGACTGATTTTTTATTTATAATCACTAGTTTGTGTATTGTGTATTTTTGTATAAAAACTCATAAAGCTTACCCAATACTGGGCCATAATCTTATATCTTATTTACCTTACTTTATAATGCCATTACATGTCATTTTTTATTGCATGTTGTTGTTTCATAAAACAGAACAGAAGTTTTAGTATTTTTAAATATGCAGCTTTTTTATTATGTTGTGTAAACTGATGAAACGAACTGATAAACCGACATTACGAAATGGTATTGTAAATAACTTTTATAATCATAGACATAAAAAGATAGAACCGTCTCAAAAACTGGTGGCGGTGCAAAATTCTCTTCTGTAAGCAGCTTTGCGCTTATTGTTTCAGCCCTTCTGCACCCCCCTGAGTGGTTTTGCCAAAGTCACCTACATCTACGGTATTATTCGTGCTGGGAACGCCGACGCTGTTTCGCTTACTACTTGGATCATATCGGTGGCTACAAACCTTGGTAAGATTACCGCAAATTTACCGAAATTATTTCTCTTAGTTTTTGTTTCGTTTGTGTTAAAATGAATTTCGACCGACAGAATTATTGACAGTATTTTAAAAATATTCTTTATGTGTAAGAGGTCATGTAAAAATTTACATTTTCCGCAAATTAGATTTGGACCAAATTTCAAGATTCTAAGACAAGTAGCATATCCTCTACGCCACCGAGCGTACTACATTATTAATATCTTTAATTTAAATTTCATATAGAATAATAATCATTGTAAATAACCCCTTTTGGAGATACCATTATAAATAAAAAGAAATAGATTGTGATTATTAAAAGTAATTTAATTTTATATGACTGTACGAGTCATATCAGTCATTATTGTATTAGTTTTTAGCCATAAACATATGAATGATATATACTTATATGTTATATATAAATATAACGGCGGGTAGTCCGAAGGGTTCTATTACGAAGCCCAAATAGATCGTCCATATCGGAGGACTATCTTTAAAATAACACTGCAGGCGTGTATACCAACGTGGATTTGTTCCATTTTATCACTTTTCACACGAAAATATAACGAGATGAGTGTGATGTCGTCAGATGTCTTTACTCCTCGGCGATCGGAAACAGAATGAGTGCCAAAAATGGCGGCAATTAGCTTTTGTTAACGAACTGTCAAAGTCAGTGTCACCATTCTAATAAAATTAGAAGTATTGATGATCACGCTCTCTCTACAATCGAGTAATTAAGTAATCGAGTAACTAGCAATTAAAAAAAAGTTACTAAATCAAGTGATCTTCGTAAAGATGATGCGACATATATATATATTGGTTATGGTAAGTAGATAATTTTAAATATCAATTTCCCTTTTTTCCAGCTCGCGTTTTCACCGTATACGTTGACTCTGCCGACGCTAAATTGATGGCTAACTTTTATATATCCACGTTGCTTAGTACTGGGGTGTTGTTGACCGCATTGTACTACCAACGTAACCGCACACCACCACCAATTAAATGTCGACGAAGGATATCTTCTCATCGGCGGTATAGTCGTAATGATTAAATATCGCCTTCAAAGTCGAGTGGCATTACAACATTTGCCCCAAATCGCCTACAAAGGCGAGTGGCATATTTGCCCTACTTACAATATTTGCCCCAAATATTTTGAGATGGGACTCGATCCCACGGCCTTTCGCAATCCGGGCGACTGCTCTAACCCAGTGGTTAGAGTTCAGAAACTACTCAGGACCTAACAGGACTGACAAACGTTTGAAGCGTTATTTTTCGCTACTAGTAAGTGTATTTTCATCAATTTTAAGGCAATCTGTTAGGTTGTAAGTAGCTCAGTGGTTAGAGCAGTCGTTCGAATCGCAAAAGGTCGTGGGTTCGAGTTGGGGCTGATGCTTAAAAAAATCATCAGACCCAGGTGGAATTTTTTTAAAAGTATTGTTCATTAAGAATTTTGAATGTAAACTTGATTATAATTAAATTATAATGATAAATTTCTAATACTTATACTTCACTTTTAGGTATATATTAAATTGTAAAATCACTAGTATAATTTTACCAGATTAGGTATAATGATCTCAGCGATGTTTAGGACTGACACATCAATCAATCGATATTTGTAGTGTACTCCCGGCAATTAAAGCCCACATTGTAATAAGGCCTGCTTTTGAACTTATTAAAATACTTCTACTCCTGTTTAAAACTGTATGGTGTTATGCATGTACGAGTAAAACTTGAACAGGAATAGAACTGTATTAGCAAAAAAATTCAAAGGTGGGCCTTATTAACAATGACAAATTTAAAATATCTTTATTGAAATAAATTCATTAAAACCAATTTTAAATCGTCCAACAACGTGCTGATGATACCTTAGTATATGCAAAATTTTAAATAGTAAGTACTATTGACGTGATATGATAGCGGTAAATAGAAGTCGTAGTTGCACTACAAAATTATTAAAACACCCTTAGGGTGATATTAAACGGTATATTGTCTTATTGCGGAAAACCGCCATTTTCAGAATATCTTCTTAGACCACACGTCTAAATTTATAGAAAATTACTATCGACGCAGCTGCTAAACCCTAGTTTCAAACTGTTATTTACGTAGAAGTGACAAGAGCAGTAATAATTTATTGAATTATGAAGACAAAAAATCTCGATTAACCGAGTACCGTTCATTTGAATGGTGTGCTGCAGTTTAATAACCGTCCGTGTACTACCTGCCTTAAGCAGCGTTGCAAAACATTACCTATATAAAATTGACATTTATCAAGGCTTAAAGGTGCCATTAAACCTTAATTTACATTTGTGCAACTGGTCGTTAGGCATTCATCCAACAAAGACCAGAATGTGAATGTATTTATAACACGATCAAGATTACTTCAGATATAGATCTCATTCGAGTTAAAGAGATACGCATTAATTAGTTTGAAATATGACTATTTAATTACATAGTTTAAAATAAATAGCGGTACATTCATAGCAATGTGGTGTATCAATCGCGATAATGGTTGAACATAATATGATTTATAATTAGTCTCCTGTCAATAGCCGTAGGATATAAAATATAATGCACAAGTATTCAGTCTGTAGCCGTATGTCTGCGCACGCACAGATAAGATCTACCGATTCCGGCGATGAGCAATTCTCATTCAAAACGGGGGTATCAAACACAAAATTATAGGCCATATTTATATACAGGCGAAATTTAGAATGTCGCACTCCCGGTGCGACACTGTCACTTATGCAAAAATTTAGTTTTTCAGGAGAAGAGTTTTAAACTCTGCCACCTTACAAAACAATGACTTTAGAAGATACAGATGAGATAAATCATACGGAACATAGTTCTGTATGATTCATCTACAAAAGTAACATTATCGCACCAAGTAAAGGGGGCTTTAGGACAATTATTACATATTTAACTAATTTTTGAATTTTTTGTAAAAGTGACAGTGTCGCACCGAGGGTGCGATGTGTAAACGGAGGAGGTTCAAATGAAAAGAAAACATATCGATTTGTTAGATATTAGAAATGCATAGATAATTAGCCTCGTACTCTTCGTGCGCTACTCCTGATAAAATTATAAAGTGTGCGAATTTCTAAGCTTCCGTAGCGGTTTCGAGTGCAGAATCTTATACATAATTAAACCAAGATTTTTTTCTGTGATCGACTTTCGTATTGATAATAAGTGCGGGTCGTGACTTTTTGATACGACTGACCTAAATTGTATAATACATAGCGTTAGGTGTCTATTTCACTTACGGTTAATTGCACAAACGTCGATTAAAGATTAGTGACGCCTTTAAGCTCTAATGAATGTCAAATTTGTATGGGTAATGTAGCCCTTAACTAATGATAATTTTAATGGAAATTTTTGTGCAACTGACTGTTTACTTCGGTGGGAATCAGGCGCGTGGATGTTGGTTGGCGTGATACTTGCATCATTCTGATTGGCTGACATTTGCCGCGTTTCGAAATTTAGCCTTCTGCGCAGGTACATCAATGAGCTACATCAGTTGTACGTTATTTCATAATATATTATTATTATTACTAGTATTAGTATACTTTGTTTATTTATTACTATTTATTTGTCTGAAACACCCAGTTCCACAAACGTCCGTTAAAATCATTAGTTTAAAGTGAAATTACCGACCTAAATTCCAATTTTTTTAATTTATAACAATCGTTAGAGCGTAAAATCGTCATTAAACCTTAATGGACGTTTGTGCAACTTGGTGTTAAAAAAATCGATAGGGTTGGTGAAGTTTGGTAAAGTCGGCCAAAAATATAGCAATAAAAAGACATTGAGTATTGCTTACTATGTCAGAGATCTAATCCAGACATAATTGAGCGCCTATACTGTGTTAAAAAAAGCAACTTTAGCGATAATTAGTTCTCACAGAAATCTTTCTCAAAATAAATGTCCGCTTACTTTGCCGACCGTATCATTTACAATTGAAATACAATATATATATATATGTAACTGTGAATGTTTTCCTAACTTTCTAGTCGTATGATAATCGAAGAAAAGACATTAGCGTAATATATAGAAAAAAATATTTAGTTAATTTATTTTGTTAAGTATTTAATGGGCCCATTGTGTATTATAGTTTTTAAGAAAATTCTTATACGTGGTGACTACAAAAGGCACCTTGGACTGGCGATTTTTAGAAGCGTTCTTATATATATGTTGACACTTTCAAAATACCGATTAAAAAAAATTAAGCCTCTTCTGTATTTATTGTTGGCCAGCTGTTTTCCCGTGGCTTTGCCCTCATAAATTCATCTGTATATAATGTAGCTACCCGTCGGTGAAAGAACTTTTAAAACCGGTCCTTTAATTTCGGATCCTACTTGATGCAAATAAATAATCAAAACTCTCAAACTCTTTAGAGCATTTCTTGTGTTAAGCTAAATATATAGATAGCTTAAAATGCATTATTGAATTAAAAAATATATAAATTTAAAAACTAAGACACTATCAACATTTTTTATTATTTTGAAACCCACCGCGACACCCAGTTTGGTTTATGGATGAACTTTATTTTCCACCAGTATAAATGGAATTAATTAATGGTATCATGAAAAAATATTATAATGTAGGTACTATAATGTAAAATAAACGAATTAATATGACGAAAAGTAAGTGCGAATTACTTTTGAAGGTGGGCGAAATTCTGATGGAAGATCATCCGTTGAGTAAGGTCATGTATTTGTGTAAGTTCTGACGTTCAGCGATGGACGATACGCGACGCATCTTCCACCAGATATGTACCGACCCCAAATTTGTATTACAACGCCATCTATTGTGATTTTTACGAACTAAATTAATGTTTGGTTTATCTGTATGTGATTAAATCTCACAAATAGATTTATTTACCTTTAGTATTATTAAAACCAGTTTTGTCAGATTATGTTCAAATAATTTGTAAGACAAATGCAGTCCAAAATTATCAGTATAAACGTCGATTTTCTTAAATATGTCAAAACGGTGAAATTTTGTTTGTGTCATTTATCAAATTAAAAAGTTATTGTTTGCTAGTCAAAATAAAACGATAACATTTCAGGTGAATTTTAGTATCGTTCTTTACGTATTATCCTTAATAGATAAGTATGTAAATCATTTAACAAGATCAATTAACTAGTCGAAAAGTTTCGAACTATAAATAAAATTGTTATCTTGACTGTTCTGTATTATTTAATGTATTTTATGTGCCAAAATTCTTGTTAATTTATTTAAAGCTAATATTGTTGTAATGATGTATTTACTATTTAATGAAATAAATAAATAATCTTACAATTTGATGGAACTATTTTTTTACTTCCAAAAAAATTCTTCTTAAATACTCGGGCCCTATAGTCCTATCCTATTCCTTAAGTGCAAACAAGGCAAGTCTATACACAGATATACACAGACAGTAGAGGTCCGTTAGGCATATCCATAGACTTGCGCGCGGGCATGATCGGGTCGAGATTTATTTCGTTAATTATTGGATCCCAAACCGGTGGTATGTTCCAAGTTTCGTTTCTTTTGAAATTATGATAAGAAATCAGTACATATAAACAAACCTGTTTATCAACAAAAGGTTTCATTGCTTTATTAGGAAACATATTCATTGTGGAATTTCAAAGTCCCAAAGCCGTGTACATAATTATATGTGTATACTGTAATAATAGGAAATAAAATATCACTGAATGTTATTCCTGGCTAAAGTTAAGTTATTGAATAATTTCACTTGAATAGATTAGGTAGCCAGTGTAACATTACTGTGACGTAATTACGGTAGGTACCTTCTTATGTTTTGGGTAGGTATTAACTTTTAAAATTCAGTTTCTAATCAAGGTTAGTTATAAAATTCTAGTGAACCAATAGAGAATTCAAATTCAATATCATTTTTAGTTTAGGTGGTTATAAGCGCTTGTGAATGTCAAAGGCAAAGTATGCCATCGGTTCGCAAATCTGAGAAAATACGGAGAAGAACCAGCAAGTATATTTACAACAAGATCTGCCTTTTTTGTGTGTCGGTGCATGTCATTGGAATTATTTTAACGTTTTTAATTTTTGTTAAATGACTTTAAAATCGAAATGGTGTGGTTACATGTTCGGTGGCAATGTTTTTTTAGGGTTCCGTATCCAAAGGGTAAAACGGGAGCCCTATTATTAATACTTCGCTGTCTGTCTATATGTCCGTCTGTCACCAGGCTGTATCTCATGAGCAGCTAATGTATTTCAGATGCCGCTATCGGTGTGGTTATATGTTTGGTAGCAATGTTTTTTTAGGGTTCCGTATCCAAAGGGTAAAACGGGAGCCCTATTACTAATACTTCGCTGTCTGTCTATATGTTCGTCTGTCACCAGGCTGTATCTCATGAGCAGCTAATGTATTTCAGATGCCGCTGTAACAACAAATACAAAAAATAGAATAAACTAAATATATATGGGAGCTTCCATACAACAAACGTGATATTTTTGCTATCACCAGATTGTATTACATGAACCGTGATAGTTAGTTAGTTGACATTTTCACAGATCTTGTATTTCTCTTGCGGTTGTAACAAAAAATACAATAAATTAATTGTCGAAGAGTTCTCCCACAACAAATATGATTCACTTTGCTCGTAATCGGTATGGAACCCTTCGTGCACGAGTTCGACTCTCACTTGGCCAGTTTTTTAGGTATCTATGTTCACTTATTTTTCTGCCAGTTGTTGATTGAGAAAAATACCAAATCTAAACTGATTATTAGCTTAGGCTTAGGCGTTTTACGTTTCCTTCATCGCCCACATTAAGTTTCATTACCAATTGGCATATATAGAACGTCCAACCTGCATCAGTTGGTTCACGATCCCCACAACACCTCGGAGAAAGTCATTAAATATACCATTTAGTATTTGATATCAATATCACGAAAAAGCATAGATATTTTTTTAAATAGAACCGATTTAAAATTTTAAAGCGACTTATTCAAGAAACTGCTGTATGTACCAATAATTTTTGATAAAACTTGTTTAAACCAATCACATTTGCATGAGGCTATAATAAAAGTCGTAAATTGTTATCACAATTGCTTTTTATAACAGGCTCTATACGCTTTATAGATGACGTTAAATAATCTTGAACTCTGTAGGTAACTACTTATTACATATAAAATAATTATTATCTAAGACTTCTTTTTCAAAATAAACCACGGGCAGACCCTCATGAACTTGATCATGTTTCCTACTGAAAAATGTCCTTAGGTGTACAGTTTAACTTATATATTTGAATTCGCTCTAATTCTAATAGGTATTATTAATGTACATATTTGTACTCAAATACATAAACATTTATTTAGAGGCGTAACTACTTACTTATATACCTTAATTTATTTTATGTACGCACGGCCGCACGTCAGTCAGTAGGGAAGTCGGTACAAAGTCCACAATGTATACTTTGACCTGCAGCCGTGTGTAGGCTGAGAGTTAAAGTGGTAGGGAAAGGAGCAGGCAAGTTGGAAGGCCTAACTTCGTGTAGTACTAAAAAAAATTTACTTGGTTTCAGTGTTTTATATATGTTATTCATGAAAGGTAAGTAAATAATGAAAATAATAATTATCAATAACTATAATCTAGTCAAAAATGATATAACTCGTAAAATATAACCTTGAAAAATTGAGGACAAAATGAAAAGGTCAAAGGGCAGTGTGGAATATTTCACACAGTTATTATTTTATTTTTATTTCAATTTTTGCCATTTATACTTAAGAAACCAACATCTTCAAGATTAATGTATTCATCCTCAATACGACGGACATCGTAACCAGAAGACTGGTATTCTGTGGGCGATTCTTCGTTTGTTTTTTGGGAAACTGTAAGTTTATTATTTCTTTAAATTTATTTTTTTTGCTTTATTTTTGTCATGACAATAGTATTTTGTTGTTCGTATTGTTAGCACTTTAATTTTTTTTATTCCTTCTATTTTGCCCTCAACAAAATCTGTACAACTTGGCCTTGCATTATTATTATTTGAACATATTACTTAACTATTATTTAGCATTGGTTACATCCATTATTTTGTGTTAGATATGTACTTATTTTAAGCAATAAAATCATAGAAATGTGATGTTTTTGTAATATTTTTCTTTAAAATATTCGCACTAGTTTGCCGTCTATAAATCAAACTGAGCTTCGTGTCTGTGTGTACAGCACACGTGATAGATCACATATTTTGTCAATTTTCATTTTGGCTTTCATTCCCCTACCATGTCTAAGGATCAATAGGATTAATACAATTCTTTTTAACCTGAATAAAATGAAAAACGTAATTAAATAGAATTTATTGTTAATTGATTTTTAAATAATATGTTTATGTTAAAATTAATCTACAGTGTCATCACTTTTCAGTTGTTGAAATTTTTGTAAAATTTTTTGTACTGGCGATAGATTTACATATCCCGATGATTGAATCGTAAGTAACTTCGAGCGGGCTTTTCGTGGCGAACTTACTTGTCTTTTACTTTTCAATAAATGGCTTTGTTTAGCGGAACGAATTCTTTTTGTCATTAATAATTGTGAGCACAAAAACCTAGGCGACCTAGCATCAAGCGTTGAGGACGATAACTTAGAACGATCTGATATATCGGATCCATGTTTAGGAGAACTTGTATAGCAAACATCAGATCTAAATATTTTATGTAATTGTTCAGTATCTGTACTCTTTACCTCAGGCAAAGCTGGCAGCCCTTCAGGTTCACTAGATGTAATATTTTCATCTAAGTTTTCATGTCCCAAGTTTTGTTCTTGCAACAAACCTTGTGGTTCTTGTGCGGCAAAACTAAACTTACTAGTTAACTGCTGAGCTTTGCGTCTCGCTCTAGCTTTAGCTAATTTTGCAGCTGTCTTGCAACCGATAAGGTGTAAATTAGCGTCAATGAATTTACATACAGATTCCGCCTCTTCTTCTGGAGATAAATGGGCGTCTCGAAAAAAGCCATATCCATTGCGCAGATCGTGTATAGCCTCAATCACTAGCCATAAAATCGTGGCTAGTACAAGGGTTACTGTTGTTAAGACAGCAACTATTGTTGTCATATCTGGTTCAAATAATTTGTATTTTATTTTACCAAGTACTCCGTAAGTTATTATATTACGAGTGTGCTTAATTGAATGAGATCGACATGTATAAAAACCTCTGAGTTCATTATCAGCCGTAGCAACTAATCTCAAAACTTTGCCATCATCCACTGAACGTATTTTCTTATCTTTGAGTGTACTTGTCACTGCAGTATCTAAAAAAAGCCAATGTGCAGAATGAGGGGTTGTTAGGCTTCTAGTATGAAGACATGTTAGATTTAAACTGTTGGAGTTTCCCCAAGCAGTTTCGTGATAAGAACCAGATACGCTAGCTGTTCTTGATGACACCTGAACTTTGTCTTCAATGTACCTTTCTATGTTACAGCTATGTAAATCCTGTAATATTCCATCTATACTTAAAGAAGCAATACAGCCATTAAAAGGAGTCAAATCGTTTGGTATTTTTTTCTTTATTTCACCAGGTATACCGCCTACGAAAAATTCATCGTTGCAGATGCCATAGACAGGATTTTCGTGTTTTGTGGTATTATCGTGCAATATAAATGGTTTCCCAGGTTGATGTTGAATTTTCATATTACCAGATATTTGCCGCTTTCTATCATTTGGAATTTCAAATAAGACATGAAGACGTTCTCCAGAGTTTACAATGGCTTCGATTGTGTTAGTTCCCTTTTCTTTAGAAAGTTGGATATCGAGCCATTGATCCAGAGATATATCGGAGGAGCTGCTAGTTTCTGTATGTAAGTCACCCATTGTTAATTTCAATTTCAATCTCAAATTTTGTAGAGCCAGGTACACCCAATTTCCGTTTTTATTATCTTCCAAAAATAATATTGTACCCGAATCGAGTTTAGATTTTACTGTTAATCGCAATTTCCAAACATCAGGAGAGTTAAAACACGGTAGCCGCAAATATTGTCCGTTATCCAAATTCAAAAAGGCTTCTTCTATATTCGCTTTTTCATATGCAACGTTAGAAACAATATTCGGAGAAAAGTCTGATATTTTACGCTTCCCTTTATTGATCACCATACTCAAAGGAATAAAATTCAGCATCATCTCTTGAATTTCTCCATGCAATCTTTCTCCTATATAAATATGAACTATATCATTAGGTAACTCTGGATCGCACGGAAATATGCTTCTGATTGCAATGTGCGAATCATCTAACCGTACAGTTGCGGCGTCACTGGTAACCGTAATTAAGACAGAGTGCCAAGTTGCTGGTTCTATAACTTCGGTTGTACAAACTCGAGGCAAATCGCATGAATGGGATAAACCACTAACGTCTAAACAAATATGCCATTTTTGTAAACTCAATCGAACCAGCGGATTATGGATATTCCCTCTTCGAACCAAAGTTCCGTGGGGAGAAAGAGGCATAAATCTGATATAGAAATGAAAAAGAGTAGAACGTTTATTTTCAAAATTGTAGTGTATGTGTGACTCTCCGCTTAAGACTGCTACTTTATGTGAGAAAACATCACAAGCTGAAAGCTGACAAGAACTTACTTCTGTTCTAGGCCCTACACAATTGACAGCTGTCGGGCCAGCAGGTACTGGTCTCGTACATGATCTAGTTCGAGATCTTCTCCCAGGTCCACAAGTTTGGGAGCAAGGACCCCATGCGCTCCAGCCTGACCATCCTCCATTTAGCACACAAACCCGATTTTTGCACATTTCTACCTGATCATGTTGTCCACGACAGTTTGTTCCCCAAGTCAAAAGCGAATTTTCTTTATTTACATCGTTGCAAGTTCGTTTACGGCGTTTCACTCCAGTACCACACTTTTCAGAACAAGCACTCCATTGTCCCCATTCACTCCAGTGCCCAATTTTTTCTTCATATGAATCCAATTGATCTAAAGCACACTGATCACCCTCGCAATCTTGAGTTTGTAAGGGGGTGCCCAAACATACTAAATGAGCGTCTGAAGGTGGTGGATTGTCACATCGTCTTAGTCTCCAGCGAAGTCCCCGTCCACATCTGGCACCGCATACTGACCAAGAACCCCAAGTTCCCCATTCCCCAACCGTAGGACAGCCCAAGTTGTGTTTAACGCATTGTATAGCATTCCATAACGTTTCAGCATTTATTTTCCAAGTATTATCAGTAGTCAAGGCTGCTTCGATTCCTTCAAATGGACATTCCATTTGAAGACATTGTTCCATTAATGCTGGAACTACTTCAAGTTGTAGTAATGCACGTTTTCTGACCACATCGTCTTCAACGAGTTTACGGAAATCATCAACAGTGCAATTATTTAAGTAGCACGCTTCAATTTGCTCGGCTAATCCAGTGCAAGGTATTCCATCCTGCGATGGTGGTGGATTGTTACATAGTCTTCGTCTCCTGCGGTGTCCAATATCGTCACAGGATCCATGGCATGAAGACCACGCTTCCCATGGCGACCAGCCGCCATCTACGGGACAGTCTGAGTCTGCAATAACACCTAGCTCGCACTCAAGCCTCCAAACGGTTTGTTGACGTTTGCTCTTTGGTTTCATAGCATAGATTATATCGACACTTATTGCAAATAATATATTAACGAAGAGCGTAAACTTATTCATTATTTCATTATCAAATTAACTGACGAATTAATATTCTGTTATACTCTCTGTGTCCAAAACAAAGAGTAAAGAATGAGTAAAGTTTCGTTAAAAAAATACAGTCCAAAAAAATATAGTAGAGTCCAAAGAGTATTGCTTCAATCAACAATACAACGAAGATGTTCTGTTACATACCATGATTAATTACATTATTAGGTAGGTATATTATATCCAAGATATCAAATAAGAATATACACAACTTATATATATCTCTATTGTTTATTCTCTCTTGTTTACACATACATAGACTTGACATAAATATTGTTACGTATAAAATCTTTTTTTAATTGGACGTAACCTTTATTACTATTACAGATTATCATATAACATATTACTACAAAGACAATATATACAGCTTATTCAAAGTGGTCTCCATTGGCTGCAATAAAGCCCTATAAACGTTGAAGCCAGTTGTCAATAGACGCACGCACTCTTTCCATGGGAAAATTCTTAGCTGCACACAATTTTCCATGGGAAAATTGTTTTAGGGACTCCAATATATCATGGCGTTTAGAGCAAGCATTACAGCTAGTTGCACAAACGCCCATTTAGGTTTAATGAATATCAAATTTGTATGTCGATTTAAACTGATGAAAAAATTAATGGACGTTTGTGCAACTGGCTGTTACTCTCTAAAACTGACCATAAATGATAATCCAGCGGATAAGATCTGGAGTTTCTAACCAAGATTCGGTGGATCGAGCATTACGACCTGGCGCCGAGTGTTGTTAAAAGGACCGTTGTTGGTTTTTGAACATGATGTTGTTAAGAGCCTAACTACCTTCTCGAGAATGGTACCTTGATATACTTAAGCCGATGTTTTGATGTCTTATCCACATAAATATAGGTCGGTCACTCCATCGTAGCTAACACCTCACCAAACCGTTACTGAAGTCGGATAATGCCAACGTTGTACTCTTTTGACTAATCATGAAGCTTCTTTAAAGATTTGAGTACAAATACGGTATTTTTTTTTTTAATATTGCACAATTGTAAAAAATTTCTCATCCATAAACATTTTTTTTCTGTGACCTCCCTTTGAGTACCGCTTAAGAAGTTGTTTTGAATAATACCGAGCGTATGGTTTTGAAAATTGTGTTTGGCTCCATACTTCTTTGTGTAATGCTATCACAGCGATGCAGTTCTCTTTATCTATTTTAATATAAAAAAAAAATTTAATAATCTATTGGCGCGAAAATAAGAAAAGACAGAACAATCTTATAAAAATGCCAGATCCGAAATTATGATATTTTATGATATATTAAACAAAGTTTTTGTCTGAACTAAACTGACAAAAACTTTGAAAATATCTACTACGTAACTACCTACTTACTCATAAAAGATTCTCAAAAGATCATATATGTATCTGATATGGTCCGTGTTTTATCAATTTTGATCATAAAATAATTGGACCCACGCGTATTTTTTATTTTCGCATACCATGTCTTTTTATTTCAAATATTTTGATTTCGACGATTAGTTTCAAAAGAAGGTTTTATTATATTATACGTTGATTACAATACAGTGGAGACCACTTTCACGAAACTGGTCGAAAGCTTATTATTGGTTATTTTTGTACAAAATCAGTCATCAGTAGTAGATCACCTAATATATCATTTCAAAATAGCGTAATAAATATTGTGAATAAAAAAGAAAATTTTTAAAACGATATTTATTCCTTTATATAATTGTTCAGCACAAGAATATTGATTGTATTAACACTTTAAAATATATGAACATGTAATGAAAATCATTATTTTATATGTTACAATAAACATTTCAAATTAGAAACAAAACGTTTTAAAATAGTAATATTTAGAGTTTAAAATAGTAAAATAGTTATATTAGAGAGAATAGTAATATAATCACATACAAAAGGCCAGGAATTTAGTTTTTACAGAAAGATATATTCTAATTATTTTTGTTTTGTATTATCTATAAAGTATAAAATACTGCGCAAATAGTAAGTAATATCATTTATGTTATTTATGATTATTTCAATTACAAAATAACGAGTGATTCCACACAACTGCTAGGATTTTTTTCGTTGTATTTTGGATGGATTTTTTATGTAACGTATACATGAGATTGTATTTCATAAGGGTATGTTAACATAAGTACAGAGGTTGAAAAGAAGATAGGAATCTGGTAAACATCGTTAGCCAGCTCATAAGAAACCATTTGGGTTTCTGTTGTTCAAAATATTTTCGGGTTTGACCAAAGATAAAAAAAATTAACCGGTAATTTGAGCAGAAACAAAACGGTTTCTGCTCAAATTACCGGTTAATTTACTCACATATTTCGGTTTTTCCGTCCATCTATTACTAGTTTTATCTGTATGTATACCCTCTCACATTTTCGCGCCACTTCTTGTTAACGAAATGTTATCACTCATTATTGAATAAAACTGATCATAGTCGAATAATAATCTTAATTAATCGGTATTTTTAACTGTTCAGGTAACCGATCCGTAACACTTAGGTATATTACCTAAGTGTTACGGATCGGTTACCCGAGTGCTAAATTAAATTAAATTTTAATTGGATGTTAAATTTTGTCGACGAAGACTACACTCTTCTATGTCCATCTGAAAAGGAGCATTAAAAAATTAATAAATTATAAAATAGTCTCCATTCATACAAAAGTTACTGTTTTAAACTAGGGCTTCTGAACAGTTAAAAATACCTATATAATATAATTTTTTCATTCACATTGTAACATTGTTTTTTTTTTGTATAAAAATCTAAATGCTAATGGTTCAATAATATAAAGCTTTAACAATAACAAGAAGTAAAATATATTCTAATAAACGTGACTCTAATCAACGAAACAAAAAAGACCCATTTCTCAGAGCTACGACTAGCTTCCAGCAATATTTTACAATAAAACATCACAATATTCCATAAATAATAATAAAATTATTAAAGTCATAAAATTAAGTTAATTCAAAATGAAAAGCTGTTGCTTCTGGAACCATTTGTCATGTTTTTTTTAGACATGAATGTCAAGAGATTTCGCTAGTTTTATAATTTGAATCAAAATGTCATTGTTATTTTATACCTTTTGCAACATTATTAGTTCATACACAATTTTTATTTCATTTTTATATTTCAAATGATTTCTTTTGTCTAAATTAAATATTAATTACAATTTTTCGAAACATCCTTTTTTATTTACTAAACACAACTTACTAAAAAATTACTAAACACAAAATAACATTAACAACTCAAAAAGTAATACAGTGACGCTTCACCTTAAGAAAATTATTAGTGCAATGATGTTGTACAAACTAAACAAAAAATGCTTTATTTAACGTTATTCTGCAGTAAAATAAATAATAATTATGCTAAAACCAAATTTTTGTCTAGTTTGTGCAACAGAATGACTACCAAGACATTAATAACATATAAAACTTTTAGATAAAATAAATTTGGTAACACACATTTTTGTATACAATAATTAACCAAACATAATTGTTAAAGATCTAGTATATTAGCACCCAATTTTGTGGGTGATTATATGCTAACAGTACTGGGCAATGCAATAACAACGAATAAGAATTTTTATCTAATTTTTCTGATATAAATAACCAGTTTTGTAACCATTCCCTCATATCATTATTTGTGAGATGGCTGCCATTTAATCCTCTTAAGTAACATGTGTATCTTAAAGTTTCAGTGTTTAAATTATCAAGGCCACCTTCCCTAATTATAGCTTTATCCATTTCTAATAGAAGAAATGCTCTATATTTTAATTTGTTCACTCTGAATATAGTTTTCTTTAGACCATGCATTTTCAGTAAATGTCCCTGAAAAAATTTCATCACATTATTAGTTCCAAATAAAAATACATAATGACCAAATGTGTAAACTGTTTCATAATTATTTAATAATAAAAATAAGTTCAAAGACTACAAATAATAAAAAAATGTTCAAGGAAACCTGACTACAGCTGAATCATGGTGTAAATAGTTTGAAACAAGAAATTTTTCGGTCATCACTAATATAATGTTGAAATAAATTCTCGTTTCAAACTTTTTACAAAGTGATTTTTTTTACAAACTGTATTCAGGTTTAAGTTTTTGAACTTAATTTAATTAATTCTCAGGTGTATTCAAGCAAAATCACAAGCAAAAGCTATCAATATATATACCTATATATGGAATAACTTTTTTTTAGTTTCTTATTTTATGCTCTCTAGAGGGCACTGTTGCCAATTTAATGTAACGTCATATAGCCTACATCACTCAGACAACTAAGACACTTCTAATGATGACTCACTTGTTCAGTTACAATGAGTAGTTTCGATGTTATAAGGGAACAAATAACATTAATACACATTGGATAAAATCATAAGCCTCCTTTTTGTTCCGCAGTAGTTGTTAAAAATAATGTAGTGATATTAACCCTGAAGAAGCTTCACCTTGATCGAGCTTCTTCAGGGTTACATATTCACATTTTTTTAATAATAGTGATAAGTAGTGAGCAAGCTGAGTATCAATTGAATTTTTAAAATCTATAAACATGAAATTACTTAATTTTGCTGCAAAGGTCTCTTAAATGTTAATAAAAATTAGAAAAAAGAAATCTTACCAAATGATTATAGGATAAACAATTCAAATTATATGGTCCATCTACGAATAGCTCTTTACATTCCAATATATCTTCTGGTGATGGATGGACTCCAGAGCCTAATAAGGCTAAAATTCTTTTCCACTCCTGTTTCATATAACTATCAGGTATTTGATCTAATTTTGCTTGCAGCGCTCTAAATACTGGTTTATTATGCTTTAACTTTTCAGTTAAATCTTGTTGAGAGAATTCTATCCTTTGTTGGATTGACCAGAAGTGAGAACATAGAAGAGATTTTGGCTTCAGAAATCTAGAAAAATGAGTAAATGTATGTTAGGGTTAAATTAATTCTTTTTTATGAATTATATGCTTGCAACATTTTGCTTTTTTAGTAAATCTACTAATAAATCAGATTTTGTTTGTGAACATGATATTGATTTGGTGCCAACTATTTAACAAACAATTGTGTTTATATTTAAAAGCCACTTTTAAATAGACTGTTTATCTTTAGTACACCGTTTTAATAAATTAATATTTATTTTTAAACAAGAGTTATACAATGGTTGATGTATAAGTAGTAAATAATAGTTTGTCACATGTAAGTTTTTAACACACACTGAAATATAAACATACATAAGGTACATAATAAATTAGTTACAAATATTTTAAGAGACATTTTTATATATTTTAATTGTATAAAATAGTATAGATTAAAACAGAACTGAATAACACTTATTACTAAATGTTTATCAGGCAAACTTTGGCTGAATACAACTTAAAGTAAGATTTTTGTAAAATAATCACTTGGCCTTTGTTTAGTTGTGGAATCAATCTTCTATTAAGAAGAAAAAAGTTATATTGTGCTCATTTTATCGATCAGAAGAGCATATCAATTTGTACAATCTAATAGTCCAAGATCCCAGAGCGATTTGACATAACTTATTTTTAAAAGTATAGAACTTTCAATTCTAAGTAGTCTTAACATGTTTTTTTAATATCTGCGTACTTGTAGAGTTTGCTCGGTCATAGTACAAATAAACTAATATATTTGTACACCCGAGATCCGAGCGAGAGATAATAGCCTAAGCATGGTCAATCAATCTCTAAAATATAGTATGGTAAGCATCCAGGTACTATAATGCAACTTTTTAATGTTTTTTTTTATATATAGACCAGGAACTGACTACATTTTTTTCATACCTACGTCATGTCATCAATTTAGTGTTTAGTAAAATTAAAATGTGGTTTTAATGAATTATTTACTTATTCCTTTTTTTTTTCAAATAATCAGGCTATGAACAAAGATAGATAATGCTGATCTTTATATTTTACAATCATGTGCTTTGTACAAACAGTTTCTATCAATGGCCCATATGTTTTTATATAACTCGGCTTGGTAACACCTAGGTAAGTGCCAACTTAAAATCAGAGTTAATTTACTTAAATTTGTATGACTGATTTTTAAATATATTTTGTAGAATGTTATTCTTAAGTAAAATTAAAAGTGTCAGACGCTTTCCATGGGCCAGAACTTTTGTCAGATGCTTTAAAGCTCTGTAAAAAATAAATTGATATTACTTATTTTTAAATGTCTGATTTTTAAATATGTTATAAAGATAACTATTACATAGCTATATATAATTAGTCAGACAAATGGTAAAGACCAAAATTGTAATGAAAAATCCCCAAAGCAATAAAATAATGCAATCATTAGTATGAGAGCAAGAGCACTATTGCATGAGCATCAGAGTAAAAAATCAAAATATTTAATAAAATACTAATTAAATTTTGTGTTATTGAATTTTTATTTAAATAAGATGAAAGTTTTAACTAAGGTAATAAGCGAACTCTTCAAGTATGCAAGTATTAAAAGTACATGTATAGACTACTTAGAATCAAATGTTCTATGCTTTTTAAAATAAGTTGTGTCAGATCGCTCTGGGATCTTACTCTATGAAAAGTAATAGAACCAATTTATAATATAACTATTTGATTCTAGTTTTTTTTTGACCTCAAAAAATATTAAAGTAATTTTTAAATTATATCTATATTGTTAAACTGATAAAGACTTAATATTGTCAGAAGTTTTTCTTTTTATATTCTTTTTTGCAGTTAAATAATTTAATTTTAAGATTTTGGTTTTTGAGTTATAATGTGTTTGTTTTCTAGCCTCAAGTTTAGAAATATATATCATATGTGCCTAATATTAGTATTACTTAATAATTGTAGTACAAAATTATTCCACCAACAACTCTCACAATTATAGATTGATAGTTCTGATGAAAAAAAGACTTACGCTAAAGGAAATATCACATAGTTTCCAAAGGGGATTGCTGATAAGATCAAAACAGGAGCTATCCTCAACATATCTGCTGGCATCTTTTGATAGAGCTCGATTTCTTGACGACTCATATTCATAAAACCTTGGTCTTTAGTCACTCTTAATCTTAAAGATATGTATTTCTTCAAGTCTTTTAGGAAATCTTTAATGCCGATACTAAATACTCTATACATTCTCATGGCGGTAGGAAATCTGGCCTCCAGTACATTTGTATAATTTTTAACATAATCTATGTATCTTTGGACTACAAATATTCGCAGTTTCTCCTTTTCAGTTTTTAAAGCTTTATTTTGTTTTGTACGACCAGTAGTTAAAAATCTGTAATCATCGTAACACTCAGTTTCGCACATAATAAGTATTTAGTCACATATTGTTTTGCGTCGCAATAATCTTGGCTTCAAAATTGAGTTAAAAGAAAAAGTATTGTTGTAAAACAGATTTTTTTTTACTAACCTGCACTTGTTTAAATGTGAAACGTTTATTTTCATAGGGATCACTGGATTTGTGTGAGCACATTGAAAAATTAGGTTGGGAAACATAACTATTCTATAAATTGTCATTTTAAATATGTGGTAACAACATAAACTATTTATTTTTTAAATTTTGTCTTAAAATGTCAGTCAATGTTCAGTGTCAGTACAGTAGTAGTAGTTTCGTCCATAAGACAGGCGAAGGAACTAAGCCATACAGCCAAATCTTGGTTATTTTTCTTATTATTATTATTGGGTTATCTAAATCTTTATTATTAGTCAGTGTCAATATCTAGTGCCATTTTTATATTTTTTTAATGTAATTATAGAAAAAGGAATTCAGTCTATACGACTCTTTGATTATGATCAAATTGATACCAGATGGTAAAAAGGGTATAGAGAAAGACCAGGGAGCTTTTAGATCACATGAGTTTATTTACCACCAAAAAATATATACTTTATAAAATATAAACAGTACCGACAATAGCTTAACGAAGAATCACTTTCAATATATATAATAACAATAGACGCGCATGTGCACAACAGATTGCCTAAATGTCAATATTTAAATTAATTAAGGAGACTTTAAAACAAGAAGGTCTCCCTCAACACACCCCCTCAATCTTAAAATGAAGCAGAAAATATAAAAAGTTGTGAAGAAATTGAAGGAAGTCGAGCAGTGGAAAATAATAGTAGATAAAAACAACCTGAAAGAGATAGAAGATTACCAGAAAAATACAAAGATTATATAATGGAATGGAAACGTCTAAAGTTTTATAGGGGAGTCTAATATTTGTAGAAGTGATAAAGGCGTGATGTAAACTTAAGGTTCTTAGTCAATTCATAGTGCAAGTTAAAGTATTAAGGGGGTGCGTATATTAAATGTGATACCTGATGGTAGAAAGGGTATAGAGAAAGACCAGGGAGCTTTTAGATCACATGAGTTTATTTACCACCAAAAAATATATACTTTATAAAATATAAACAGCACCAACAATAGCTTTACGAAGAGTCACTTTCAATATATATAATAACAATAGACGTGCATGTGCAGAACAGATTGCCTAAATGTCAATATTTAAATTTAAATTAATTAAGAAGACTTTAAACCAAGAAGGTCTCCCTTAATACAAATTAGGTATGAGTAAACCCCGCGTTATCGTTGTGTAGAAATAAATTTATTACTTGATAGTGTGATACGTGCAGATAAGCAATTAATAAAAGAACAAGAAGAAACACTGCGTTATTGGAGTTTTAAAAATATTGACGTACTCAATCATATATATTCCTGAAGTTTCGTCGTAGTGAAGTGTTTTTATGTATTAAATAAAATCAAAATATAATTGTTGTCTTTTCTAACTTAACTTTTCTTACTTAAATACTTTTATAACTTCAAATTCATTTCTAATGGTGTCGCAACAGGTTTGCAATCTTCCATACCAAATCGTTCTAATATCTTTTTAGCAAAATTATTCTGATTCAAATGAATTTCTTTCAAGTTTTCTGATTTAGTGATTTGCATACCCAGACATTGTTTAGCCTCACCCAAATCCTTAATTTTGAAACCTTATTTTATGTGATCCTTAACTTGATAGACGACTTGTTGTGAACTGCCAAAAAAATAAAAATCATCTATGTATAGAGCAATAGCTGTGAAATTATTCGTACTTCCTTTAATATATGCACAAGAATGTGAGCATCTACTTTGACATTCCATTCTTGAGCTTACATACCTTTTGGTCATTACCCTCCTTTACAAGTGTTTCTGTTTGCTCCATGTAAGATCTTCCTCAAGGTTACCATTTAAGAAGGCTGTAGTAACATCGATATGATGTACTTTGAGGTCTTTCTCAACAGATAAAGCAAACAGCATCCTAATTGACGAAATAATCTCCATTTTTGGGAATAACCCTTGGCAACTAATCTTGCCTTACGTCGCTGAACCACGCCATCCGCTCCTATTTTGAGTTTATATAACTATTTACATTTAACCACATTAGTCCTACAAGGACAGTCAACTAAATTCCAAATACCATTCTTGATAAGGGAATTATATTATTCTTCCATTGCTTTCCTCCACAGCGTCTTATCTGAGCGCTTCATTGCATCCTTTACAGAAACAGGATCTCCATTAGTTGAGACTAAAAAATTGTATTCCATATCATAATATCACTTTATAGTTCGTATTCTTAAGAGATATCTTCTATCTGGTAAAACCTCATTAGTTTCTTCTATTTCAGAATTTTGTTGACTACTCATTTCGTATTGAGCTTCGGAAGTATTCAATTGTATATTACTTACTCCTTGACTTTCTGGTCTTATTACCTCTCCTTCTTCAATGATTTCATCATCACGGACGTTGGTAGTGTTATAATAAATCTTTTGTATAGACAAAAGAGTTATTATAACACTACCAACGTCCTCAGAAAATAATATACTCAGAGAGGTAAAAATCAGTCTAACTCTCAATTTTAACGGCTGTACATATAACAATTAAATAGCAAACTTTTAGATTTGTTTCGTATCAAAAAAACTAGATATCGGGCCTTAACCGAGTTCTGGAAATGTGTTAGAGAGAACAACGAAACAATGGAACATTATGCAAATCGACTGAGAGAATTGAGCTTAGACTGTGGATATAGCGAAACATTACTAGAACGTCAATTACGAAACCGTTTTGCAACATGCTTGAATCATGTTGAATTAGAAACAGATTTAAAACAAAAATGGCCTGATCTCACTGAAACTTTCGAAGGAATCATAAAAGAAGTTACATTTACCCAGATTTTTACTGTTGCACAATCTCGAGAACAAGCTGAACATGATATACCATCCACATCTATTAAAAAGTTAAATTACAGCACACATTCTACAACGAATTCCAAACGCTTTACGAACAACCGAAAGCCTCGATTTATTTATCAAGACCAGTGCTACCGCTGTGGTAGAAGTAACAAACATAGTTTTACAAACTGCCCTGCTAAAGAACACACATGCCAGGAATGCAAAACTAATGGACATTTTGAAAACTGTTGTATCAAAAGTGGCCGAGCACAGATTACAAGAAACAGTAATTTGAAATCAAAGTATGGTAATAAATTACAAAAAGTTACAGAAAACCGTACAACAACCGAAGATTCATCAGGAAGCAGTGATGATAGTGACGACTACATATGTAACGTTACACGGAACCAACAAAAAAAGAGAGACTGCAAAAGAATTGATGTTATTATCAACGGACAACCCTGCACAATGGATTGGGATCCTGGTTCAACATATACAATTATTAACACACAGTTTTGGAGGACAATAGGATCTCCAATTCTAACCAAAGCACCTAAATTAAAAGCTTATGGAGATTATAGACTTAAATCAAAAGGCCTTGCTGAAGTGACTGTTGAAATTCAAGGTAAACAAAAAATCCTACCAGCTGTAGTTATGACGAATGCTAACCCTATGCTTTTTGGTTTACAATGGAGCGAAATGTTTGATATGGAATTTCCAAAACCTGTTTATTCCATCAAAAGTAGTAAAACACAGGCATCACTTCAACAAGTCTTAAACCAATATACTCAACTTTTTGACGGAAAATTAGGGAAAGTTGAAGGTTATCAAGTGAACATTTATGTTAAACAAGGCGCAGAACCTGTACATTTACCAGCACGTCCAATCAAATTTGGAATAAAAAGAAACATCGAGTTAGAGTTGGATCGTCTTGTATCTGAAGGCATCATAGAAAAAATTGATCCGAATATAACACCAGTTGAGTGGGCGACACCAACCGTAAACGTTGTAAAACCAAACGGAACTATACGTATCTGTGGGGACTACAGAAGCACTCTAAACCCCGTGTTAGTCAAACACTTACACCCCGTACCACTATTCGACCAACTACGACAAAAACTGACTCATGGCGAACGTTTTTCTAAAATAGACCTGAATTATGACCTGACCTATGTTCGACTCGAAATAGCTCCAGATTCACAGAAATACCTGACACTTTAGACACACAAAGGTTATTTCCAATATAATAGAATGCCTTTTGGAATATCGACAGCACCATCAATCTTCCAACATTATCTTGATACATTGCTTGGTGATCTTCCTAACGTATCTGTATATTTTGATGATATCGCGGTGACCGGAAAAATAAATTACCAGCACTTACGGACTTTATCAACGGTGTTCGAACACAGAGCAGGTCTCAAAATAAATTTAAAGAAGTGTTCATTTCTACAAGATCAAATGGAGTACCTGGGTCAAACAATAGACAAAAATGGCATTCGCCTCACAAAAAAAAAACTTGATGCTATAACGAACGCCTCAGAACCATCAAATTCAAAAGAACTGAGATCTTTTCTGGGCCTGGTAAATTTTTACGAACGATTTATTCCACATCTACATGGAATCTGTGCAGATTTACATGAATTAACAAGTGGTAGACAACGATGGCGTTGGACAAGTCATGAAAGGGACATTTTTGAGAAAACTAAATCTTGCATAGCTGCATCGCAACCCTTAATAGCATGTGATGATAACAGACCACTATTTCTAGCATGCGACGCATCGGAAAAAGGCGTAGGAGCCGCTTTATTTCACAAACAAAAAGATCGCGCAGAACCTATAGCTTTTGCATCGAGGAAATTGCGCACTGCTGAAGCTAAATATTCTGTAATTGACAGTGAAGCTCTTGCTATATTTTTTGGAATAAACAAATTCGATCAATATCTACGCGGAACAAAATTTACACTATTAACTGACCAAAAACCCCTCATTTACATATTCCACGTAATCTTCCTAAAATAACTAACAACAGACTTGTGAGGTGGGCTTTAATCATTGGTAGTTACAATTATGACATATTCTACCAAAAGGGTGAACAGAATGTAATAGCAGATTGTTTTTCAAGATTAGCTGATAATCATACCCATGTATCAAATATAGAACGCGTAATACGCAAGATCGATTCACGTCTTATGTCAAATAGAATTTCAGAGGTACACTTCACGGAAAAGAGTATAAGAGAACATTCCATGATCGATTCCATTTTATCAAAAGTTGTACAATACTCAAAAACTGGTTGGCGCGACTTTGAATATAATAATGAACTAAAACATTATTTCAGAAAACGGAACGAAATTTCAGTTGAAAATAAGATTTTATTATGGCAGGGAAGAATGATCATACCAAACTCCTTGCGATTAAAGGTAATATCATACCTTCACCAGGGTCACCCTGGAATAAGTGCGATGAAGGCACTCGCACGTTTTTACGTCTAGTGGCTGACTTTAGACGAAGACATAGAGAATTTTATCAAGCAGTGTAACGGGTGCCAAGCTAATCGTCCTCACAATCCAGAGCTTCCAATCTTTTCCTGGTCCATTCCTGAACAAGTATGGGAAAGAAAACACATCGATTTTGCTGGACCATATGACGATACATATTGTCTAATTGTTTGTGATGCATTATCTAAATGGGTGGAAGTTAAACCAATGAAACGCATAACTACTAGAGATTTATGCTTGGTTCTAGACGACATATTTGTCACATTTGGGCTACCACAAATTATTGTTTCAGATAATGGCCCACAATTTGTCTCGCACGATTTTAAGAATTACTGTGAAAAGTTAGGTATATTACATGTGACTTCTTCACCATATCACCAGCGCAGTAACGAACTGGCCGAAAGATTTGTTAGAACTTTAAAGACAAGAATAGGAGCGAACGAAGGGACCAAGGCTAAACATTTAATTGAATTTCTTTTTACCTATCGAAATACTCCTCATGATACTACAGGAAAATCACTTGCACAAATGATGTTTGGGCGGCAGCTTAACTGCGTTTTATCTAATATTAGGCCATCTAAACGAAGAAATTTACAGTTACGTCAAATTCAAAACAACGTCACTACTGCATCATTTGAAGCTGGAAATTTCGTACCTGGTGAACCAATTTATACGAGAACTAAATTAGAAAAGTTTTGGGAAAAGGGAACAATAGCCGCACGGAGGGGCAAATACTCATATGTGATCACGACTCCAAAAGGAAGATTGATAAGGAGACATGCTGACTACATACGCTCAAGAGTGCCATCACCGCAGCAACATTTACCCTCTGAGGACATTGTACCGTCACCATCTCCATCTTTCATCAACCATGCCTACATCAACAATTCCTCTCCAGTTATCACCATTACCACAGTCTTCATTAATCACTCCTATTTAATCATCTCTCGATTGGGCAACACCCACTACAGCATCACCGTCACCAACTCGACCCCCGCGCAGTGGCCGTTGTCAGGGACGACCTGCAGCTGCATCTATCATAGAACCTGCACCAACTGTACCAGCCCTACAATCTACATTAGCTGAATCAGTGCTACCTCTGCGCCGCAGCCAACGTATAGTGCGAACTCCTCGAAGACTAATTACCGAGATGTGAGGGGGGACGAATGTTAAAATAACTCTTTTGTATTGACATCTTATTTATTTCCTTTTATGTAAGTGTGACATCTTTCAGTTAATGAAAAGTCTTATATTGTGAATATGATATTTTATTTCCATAAAATAATATAGATACTTTAGGTAGCAGAAGACTCTCTTTCCTCTTCGCGGTAATCCCAATAAAGTCCTCCTTGGGCAACATTTATCTTGGCTTGACAAACTTCTCCTGTACATTTACCAGATGTAGGCTGCTTGATAACCTCCTCAGGTTTGAGATCATTGATGGAGAGATTTTGTAACTTTTCATTTAAGACGGCATTTCATTTCGACCGATGATAATCCTTTTAGGATTATTTAAATCAACAAATCTGTTGACCTTCTGAGTTTCACTGTATCCCGAAAAATGAACCCGCGAGTCTTTGCATCAAACTTCTTTCTACTGCCATCTTTAACTAGAAATTGTGTAATCGACCCAAAAACTTTCAGATACGATAAATCTACTCGTTGACCTAACCACACTTCTTCAGGAACCTTTTCTTTCAAAGCCATTGTTGGGGAACGATTTTTTAAATAAACGGCTGTGTTGACAGCTTCATCTAGAACTCTTTATTTAGACCACTATCATGAAACATACAACGCGCTTTCTCTGTGATTGTCCTAATAGTCCTCTCAGCTACCCTGTTTTGAGCTGGAGTATGTGGAACAGATGTCTGATGCTGAATTCCACATATCTTTAAAAAAGATTGAAATTCCTTATTGGTATACTCTGTACCATATTGTCAGATCTAAATTTTTAAATTTTCTTTGCTGTTTGATTTTCCACAAAAGCTTTAAAATCACGAAAACATTCGAATAATTCTTTCTTCGAGGTCAACATACGACAGAAAACTTTTCTACTGTAGTCGTCAACAAAGATCAGAAAATATTTTGCACCTCCCCAATAACTCTGTTTCAAATGGACCGGCAACATCACTATGTTATAGCTCAACCATATCGTTCGCTCGCTTACATTTCTTCCGATGCGGAAATTTCTTTGCACATTATTTTCCCTGGCTGCAGGCCACACAATGATCTTTATTATCAACCTTCCCAAAATTATTATCTTCAATCATATCTTTCAGTATACCCTCCAATCCGCATTGGGCCAGCGTGGAGGGTCATGGCCCATCCTCCTTAACCATCCATAAGGAAGGCCTGAGCCCCTGCAGTGGGGACGTAAAAGGGCTGGTGATGTGATGATATCTTTCAGTTTGTTCATCTGAGCATAAGATAAATGACCTAATTTCCTGTACCACAAATCATAGTTATCCTGACTACGACTGCTATCTCCTAAAAGAACTGTCGGAAACTTGTTATTATCCGGACCTATAACATACATATAAACCGTTTTTGCGTGGTGCTATAAAAAGAGGTTTACTTATAACATTAACAGTATCATTAAAAACTTTATAACATTTTTTAATCAAAAATAATAACTTAACCACTTTCAGCAATCTTGCTTACAGAAATAAAATTAGTTAATAACTCAGGAATAAGCAATATATTACTCATTTTCAAATCTGTGTTATGTCCCTCGTGATTAATCTTCAAATCAACAGTTCCTTGTTTGTTTGAAACAATTTTGTCTTTATTTGCACCAGTAATAAATTTTGCACAAGATTTTTCTAGTTTTGAATGTGTTCATTTGATGTCATGTGGGACGTATCACCATAATCTATAACACATCTATCGTTACTTTCATAATTACTAGTTAAAAAGGTTACAAACTTCATTATTATTGTTCAGTTTTTTACATTGAGACTTATAATGCCCTTTCTTTATACAATAATAACAAATTATAGGTTTTTGTATTTTTTTTAGTACTCGTCACTAGTACCGATTCGTCCTTGTTTTCATTCATCGCACTACACGTTGGTTGACTCTGTCGCTGCTCTTTAAGTATTGCGGCGATTACGATCTCAGATGAAATTTTTGCTCCTGAATGTTCCAAAGCCATCACTAGCGAATTATACGAATCTGTTAAACCAGCTAACATTATAATACTTAGAAATTCATCATCCAAACCAGCTTTAATCGTTACGAGTGCCTGATGTGATGTAACGTACGCTTCCATACTAGGGTAGCTCTCCAGTTTCACGCTGAACAATTTTCTAAGTAATGTTAATTGATGCACCAAACCTGCATCCGCATATGCTCTCTTTAATGCTAACCAAGTTTCTTTAGCATTTTTTGCTTCAGCAATTAGTGGGTAAATTTTCTCCTCAACGCTAAGGCATATTTTGGCCCGTGCTTTTGCATCCCGCTTCTGATTGTCTGCTGTCAAAATAATCAACCTTCTTCTTCTTTTATTGATGGCTTATCTGCGCATTTCGCACAATTCTGCCAATGTCAAGTAACTAAATTAGTTTCTACATGTAAAATGAAAATGAAATGAATGAAAGATGACGATGGATCTGTCGCAAATATCAACCGTCAAAATAATATTCTCTTCCTCAACGCAATTCCATTAATCATGTTCCACTAGGATCATTTACATAGCGAATCACCATGTTCTATAGTTGGAATGGCCTTTTAGTTTTGTTATAACTGATTCTTTCTGCATGATTCTAACGTTTTTGTTCGCTCCACTTTCCTGAAAAATATTATATAGGGACTGGCCCCATAACCTGTAGTTTATGTGGATATAAACAATGTCGCAAACAAAGGACTGCCTGCACTTGTTAAGAAACTGTATTAGTAAAAAGGGTTAGAAGGTCTGTTCATTTCGGTCCTATACCAACAGAACAATCTATTTATGCTTCTTGGAGGGTAGGAGGTGAGACGTAAAGAGTAGGTATGTTTTGAAGATCAAAATGCTTTTACTCTTTGTCATAGAGTAAATTGAGAAGATTTTAATGGTCAAAAGTACCTACAAATAATGTATTTTAATTCCTGACTGAATATATGTTTGTTTTATTCAATGATGAACCACAATGCTTTGGGGTATGCTAAATATTTTTTCAGTAGTTTTCACTGCTATTTAACTTCATACCTAAATTCTTTAAAGTATGAACAACATTGAAGGATTGGCATCAAACAAAACTGAAACGGATAGGTACAATACACGAGTAAATGGTGTAATTAAATTTGAGTGTATCATGAGAATGAGCTGCAGCAGGCTAACCCAAAGAAAAACCGTGTTTTGGAATGTTTCCATAGTAGCAAACATAGGTTGGAAAAATATTAATTTCTTGCTTTCATAGTCAAAATAATACTAAACAGAAGAAATATACTATTATTTGTTTGCATTAAAAAGACTCTGAAACTACTGGACTGGTTTACAGCATTATATTTAGTAAATTTACATCATACACGGATAACATAGACTTTAAATTATGCGGGAAAAGTCTCGGGACGCTAAAAAGTTAAAGTTAATATTAATAATAGTATTCTAAGTACATATTAACAGTTCTTAGTACATTAAAATTTTTGTCTCTTTGGTAAAAATATCTACTTAAGTTAGGACATATTCTCTCTAAAGTAATTAATTCTCAATTAGTTACTTCTCTCGACTATAGACACGGATATATAACTTATGTCACAGCAAACTGGTTAAAACAGTCATATACCTAATTGGACAGCAAGCTCTTTGACTGAATGGTGCCGATCAATTAAAGGGGCTTGCTGCTCAATTTAATAGCTTTTTTAATCATTGTGTATTGTTATTGTGACTCTGTAAGAATATAAATATTCTTAAAATAAATCCTCTTTGTAGAGTACAAATTTCTCTTATAACAGCAACTGGGAGTTCCTTTAGGCAATACATACTTTTACGTTTATTTTTTTCAGTATTGTCCTGTATCGCAATGTCAAGTGCTGTAATGATGGAAAGGATTCGACTACCGAGTGTATTAAGAAAAAATGCTTGAACGCCTCATTACCAGAGAACCCCGTAATTTTTTCATCATTAAAAGTCTACACGTTAAGGTATAATTTGCGCGGATGAAGTCGCGGGTTAGTAGGTAGTGTTAGATAAAGTTAACGCTCAAATATAGGTTAGATGGGCCTTCGAAAATTTCCTGAGAGTGTCATCAAAACGTTATTGTGGTTGCATGTAAAGCACGGATGTAACATGAATACTTATCTAATTAAAGCATGGATGCATCTAACCACATCCAGTCCATTCATAGATTATTAATCTATGCGTGATTTTGTAGTCACCAAGTGTACATAATATGATCTAAGGTAGGTTAGTAGTAAAACATAGTATTTTTACTATGCTTCTTAATACAGCACCGAATTATTAAAAAAAAAAAAAATACTTAACCTGATTTGCTTACTGTATGTGCTTTTGCTGCCCTCTACTAGGTTAGAGCGTTATAATTTTACATTATAGGATACCCAAATTTTTGAAAGATTTTTTAAATTCAGTCCAGTAATGTCGGAGTTATTTCTGGGCAAACCAACAAATAGTCTCGCCTTTTTACATAATGTACTGTACATCTAAATATTCTCGTCGTACTTACCATTGTTCGTCTCATTGTCGTAGTCAATGAAGTCAAAGCCTTAGCTTATTATTTTGTTTTTAGGAATTAAAGGCATCTAATAATGATATTACGAACTTGGATACTTGCCCAGTGCATGGAAGAAAACAGAGTAAGTAAAAATTATTTTAATAATTTCCGAACAATATACGCATTAAAAAACATAAAAATCAGTATTATAATTTCTATGTAGTTTTATCATCGCCTTCTTCAGCATCATCTTCATCGTCTCAAGCTTAATGTCTACAATATGTTTACTTGAAATTGTAAAAATCGTCAGTTTATTCTTTGTCTGGCTAGATTCCAGTCAGATTTAATTAATTAGAATTAATTATATGGCAGTCAGTAATTCTCAAGTGTCACCGGGAGTTCTGCATAGCGAGCGCCTTACTCATCTAGCTATAACTATATACGAAGGATACTACATCTTAGCGATCTTATAGCACTATTTCGTCACATTCTACTATTTTGACATGTACATTAATAACGGCGAACGATTAATAAAGAATGATGAATTGAAATGAATTTGCCAGCAGTGTTTCTAACTTAGCAATTTATCCCAAATTTATCCACTAAAAGATGTTAAAGTAGTAAATGGACTATATTTGGTAGCCATACAGGTTAGATAAACCAGCTAGAGTGAGTGAGAATGATAAGAAATTACGACAAAATTTTACGACCTTTTATTGCTTCATACAAATGTGACCGGTTCAGATAAGTTGTCTCATATTTGAGTAAAAAATTCATCAAATAAAACAATTTAAATGATGCTAAAGTTAATATTGGTATTTATAACAGATAGAAGTTCCCACAGATTTCTGTGTTCTGTGGAAAAAGTTTCCTTTAAAAGTTGTGAATAGTGTCAAATATTTGGGAGTGCACGTTGATGACAAACTCGACTGGCATGTCCAGATTCAGCTTCTCAGAGCAAAGGCTCGTAGGTTGATTTATGTCTTCAAGAGATTCTGAGGTTCAGTTGATCAAAACACTACATCAATTAGTTTACCGGTAAAGTATGTCGGTTTTGGAGAGACTTCTACTTCTTCTGTGGAAGACGAAAGTCAGGCTGAAGGGTTTGATCAAACAAAACCGTTACAAATAGGAGAGGATATGGTAATACGCTGCGAGATAGAGGCAAGCACGAGGATACCCAACCCCTGCGGTGTGTGTGGCTTCAAAATGTTCTACTAAATAAGCTGATTCAAATTACGAAGATATAGAAGGACCCTTATTCTATAAAAATGAAATAGTGGCTGTAGTATGCAGTGCAACCTCTATTCGAGCAATTGGACAATATACACCTGTCGGTCCATATTTAAATTGGATTAATAATGATTGGACGAAACTTAACGCAAAATTAAGTACCATCTCGACTTTTATCCGTGTAAAAATTAATTTACCAACAATTTCTATAATTATTCAGTTTAATGTCAGTTAAATAAAATTGAACGCGTTATAAATTTATTATTTATTCAATTAAATAATTTGCAAAAATTTATATTGTAATAATATCTTATACTATTACTTAAAATGAAAAATGTTGCAAGGAATCTCGCAAGATTAAGATGTTTTGATTTACGTAAAATCATTAAATTTGGTCAACATGTTTGATCTCTATAACGTCATACGGGAATAAGCATACATATACTGATAAACACCTTACCTTCCACAGACGGGTACGGTTCCATAGGCGAGACTGAAATTGTTATAACAAGTTTTAATATAGTAAAGTCAACTCATTGGGCGCGCGATGGTATGTGTGGGTAATCCATATGACTTTATGTGAGCACCGAGTCACCAAGCACCAAGCAAAAATAATTGAAAGGAAAATAAAAAATCGGACTACGTAAAAACGAATTACAAAAATACATGAAAAAATTAACTAAAATAAAAACTAAAAAGAAAGAAACAAGCCCAGTAGTTTAGAATTCTGTTAAGTAATATTTTAAAGTATTTCCACTGAATGTAATGCAATTTTGATAATGTTTTACGACTCTTTGTTATCCTATTCCAATGTGATAGGTTCAAATAACTTACGTTTAATATTTTAGTTGCAAAATTATTGGCATCAAACAAAACTGAAACGTTACAAAACTATAAAACTGATATTTAAATAATGCTTATGTTAATGTTGGTCTTTATAACAGCGATTGAACTATCTGGCACTAAAATTTATAATTACCCTCTTAGAGTATTACATGGGAAGTCAGACACGGATAATGAATATCCTTTTGTGGTATCACTACAGACTGCTTCGCGTCGACGATATTGTACGGGTTCTCTCATTGCTGAACGTTGGGTACTGTCTGCAGCTCACTGCTTTAACGATCAGCCGAAGTTAGTAAGATTTGGTAACATGACTGTACCTGCGAAAGAAGCAACATATCGACCTATACTTCGAATGTTTCCTCATCCCAATTATAGTGAGTTAGAAAACTATTTAATGATAAACGATATTGGATTAGTGTTGATTAGTGCAATAAAGGACGTCAAGATGGTGAAATTATCGGCTGTCGACTACACGACATTAATTGGATCACCGGTAAAGTATGCCGGTTTTGGAATGACTTATATTTTTTCTGTTTTGGAAGATAACAGTCAGGCTGAAAGGCTTGATCAAACAAAACCGTTACAAATAGGAGAGGGCGTGGTAATACGCTGCGAGACAGTAGAAAGTCTGAAGATACCAACCCCTGCGGTGTGTGTGGCTCCACAATGTTCCAACAAATACGCTGATTCAAATTACGGAGATTCAGGAGGACCCTTATTCTATAAAAATAAAATAGTGGCTGTAGTATGCAGTGATACCTCTGTTCGAGCAATTGGACAATATACACCTGTCAGCCCATATATACAGTGGATAAACATAGTGATTGGACGAAATTAAATACGGATTGAAGTATCACTTTGATTTTTCTTTTTGTAAAAGTATACATACACCCGGTTTCTGAAATTGAGAACTTGAAGTTGAGCACGTCTCAAACCGTGCTTAAGCTATTTTAAACGTCAATTAAACAGTTTTCGATACTGATATATAGTTTTAATGATCATTTGATAGAAATTTGATAAAATAGGACTTTTTGCCATAAAAAAGGTAAAAAACTTGAGTTATTTAGAATAATCAGTTAAGATTTTGCGCTTATCTCTATTCAAAAAACCGGTCGTTAGTGATCTTTTTATATATAACTTTACGTCAGTTAAATAAAAGCGAAGAAGTTATAAAAGTGTAGTTAAAACAATTGAACAAACGCTCATTAGTAGTGGTGTTTGCATATTTAACAGATGTGCCGAAGTCACAACCTGACATGTCCGGCCGTAGTTGGACTGATGGAAACCCTAATGCCATGAGTAACATGAAAAGTGAAGTTCAATACATAATACAATATTGTCATTTGTAAACTTCATATATTAAAAGTTACTCTTTAGGCAAGTTTAAATAGCACATACAAACTCGCGTCCCGATTAATAATATTAGTATATATTCGAAGTCAAAGTGGGGGTCGAAATATGTTTTATAAACTTATTTAAAATACCTAGGGGACACCGGGGCAAAACGAAGCGCGGGGTAAGACGGGAAGTGTGCTTGTGTACGTAAATAATGACCCGAACAGAGCCTCACACAGCGCCATCAGCACGATGTTCAGTCGCGTCACACGAGTCCGAGTGGTGCGTATATGTCTGTGCGTGTTTCGGCTGCGCAGCGAATAAAAACAGTTTTTCGAAGGATCTTTAAGCAGTTTTTCGTTTTTAATTGATGGGCATCAAGGTGAGTAACAGTGTTATTGTAATATGTGTGTCACATACTTGTTGTAGTAGTGTTGAACGAACTAATTTAGATTGCTTTTTCGCTGAATTAGTTTATAGGTTAGAACCGTTATTACTTTTACAATATATGTCTCTTGGGGCAAAATGGTTGGGGCATAAGGGGATAGTATCCCGTCATGTCCCATACGTGTAAGTAGAAAAATTTTTCATACCTTACTTTTTGTTTGCAGTTAAAATGGCACGAAATTATAAACGCAAAACTGATCGTGGAACATGGGAAGAAGACGATATCAGAAGAGCGGTTAGAGCTGTGCTTTCTGAGACAATGGGATTTCGTCGAGCCTCGAGTTACTGGATGATGCACCACCGAGATTTTGGCAAGCTTATCTGCAATCAGCGACGATGTTAACGGCAATAAACGGATTTAGAAAATGTGGTATATGGCCACTTGATAAGAATGTATTCACAAAAGCGGACTTCATAGCGGCTGAAACAACAAACACTGAGACTTTGCCGTCCGAAAATGTAAATCTTGAATCAACATCTCAGGCCACACATTCAACACCAGCTATATCGAAAGAAACCCAATGTGAACCAACTATTCTTGCACAAAAAGATATTTCTGCTGATTCTGCAGTTATGGAACCAAAGAGCACTGAGTTTTTGCCTCAGCCTTCGAGATTTGCTCATTTAGTTGAAGAAAAGACTCCTGAGAGACAAATTCAGCCAGCAAGATCCCCGTTTGCCGTGACACCAGGAAATATCATAGCTATACCAAAAGAATTAAGAACGCAAGAGAGAAAAACCAGAAAACGCGGTAAAACTGCAATCCTTACAGCTTCTCCGTACAAAAATGATTTAATTAAAGAAATGAATAAAAATCAAAAAATAAATAAGACTGACAGAAAAACACCACAAAATAAAAAGACTGAGAAAAAAAGAAGCCGAAAAGTAAGAATAAGAATAAAAAACGCAAAACCGAAAATGACACGGATACTAGTCCATCCGATAGCAATGAAAATGATTGTCCTTGCATATATTGTGGGTACATGTATTCACAGTCCGATGAAAGATGGGTTATTTGTAACGTGTGCCATGGCTGGGCCCACAATTCTTGCGCAGGTGTCGATGATGACGACGATGAGACACATATTTGTGGTCGTTGTCAACCGGATTAAAATGTGTACTCATTATGCCCCATAGCGTTTCCCATTTTGCCCCGATCATGGGGCAAAACGGGATATTTGACATGTGCCATTTAGGTCCTATTTGCCAAAAAAGTATGTGATTTAGCGCCATAAAAGATTATAATTATGTTAATTAAAACTATAAGTGTTACTTTTGTTGTAAAAGATATTTAATAAAGAGTTTAATTTTCATCTTATGACGTTTTTTCTCTTAAGTATCCCATTTTGTTTCCCCCACCACTAAGTTCAGGACATTTTTTTTTGCTTGTTCTTCTTACAAGCAAGAAACTCGCTAACTTTAATGGGAGTAACAATATTCACAAAACCCATGTCATTATCGGATCACTACATTATAAATTTATGAAGTCACCACTTTACAATATTAACACAATAGAAAATAAAAGTATGATCTTACAACGATAAAATAAATAAGGAACATGATTATTTTGAAATTTATAATGAATTTATAAAAAAATTACCATCTAATTCCTGGAATACCTTAAGTCCAAGAAATCTTTTCTATTATATAATCAGATGCCTTTTAATAAGTTTTTTAATAGGAGATTTAAATTGATTCAAAACTAATTGTATTAATACAGCTTGGGATCTTATTTTAAAAGCGCACACAAAACCCCTGAAGAATAACTGAATTTTCCAATATAGGGATATGTAACACTATATATTTTATTTCTAGTATTAAAATTGTATACATACCTACATTACTTTTTATAGAGAACCAAATTAATATTTTACGTGCATTAAAGAAGTTGTATTATAGCTTTACTAAACTAATACAATTTGTTTCTTTAATTTTTAGTTCAATTTTGGCAGTCATGTTTTGTAATTTATAACTGGCTTCAAAATCGAAAGGGTAGAGGTTATATGTTCAATAGTGATGTATGTTTTCTTATGTATACCGATTCACAAAATTTTATTATTATTTGACAGCTTAATGGATCGAGGTAGTCCCATTTAAATTTTACCCAAATCGATTATTTATTTTTCCTATAATCAAAACAAAAAAGCTGTTTCACCGAGACTTCGCCTGCGTAAATTACCTATGTCCGCTGCGTATTATGTAACTTCCCACAGATGAAAGATTTTTATAAATCGGTCTTATATATGTAGTTTCGGCGCCTATCCAATGCAAAAAGAAGCAATCAAATTTTTCCTCTTTAAAATATATAATATATATTATTGAAAAAAATATGTCAAGCAAATAATTTCTCCTATTATAAGGCTTTCACTATGTTAAATATTTTTATTTACATACTAATATTTTAAGTGTTATTTATTACATAAAAATATCAATATCACTAAATTGTATGAAATAAAGACATTTAATAAAAAGTAGAACCTACTTCAAACTTTAAAAAGTAATAAAAGCGGCTTATTCACTAAAATACTATTGGAGTCGAGCGCCTATTATTTAATTAATAACCTACAGAAAATCTTTCATCCGACTTTTGAAATAAGTACCTCTATTATTTATCACTTTTTTAAGTTTGAAGACCAGTAAAAGTAAACAAAGTAGGTAATATTATTGAAATGTATCATCGTAAAGACCTTTAATTTGATATCCATATTGATATGTTGAAATAAAAATCGTTTTTCATATTTTTAATTCATACGGCTCCTTTTATATGTTAATATAATAATGTCACTCGGGACTAAGAAATGTTTCTAATGAGATCCAATACATTTATATTCGCTAAGTATTTTTTTAAAGTTATGGAGAATTAACGAAAGTCACAAATTAATCCTAAAAACATCCATACGACATTACACTTAAGTAGCTGAAGCACATTACACTAGTATACTAATCGGTTGATATCTATACTCGGTGGAACAGAACGACCGACACTCCCGAGATTTCTGGAGAGTACATACTATTTGTCTTTAATATGATGTAAAAAAAATATAAGTCTAGGTCAAATAGTTTCGGAGATACAAAATTACAAAGTTTTTGAAAAAAAAATGAGTGTTTTCAACAAAAAGTCAGCTATTTTTGGGACGTACTAACGAAAAATTTTTAATCGGTCATTGACTTCTTCATTTTTAAAAACGAAATAAACTAGTTTGTGATTTATAAGATTGCTTTCATGCAAATTCTACCAGTAAATAAATAAACAAGGCAGTCAAATTGCTTAAATTGATTTACAGACTAACAGCCGGTTTCTGATTTGAAAAAAGTAGAAAATTTCTACTGCTTATTCTCAATAACCTAAGTTTTTTAAATTTCACAAGTCAAATAGTCCTAGTTTTATCAAACTGCTATCAACTGATCATAAAAAAACTAAAATCGGAAACGAAAACTAAGTGATGTTAGTTTAAGACGTTTAACTTTAAATTCTCAATTAAGAAACCGAGTATAAAATTTCCTAAATTATTGTAGAGAGATCAGTCTAACATTAACCTACGTTATTTTAAAAGAGCAGTTCTCCAAAAAAATTATTTGAATGGGGTAATACTCCTTTAACAACGGGATCGTTAATTAAACTCGATAAACTCACATATCTTCCAGTGATTCATCACTAACACAAATGAAAATTGTTTTAAAAACATTGAGAACATTAAAAATGCGTGATATCAAAAGACGAATAATAAAAAAGTGAACCGAGTTCGTCCCACGATATCAAAGCCCCACCCGCCGCCCGCCAGCCGCCAGGCGGCTTTATTATTCTGTCGGTATTTTCAGAGGAAGTGGACGTTTTCAGCATCGACTATCATTAAGATATCGGTAAATAATTAAATTAAATTAATGTATTTCGCGGTTTGTTGTAATCTGCACACAATCGATATTGCGCATGCGCGTTATAGGGCTGTCAACACTTAGAAATTTATAATTTTTACTCCATTTTACACCTCTTCTATTTTTAAATATTTGTCAAATAAAATGAACGTTTGCATGTAACCTAACTTGAAACTTTCGGCTGTGTTAGTAGGGGAACCCACGTTGCTAAATCGGGATTTACTCGAGCGCCATAGAGACCTATTGGGTTGCGAAGCTTAGATGATAATAAAATAAAAATTTCATATAATATATACCTTTTCATCGGTGGGGGAAGCGGCTATAGATTTTTAAAAATGTAAAAAAAAACTGATCTATGAACATACTCGAGCGCGTCAGACATTAATATCATCCATGTCCTACGCATTTTAAAAAACTGTCGTATGTTAATCTGATCTTTTCCATGATGGGGGTGGTTATACGTAAGGGCTGAAAATGAAAAAGAAAAATTATCGAGCGTGTCAGATTTTTTGAGGGGATGTCTAGTGAACCTAAAAAAAGCTCTCATATAATAATCTGACGATTTGAATGTGACGCAAACGCGTGACCATTATTAGAATGTGCAAAAAAAAATCGCCATTTTGAAATACTCAAGCGCGTCAGATTAAGATATATATGGTTCATCTTTATGCCTGTGCCGGTGCCTGTCACTAGACTGCAAAAAGTTAATAACTCTTTCAAGGGTCTTTGTGTGCGCTTCTACAATAAGGTCCCAAGCAAAATACAACAATTAGATATCATGCAGTTTAAATCTACTATTAAAAAAATACTTATTAAAAAAGCTTATTATAAGATATCCGATTATATAATAGATAAGAACGCTTGGACTTGAGATGATCCAGCAACTGGATAGGTGATTACTTCTAAACTCATTATCTTGTTTCCATTATTATTAAATGATTATGTTATTGTTATAAGACCATAGTTTTTTTTTATCTCTGTTTATAATGTATTGATCTGGTAATGACATGGTTTTTGTAAATGTCATTACTCATATTAGAGCTGGTGAGTTTCTTGCTCGTTCTTCTTCTCAGCCAAAAGACGTCCTGAACGAGTGGTAGGGAAAAAAAGTTGGACGATTCAAAAGTACTTTTAAGAAGTCTATTTGAATAAAGATAATTTTGACTTTGACTTTGACTATGCCCCAGACGTGATATCTCATAATCTGACGATTATCTGAAGGGATTTACCTAATCTGATAATTTTTTTTTTCTTTAATTTTTTCAAATCATTGAGCTTAATTAAATAGAAAAGTACCGGAGTTAGCATTCAAATAAAAAAGTGTATGTCTTTTACGTAGAATGCTTATATTTATAAGAAAATGATTACATGAAAATTTATTTTTTTACAGTATTTTTTATTAATTATCATCTTCATCGCTAGAATCATCTTCCTCTTCTACTCTTAGTAAATATGTAAAAAGTTTAATTCACAAAATTTACATTAAAATAACAAAATAAGCAGCCGAAACCAGAGTGGGGACGGAGTGAGAGAGTAATAGATAGAAAAAGAGTGAGAGAGAAATATTGATGCGGAGAAGGAAATTTAGGTATCACGTAGCTGCACGCATTAAATCTTATCGATGAATTTTTATTACTTCGGCTTGTGAAAATCGTCAGATAATATACTTTTCGTAATCCTTGAATGATTCACTTCAAAATAAAAAAAAATTTGCCACGCTCGAGAATGTCAAAGTGACGTTTTTTTTACAACTTTGTAGCCTTCCCCCTTCTTACGTCACTCACACTTACGTCAGATTAGAGGAATGTACACATTTTAGCATGTAACTAGCTCACCTTACCTTAATCTGACGCGCTCGAGATTTTCAGATGATCAATTTTTTTTACTAATCTGATCCTTCGTCCTTGCCGGGCGGCCATTTATATAGGGCTCATACTTGGTCCAGGTACTTAACTGGGTACAAGGTATCCCCCTGTATATTAATCTGCCGCGCTTTAGTAAATCCCGAAATCCCCGCTTGGGCTCCCCTACTATGTCGGTCATTTTGTTCCTCCCAGTATAAGGTAATCTACGTATATTCATTATAGCATATGCTACAGAGCTATTAGATGATTAATCACTATGTGGGTCCCTCTGAAGCTTAGCATCTGGTGTAATTCTTAAAATACTCTTGTATCCACCCACAAGGTGAATGTACTTGTTTAACATTGTTTAATACAAATTTAAGTTATTTTTCAAACATAAAAATCAGTATTATAATTTCTATGTAGTTTTATCATCGCCTTCTTCAGCATCATCTTCATCGTCTCAGGCTTAATGTCTACAATATGTTAACTTGAAATTGTTAAAATCGTCAGTTTATTCTTTGTCTGGCTAGATTCTAGTTAGATTTAACTAACTAGAATTATTTATGTGGCAGTCAGTAATTCTCAAGAGTCACCGGGAGTTCTGCATAGCGAGCGCCTTACTCATCTAGCTATAACTATATACGAAGGATATTACATCTTAGCGATGTTATAGCGCTATTTCATCACATTCTTCTATTTTGACATGTACATTAATATCGGCGAACGAATAATAAAGAATGATGAATATGGATTTGCCAGCAGTGTTTCTAATTTAGTAATTTATCCCAAATTTATCCACTAAAAGATGTTAAAGTAGTACATGGACTATATTTGGTAGCCATACAGGTTAGATAAACCAGCTAGAGTGAGTGAGAATGATAAGAAATTATGATAAAATTTTACGACCTTTTATTGTTTCATACAAATGTGACCGGTTCGGATAAGTTGTCTCATATTTGAGTTAAAAATTCATCAAATAAAACAATTTAAATGATGCTAAAGTTAATATTGGTATTTATAACAGATAGAAATTTCCACAGATTTCTGTGTTCTGTGGAAAAAGTTTCCTTTAAAAGTTGTGAATTGTGTCAAATATTTGAGAGTGCACGTTGATGACAAACTCGACTGGCATGTCCAGATTCAGCTTCTCAGAGCAAAGGCTCGTAGGTTGATTTATGTCTTCAAGAGATTCTGAGGTTCAGTTGATCAAAACACTACATCAATTAGTTTACCGGTAAAGTATGTCGGTTTTGGAGAAACTTCTACTTCTTCTGTGAAAGACGAAAGTCAGGCTGAAAGGTTTGATCAAACAAAACCGTTACAAATAGGAGAAGATGTGGTAATACGCTGCGAAATAGAGGCAAGTACGAGGATACCAACCCCTGCGGTATGTGTGGCTCCAAAATGTTCTACTAAATAAGCTGATTCAAATTACGAAGATACAGGTCCTCCAGTATCTTAGTAGTTTGAGGACCCTTATTCTATAAAAATGAAATAGTGGCTGAAGTATGCAGTGCAACATCTATTCGAGAAATTGGACAATATATACCTGTCGGTCCATATTTAAATTGGATTAATAATGATTGTACGAAACTTAACGCAAAACTATAAAAAGTCGTACTATCTCGACTTTTCTCCGTGCTATCTTTAATTATTCAGTTTAATGTCAGTTAAATAAAATTGACCACGTTATAAATTAATTATTTATTCAATTAAATAATTTGCAGAAATTTATATTGTAATAATATCTAATACTATTACTTAAAATGAAAAATGTTGCAAGGGATCTCGCAAGATTAAGATGTTTTGATTTACGTAAAATCATTAAAATTTGTTAACATGTTTGATCTCTACGTCATACGGGAACAAGCATACATATACTGATAAACACCTTACTTTCCACAGTCGGGTACGGTTCCAATTGTTATAATAAGTTTTAACATAGTAAAATCAACTCATTGTGCGCGCGACGGTATGTGTGGGTAATCCGTAAGACTTTATGAGAGCACCGAGTCACCAAGCACCAAGCAAAAATAATTGAAAGGAAAATAAAAAATCCGACTTCGTAAAATCGAATTACAAAAATACATGAAAAAATTAACTAAAATAAAAACTAAAAAGAAAGAAACAAGCCCAGTCGTTTAGAATTCTGTTAAGTAATACTAAATAACTACACAATTGAAATAGTTTTATAATCGAGACACATGAACAGAACGACTCATAGTCCGGGCCCCTTGGGTAGATTTGATTGGTAAAATTTTAAGCCAATCCCAACGATCTGTGAAGTACAAGAACTTTTGGCATGGGAGGTGTACAACTAAAAGCTTGGAAAGGAAGTTGAGGCCCAGCGTAATGCCACATGTGTCAAATCTTTACGCATTCTTCAGCAACCTGCCAACGCTGACTGGCTTGCAGATGCGGTGAAACCATGCAGACAGTAATTGCTCGAGATCACGTGAAACCCCACCAATCTGTACCTAGTCTCGCTGACTGTGGAGGAGCCACAATGCTAACAGCGTGACGTGCCTCGTCTACATCAAGGAGGCGTGAACCAAGAAGGCCACTTCCATTACGCGCATTAAAGCGCCCCTATTCAGACACCCAAGACGCACCCGAAAAGCGATGCCCCCAACTCATCGATGGCAGCTGCAACCTCCCGACGCTACCGAGACCAAAAACAATCACCATATTAACAATTTTCTGCAAATTTGATAGGCTATCGTGGTCACCCGGTATCTTAAGTGGTTAGTGAGGCAAAGTAGACTAATCTAAATATAAAATCCGCAAAATATTTCATAGTTACAGAGTTCAAATTTATTTAACGTCATCTAACACGAGTTTATTTTAAAGTATTTCAACTGAATGTAATGCAATTTTGATAAAGTTTTACGACTCTTTGTTATCCTATTCCAATGTGATCGGTCCAAATAACTTATGTTTAATATTTTAGTTGCAAAATTATTGCCATCAAACAAAACTGAAACGTTACAAAACTATAAAACTGATATTTAAATAATGCTAATGTTAATGTTGGTATTTATAACAGCGATTGAACTATCGGGCACTAAAATTTATAATAACCCTCTTAGAGTATTACATGGGAAGTCAGACACGGGTAATGAATATCCTTTTGTGGTATCATTAGAGACTGCTTCGCGTCAACGATATTGTACGGGTTCTCTCATTGCTGAACGTTGGGTACTGTCTGCAGCTCACTGCTTTAACGATCAGCCAAAGTTAGTAAGATTTGGTAACATGACTGTACCTGCGAAAGAAGCAACATATCGACCTATACTTCGAATGTTTCCTCATCCCAATTATAGTGAGTTAGAAACTGTAAACTATTTAATGATAAACGATATTGGATTAGTGTTGATTAGTGCAATAAAGGACGTCAAGATGGTGAAATTATCGGCTGTCGACTACACGACATTAATTGGATCACCGGTAAAGTATGCCGGTTTTGGAATGACTTATATTTTTTCTGTTTTGGAAGATAACAGTCAGGCTGAAAGGCTTGATCAAACAAAACCGTTACAAATAGGAGAGGGCGTGGTAATACGCTGCGAGACAGTAGAAAGTCTGAAGATACCAACCCCTGCGGTGTGTGTGGCTCCACAATGTTCCAACAAATACGCTGATTCAAATTACGGAGATTCAGGAGGACCCTTATTCTATAAAAATAAAATAGTGGCTGTAGTATGCAGTGATACCTCTGTTCGAGCAATTGGAAAATATACACCTGTCAGCCCATATATACAGTGGATAAACATAGTGATTGGACGAAATTAAATACGGATTAAAGTATCACTTTGATTTTTCTTTTTGTAAAAGTATACATACACCCGGTTTCTGAAATTGAGAATTTGAAGTTGAGCACGTCTCAAACCGTGCTTAAGCTATTTTAAACGTCAATTAAACAGTTTTCGATATTGATAAATAGTTTTAATGATCATTTGATAGAAATTTGATAAAATAGGACGTTTTGCCATAAAAAAGGTAAAAAACTTGAGTTATTTAGAATAATCAGTTTAGATTTTGCGCTTATCTCTATTCAAAAAACCGGCCGTTAGTGATCTTTTTATATATAACTTTATGTCAGTTAAATAAAAGCGAAGAAGTTATAAAAGTGTAGTTAAAAAAAAAAGTGTAGTTGAACAAACGCTCATTAGTAGTGGTGTTTGCATATTTAACAGATGTGCCGAAGTCACAACCTGACATGTCCGGCCGTAGTTGGACTGATGGAAACCCTAATGCCATGAGTAACATGAAAAGTGAAGTTCAATACATAATACAATATTGTCATTTGTAAACTTCATATCGCTACCTGTTTCTCTTTTAGCGCGTTTAAATATCACATACAAACTCGCTTTCCGATTTATAATATTAGTATTTATTCGAAGTCAAAGTGGAGGTCGAAATATGTTTTATAAACTTATTTAAAAATTGTCCAACATTTTTGTCCCACCACTAGTTTAGGACGATTTTTTTGCTTGTTCTTCTTACAAGCAAGAAACTCGCTAACTTTAATGAGAGTAACAATATTCACAAAACCCATGTCTTTATCGGATCACTACATTATAAATTTATGAAGTCACTACTTTACAATATTAACACAATAGAAAATAAAAGTATGATCTTACAATGATAAAATAAATAAGGAACATGATTATTTTGAAATTTATAAAAAAATCACCATCTAATTTCTGGAATACCTTAGGTCCAATAAATCTTTTCTATTATATAATCAGATGCCTTTTAATCAGTTTTTTTTTATAGGAGATTTAAATTGATCAGAAACTAATTGTATTAATACAGCTTGGGATCTTATTTTAAAAGCGCACACAAAACCCCTGAAGGATTACTGAATTTTCCTATATAGGGATATGTAACACTAATTTATTTTATTTCTAGTATTAAAATTGTATACCTACCTACATTACTTTTTATAGAGAACCAAATTAATATTTTACGTGTATTAAAGAAGTTGTATTATAGCTTTACTAAATTAATACAATTTGTTTCTTTAATTTTTAGTTCAATTTTGTCAGTCATGTTTTGTAATTTATAACTGGCTTTAAAATCGAAAGTATGAGGTTATAAGTTTGACAGCTTGATGGATCGAGGTAGTCCCATTTAAATTTTATCCAAATCGATTATTTATTTTTCCTATAATCAAAACAAAAAAGCTGTTTCACCGAGACTTCGCCTGCGTAAATTATATAACCTATGTCCGCTGCGTATTATGTAACTTCCCACAGATGAAAGATTTTTATAAATAGGTCTTATATAGTTTCGGCGCATATCCAATGCAAAAAGAAGCAATCAAATTTTTCCTCTTTAAAATATATAATATATATTATTGAAAAAAATATGTCAAGCAAATAATTTCTCCTATTATAAGGCTTTCACTATGTTAAATATTTTTATTTACATACTAATATTTTAAGTGTTATTTATTACATACAAATATCAATATCACTAAATTATATGAAATAAAGACATTTTATAAAAAGTAGAACCTACTTCAAACTTTAAAAAGTAATAAAAGCGGCTTATTCACGAAAATGCTATTGGAGTCGAGCGCCTATTATTTAATTAATAACCTACAGAAAATCTTCCACCCGACTTTTGAGATAAGTACCTCTATTATTTATCACTTTTTTAAGTTTGAAGACCAGTAAAAGTAAACAAAGTAGGTAATATTATTGGAATGTATCATCGTAAAGACCTTTAATTTGATATCCATATTGATATATTGAAATAAAAATCGTTTTTCATATTTTTAATTCATGCAGCCATCCTTTTATATGTAAATATAATAATGTCACTCGGGACTAAGAAATGTTTCTAATGAAATCCAATACATTTATATTCGCTAAGTATTTTTTTAAAGTTATGGAGAATTAATAAAAGTCACAAATTAATCCTAAAAACATCCATACGACACTACACCTAAGTAGCTGAAGCACATTACACTAGTATACTAATCGGTTAATATCTATATAAGATAATCTACGTATATTCATCACAGCATATACTACAGAGCGAGTAGATAATTTATCACCATGTGGGTCCCACTGAAGCTTAGCATCTGGTGTAATTCTTAAAATACTCTGGTACCCACCCACAAGGTGAATGTACTTGTTTAACATTGGGCAATTCAAATTTTAGTCATTTTTCCCCTTCGCTAACAAATAGATTATTTGCACTGAACTAATATACTACTTTACTATATTTGCGCTTATTTGCTATATTGCTCTTAATTACTAAAATATATTAACTTTGTGTCAGCTAGTTTAAATATTGTTCATATTTTAAAAATCCGGTTTTATTACTCTTAACTCAAAACCTTTATTATTATTTCAAATTTTTAACTTTCCTAAACTAATTTTGTATTTGCCAAAAGCTACATACTATCTTAAAACTCAGATAGAAATGACATTGGCTAGATTTCTTGCATTTACTTAGTCCATTTTCTTATATATTTTCAATTTTGCTAACACATAGTTGGTTGATTATGCAATTAATCTTTTCATCGTGTCATATTATTTTATTTACACAGATCTTTCGAATAGCCATTGTTACCAATACAAAATCATACTTCAAAGGATAAGAAGCTTCCTAGAAGAAATCCAAGCTATAAGAAAAAATGAAGCTAATGGTATTTGTGAATTCTGTAAAAGGTATAATAGTATAGGTAAGTGTAAAAGATGTGAAATATTAGCAAATAGACGTGGATTGAAAGCAAACGACGATGATAATCCTCAGCAACAAAGATTTATGATGTGGCTTTCCAAGGTAAAGCAGTTTCTGTTCACTATCCTAGAGAGTGAAGCAACTCAACATAAATTGTATCACCGTGACGAAGACGGAACTGAAGAATTAATCACTTTATTAAATAAATTAAAGTTGCCTTTGAATGTTCAAAAACCTTATATTAGTAGTATTTCTTCAAATAATTTATTAGAAAACCTAAATGAAAGTAATAATATTCTCAAAGAAGTTGTAACAAAGTTAACGAATGAAAAACATTACCATTCAGTTAGAATTTCTGGGGCAATGGAATCTTGCCCCAGTGAATGTAAGTATTTTAGTGGTAGGAAACTCGTAAGTCATTTAGAAGGTAATAAAGAGAGAAAAATTGATAATGAACCTTTAGCACCGATTCCACTAGAAGATAATCGTAAGCCAAAAGTATCATCTGGTTTAAAAACAAAAGCTGACACTAAGGCAAAACTAAAAACAAAAGAACAGGATTATGGGAAAGTAGAAGCAAATGGTATGAAAAAAGCTAGTCCTAAGGATCAGGGTGATATAAAATCAAAAAATCAAGATAATATAAAAGTAAAGGGTAAAAATAAGGACGTTAACGGCAACCATAAAAAGGAACAGAGTTTAGATAAGTCAAACACAAAAGACCCCAAACCTATTAAAAATGAAAACGACAACGAAAAAAAGAAAAAGCCAACACATGATGCAGAAGATATGTTAATGGCTTCTATGCTTAAATCACAACAAGAAAAAGATAGTACTAAAACTAAAAAAGAACCAAAACTTGAAAAGCAACCCGTTATCCCTAAGATTGAAGAGCTTCCAAAGCCGAAGCGTAAGTCTGTGAAGGAAGAAAAAGATGATACTATTACAGCTACCTATGTTTCTGAAAGTGTTGTTGAATGCGACTATCATATTATTGAACCAACACAAATGGTGCAAGGGACTGGATTAGTTCCAATTCAATCTCGTACTGAACTGGATACTGGCTCAGTAAAACCATTGCTATTCAAAGTAAAACAAACTCTCATAGATAATGAAAAGGCTACTGAAAGTACTATTACCTCGACTACTACAAGTAAATCAGCAAAAACGAAAAGCAAAATTAACGCGTCTGTAAGTTTTATTCTTAATTTTTTTATAATAAATAAATTATAGGTACGAATTTAATGTTAACTACTCACGTTTTTTTTAGGATTCACGATTGGGGAGGGGTGTTATAAGTTATAGTCTATCAAACAGAGACTTCATTGAAAAGGGTTGGACATTGCTGCCGACAACTAAAATAATGCGCAGGGTAATATTATCACTATCAGTTATAAATAAAATACATACTTAGTAATAGTTTGTAGTGCAGAAATTAGGACAGAATACCCGGTTTTTGCCACTGTCCCCTTTTCGCCATTTGGAACTTCAAAGCTTTTTTCCTAAATTAACTTTAGGCTCATAACCTTAAAATGACCAAAAGTGGATAATCTGCCCTATGTTATAACTTGGTCCGTTTTTATTTCTATTAATAGAATATGAAGCATTGGCTTAGTTTCTTATCGATAATTAAACTATGTTACTGTATATTATGCAATCGTTTTATACAGTAGATTATTGATGAATGAGGTTCATGGAATACCTATCAGGATATAGATAGAACACTCTAAATGTATCGAATATTATTCCATTTCTACTCGTATGTAAGTAAGTAGAAAAGGAATAATACCTACTAATGGGTAGATTAAAGGATTGTTATTACGTTCTTAATACTTGTTCAATTTTGACCCTACACTTATACATTAAAGATCATATTTGTAAGTCAGGCTCTACTAATATTACTGTCCATTTCGAAATTTTGGACTTTAACACCTTAGAGTAAGATATATGTTGTTAAGTGTAAGACTAGGTGCTAGAAGTGTTTCAGATGAATGTCTATAAGATGGTGCCGTCACATCCCGAATATGACTGGTTCAAGAATCACCAAAATAAAAAAGTTATCATGTATGACACCGGTGAAAGATTGGCTGAGATTGACGATAACGACAATGGCAAGTGGTATTATAAAAACGGCAGGCTCGCATTAAATTACTACAACTTGCAAGGTAAGTATTTAAGTCAACAAGTGAGTGGTCACTTGTTAGGGTGGCCTAACCACCCATACATACATATACATACACACCAACACACATGGACATACACACGTACGAATACATACACTTGCACCTATGCATGTTTAGATTAGTAGATATTATGCATGTAGGAGTGCTCAATTAAACTCAGTTATAATCAAGAAATGGAAGAGTAGTTTTTGGTACTTTTGGACTTAAAAGAAGAAGTCAATACATAAATCGTTAAAACTTGTAAACTGCCTACACGTTTATTATTATTATATTACTCGTTTATTTGATAAACGTTACTCTACAACTCAAGGGGTCTCCCGTGTAACTTCGCTTGCAAAATGACTAGAATGCTTAGTGTACTGTTTTCTTTTTTGACATTTTTATGTTACCATCGATCGTGGAATCTTGGATAGCTATTGGACTATTTGTGAGGTTTGTTACCTACATGTTAAAGGATTTTAGGAAGGTTATAGCTAAAAGGAAAGTGAACCCGAAAGCGAAGATTTTTAATTTTGTAATGCGGCTGTACTTTTTGATTGTAGTAGGTGCTTACTCTAAAACAGTGTTTTATAACCTGCGGTGAGTACCGTAATTCACTCGGATTACTTGTAGATTACGAGTATAGTATGGTGATGAGTAGTCTCATTTATGGTCTACTAGCTTTTGTCTGCGTGGTAAAGTTGCTTTTAACGGCGAACATCCATACAAATTTTCATGCCCTATTTCAACCCTTTTACGTCCTTTTTTCGCGATAAAAGGCAACTTTAATTTTTTAAGACTCGTACCCAGTTGAACAAATGTCCATGAAGATTTAATAGCATCTGTAAACTGTATTAAGTGTTCGATTATTTCAAACAATTGCATTAATAATATCACTTAAAACTAATGATAATTTTTAATAGACGTTTGTGCAACTTGGTAACAACGCCTTAGGCTTGCAAGCGTAACATACAAATGACTTTAGTATTTATAAAATTAGTACGTAATAGGATTTGAGAATAACAAATAAATGCAATTAAAATTTTTGCATCTTTTAATTATATGGAAGTGCTTTCTGTCGGGATATATAAGATAAATTTTGCGTTCTTCACTTAAATACAATAAACCGGCTTTAAGAATAACTTGTAGCTTTGTAATAACCACTAATATAGAACGAGAAAGTTGCAGAAAAGTAACACCAAAATCTCACACTTGTGTTTTTTTTTGCAGCAAATATTAATAGTTTGAAATTCATTACCTACTTTTCTTTTTATATGAGAGTCTTTGAACTTGTACTTAAGTTCCAAGAAATCCAGGGATTCAGATATGTTAATTATTCACTAACAGAGACAAAATAACAAAACGAATTTTCCTTATACTACATTAATATCGATTCGGCCCGTATATGTATGCGATAATTCATGTTTTTATCTCATACATTAATTTTTAAATGTTTTTCTTTCACCTCTTTTACAGCGTACCATTATGTTGACTTGTGTTTATCTTAAATAAAAACTAAAGAAAAACATGTTTGTATACAGAATCAAGTTCTGGATATAGATACGTCGTCTATAGTTCCGGAGAAAGAGATGCGTTTGGTAAAAAGCTCCCAGTGACGGTCTTGGCAACTTTCGATTACCTCGGCAATGGAGTAGTGTACGATCACTATGGTAATGAAAGGTGACTAAATTATTTTTATTTCATAGAGAATTAACAGTAAGAATGTGAGTAAGAAAAAGTAGAAAAAGTTATAATGAGTATTATTCATTTTTTTCTTTTGTTTTAGCAGTAGTATAATTCCCGTCATGTATAAAGGCCACTAAAAGTCAGCGAAGGGGATATGTTTGCACATGGATACAGTCGCATCAAATATAATTATACTATTGTTATAATTTTATCATAAGTGCACGTTTTGTTCAATAATAAGGTACACTTACTAGTGGCCGTCCGCGTTGAAGTTGGTTTCCCGCAACCCGTATCACTAAGGGATATGAAAAATAGATGTTAGCCGATTCTCAGACCTACTCAATATGGTCACAAAATTTAATGAGAAACCTGTCAAGCCGTTTCGGAGGAGTACGGGAACGAAAATTGTGACACGCGAATTTTGTATATATAAAGATTAGCACATCGTCTTACCCCCTTATCTCATTGCTATTCCATACAATGCGCACTACGCAGGTCTTTTTAAATGACGGGAACTTTCATACTTCTTAGATTGTATGTCTAGTGCATTAGCATTATAAAAAGATTTTATTGAGTTGGACTTTTTTTTTAACTTTATAGTAAGTTTATTTCCATTAACTCAGTTATTTATAGGGTTACAAACGCCGATAAAACCGTTGAAAACTAATTTTATAAAGAAACTAAATTTTATAAATACGACGTTGCCTGTAGGACAATTTAAATTACCTGCCCACCACCACCAAGTGGCCGAGACGAGAGAGGCACTTAAAGTGAGATAATTTACAGGCAGGCATATTTTAATCTTAACCTGTTTCTCGGCCTCTCGTGTGTTCTTGAGCTCATTACGCTTCATGAGCTGAAAAGTTCCTCGAACCTTTTATCTATCGTAATAACAAAATAAACTTTTCATAAATAATTGTCTTATTTCTACAGATTGAAGTATAATCAATCTGAGGGAGTGATAATTGACGACAAAATTGGCGCCCCAGGCCATTGGAAATGGCATACACTGAATGAGCCTCCGGTTTTACAGCCTCAGTTTATAGATACATATGAGAAAAGTGACGCTTGCCTCGAGAAACTACTTCGTTCAAAACATGCTGATAAATCAGATACTTCAAGCACAAAAAAGAAGGATTCTGATTTGGATATGATCGCTATTGAATTGGAAAATATAATGAAAGAAAAAGCAAACAAACTTCTCCAAGAATTTAAGCCTTTTCAAATTAAAATGAAAGCACTTAAAATTAACGATCATTTTTCATTAAAAATAATAGATCAGTCTAAAATATATCTAACGTTTAGGGATAGCCTGACGTTTATGAAGTTAAATATAGGAATGTTATTAATGAGTAATGAAATTGTCGACACCATTGCTGCCGAGTTGTACCAAGTGGCTACACCTTACGATTACTACCCTCCGAAGACGCAGAGTATAGCTGATATACAAAATATATTAGAAAAGGCCAGACATTTTGGAAAATCCTCATCTTGTAACGAACGAAATACCTGAAATCTTCTCGTGACTATTTTTATTTATAATTAATTTTACATAGGTTTTATAGTTTAATTTTAAATTTAAACACATTTTGTCGATAGCAATATTTAATGTGTTAGTTGTGATATTTGCGTATAATTTTTATTATCATATTAATAACTAATTGGATACTGTAGGAGTTCAAATTGAAAACACAATCGAGTCCAGAAAATAATCAATTTACTAGACTTTCAATATTGTTTCATTAAAATTAAATATTTATGATAGAAACACGTTTGCTAATACTATTTAGTGAGTAAGGGAGCCGCGTCGTCGCGTGAACTACTAGTATCGTATCGCGGCAGTACTACTGCTCACGTTATCGATAGGGATGTTCCCACTACAATACTATATTTATTAGAACGTTTCACACTATCAGTGCAAATATTTTTATGATCTATGAATTATTTATATGGGAGAAGATATAGTCAATTTAGAATTACTATTAGATATTATTTTGCTTAGACAATTATTATTTTAAAAATAAATTTCCAACATAGAATGGTTTTATTTCACTATGTTTATGTATGCCAAAGTTCTAGCTACTTTCTAAAGGATAGAAAAAATCAAGAAAGACAAAATATCTAGTGACCTACAAATACACCAGGCGCTATCGCCTAATAATGTCCACAGTTTTTGACTGCAAAAGCTCAAAAAACACCATCTGATATAACTTCATATTATTTACCTTTCGTCCATAAAGACTGTCATTGTAGCACTCTAGCGCTTGAAAAAAGTGGGCATTATTAGGCGACAGTACATTACGATTAATAACAACTACTTATATATAATCTAAGATATATATAGGGTTCCTCTGTGCATCGGAAAACCCGCTATGTGTTGGGGTTATGCCTGTTCTTCCTGTATGATTGTTTTTGCATGATTCCACTGGTCAAATAAATTTAACGTTGTTTTTGTCATATGAAAGTTAATATCAAATTTTGAATCTACCAAGGATATCAAACAATAATACACCAATGAAAAAACAATTGAAACAACAGGTCTTTTTGTGACATCAGATCACAACCATATATATATACTTTTTAGGCCGAGCTTTATGTGCAATGGTAGTTAAAGTATTATTTTTAACACATTTATGGCCTGCATGCTTGAGAATCTATGCATGTTCGTAGATGAGCTCGAATGAAAGAAGGTTGTTCCGGCTGATACTGCAATCTTGGAGCAAATGTGACGAAACAAGATTTTTGAGCATTAAATATAAGAATTTCTGGATGGATACAACTGTGCACACACTGAAAAAAAACGAACTCAAAATGAGGGCTTAATAGTTTACTCCAAAAAAACATGCAGGTTACAATCTTTGTTCCCGATCTCCTTGATGCCAATTGTTTTACAGTTGAAGTAGACTGTAATACAATTATAATTGCTATATACAAACCACCAGGATATAGAGATATCGATCCTTTTATTCAATCTCTCAATGATCTATTGTCTATAGGTGATATTAATATAGACATATGAGAAAACAACAATGATGTTAACTCAACGGTATACCTGGACCTTCTCACGGCATTTTACCTGCGCATACATTTCGAATACACGGATTGATTTGTTTGGACCACCTTATGTTGAAAAGTAAACGTGAAGCCTATTGTTATATAACAGAGACATCAGTTACAGACCACGACTCAGTAATATTTATTTTGGAATATCATCAATTCACCCGTCACCCTCTCAATTCATTTACGGTTGGCAGGATACATTATGATAAATTAGACATTGATATGAATGATTTAGATTTAGCTCGTGTTTATGATGCAATGGACGCAAATTCCGCTACATCAGTATTTATCGATGTTTTATAAAAAAAAAAATCAGCTCGCATACGTATATTATCAAGATTCCAAATCGTAAGAAACTCTGCAAACCTTGGATGACAGTAGGACTTCTGAGATGTATGCAAAAAAGAGACAAATTGCACTAAAATCTCAAAATAAAAAACCAAATGACGAAGTACTCACAACTACGTATAAAAGAAACCGAAATTTCTGTAACTGGCTATTAAAAAAATTTAAACGAGATCACTAACGGAATCAGATTGATGAAGCGGCTAAGATTAACAATTAATCGCTGTGGACTGCTATAAAACAGGTTACTAATCAAACAAAAAGTATAAATCCTGCTTTGGACCTAATATCCTCTTCAAACCCTAATGACTTAGTTAATAATATAAATAATCATTTTGCATGTATTGCAAAAAAACTAAGCGGAAAAAATGCTAAACAAACGTCCTAAGAATATACCAACAATACCTTCACAATCTTTCTCCTTCTTTTTGTTCTCCACCAACGATTCTGAAGTTAGTGAGATAATATTAAAACTACAAAAGGCAAACACTGTCAGGCACGATAATATTTCTGGTAATTTTCTAAAAAGGTATCATATGATTTTATCTCGGCCCTTAACGCACATGCTTCATTTAATGTTCTCGACTGGAGTATTTCCGGACGAGTTCAAATTAGCTGAAGTAATTCCTATCCACAAGAGTGGTGACAGGGGCTGTGTCGATAACTATACACCTATATATATACTCTCATCTTTATCAAAACTAGCAGAGAAGATATTAAATATACGCTTGATTAAGTATCTTGAAACAAAAAATCTCCTTTCAAAGTGTCAATTTGGTTTTAGGGCAAAAACATCAACAAACGATGCTGTTCACGAGTTAACTGATCACATTGTCAATAAGCTTGACAAGAATAATAAAGTAATTGCAATATTTTTAGACTTGGCCAAAGCTTTTGACACAGTTTCTGCACCACTCCTTTTGGAAAAGCTGAGAGGCTTGGCATTCGAGACATACAATTAAAGTTATTTGAAAGTTATCTTACGAAAAGGTATCAGAGAGTCAGAGTTGGTGAACATAAGAGTTCGGACTTGCCAATAAATTTTGGTGTCCCACAGGGCAGCGTTTTGGACCCTACACTCTTCCTCGCATTTATAATTGACATGTGTAATTTACAACTGAAAAACGGTAAAATTGTAACTTTCGCCGATGACACTGCGCTTTTATTCCATGCAGATACTTGGCAACAAGTTTATAGCTATGCTCAGTCTGGTTTTAATAAAGTTTATTCTTGGCTGATCGATAATACCTTAAAACTTAATACTGACAAAATCAAATATATACCTTTCTCTACAAGGAATGTGCAGTTGGCAATACATATAAAAATTATTCCATTGTAGCCCACTCTTGTCTATCTAGACAAGTCTGTTCCTGCAGTCAAATTACCTCAGCTCATAATATAAAATATTTGGGTATCTTGATTGACAATACGTTGAGTTTCCATCACCACATTGACCTTCTTTTGAACGGATCCCGTAAGCTAATCTATATCTTTAAAATTTGCAAGACGTTGCCGTCGCAAGTGTTTGAAATGAATCTTGGTACAAAACGACGAACCAAGCCTTATTATGTCAATTTATATTGAGTTATTGTATCACAGTGTTGGTACACCAAAAACTAATTTATTAAAGTTTGAGAGAGCTCAAAGAGCTGTTTAAAGGGTGAATTTTCGTCTACTATTTCGTTACCCTACTAAGGAACTATATTCAATAGCTGATCTCCTGACAGTGCGGCAACTATTTGTTCTCAATAATATTGAAACAGCACTTCTTAATAAAATTTGATCCTTCACTAAATACATCCAAGGGCCTCAAACATAAAGTCTGCCAATATACTGTTTTATGGTCTAAAAGTTTTTCAATAAAATTCTTTGGTTTTCTGGGTGTATACTTGTATAATAACATAAATAAAAACGATACAAATTTATTCACTCACTAAAGTTAAGTGCAAAAGGGCCATAACTTCATGGTTAAAATCTTTTAATTTTGTAGACACTGAGAATTTAATAATTATCCCTTCGTAATTTCTTTTCTTTCTTTTTTTTGGTTTTAAACAAAGTAGTACAGTTATATACATAAAGGTATAAATTTTTATAGTAAGTAAGACAGTATTTAATAATGCGTTCATACCATACATACACACATCACACACACACACACACACCACGCACACACACGCACACACACACACACGCACACACACGCACACACACACATACACACACACACATACACACAGGCATGCACACAAACTCCTACATAACACAATTCAGACTCATTTCATACACTACAATCTCTCTTATTACTTTTAATATTTTATATATCACTGGTACCTCATTATAATTTTTGTCTGGTTCAGGATTGGAGAGGCTGGTTATCTGTCATACAGATACCAGATACCAGTCTCTCGCATAGATTATAAAATTGTTCTACTTAGTTTTTAAGGCGGTTACTATTCTGTGATATCTGTGTGTAAAAACAAATTAAGTTTATTATTAATTCATTAAAGCTTAAACTCATTAATAAACTACATGGGAGTTTGTGCAACTACATTTGCAAAAATGACCTTTAAAGTAATGTTAAAATTTTAATGAAAGTCAAGTCCATATCTGCCGACGTTTTCAAACAGATCTATCATGATCTATGAGCATCGCAGAGTGGGCTCTCTTTTCTCTCTCTATATATATATTTCGATTTCAAATACATACGAGTATATATACCTACCAAAGAGTAAAATCTAAATCGACTAAATCTAGTTACCATTAAAATTAAGAAGAAGAAGAAGATTAAATATATGCCTGTTTTTGGTTTAAAACCTCAGAACTTTACTCATTGATCTCAGATCACAGTTAGTTAGATGGTACTACAAAATAACGACTTACAAGATTTGCTCACAATAATATTAATTGTGGGATATAATTGTTAAAAATAGGTAAAAAATGGATGTTAAAACGTAAGTGATTGTAAATTTTAGGGGTAGCATATATAATTTAAAGATTTAAAATATTGCAATAAAAAGTGTTGCTTCACTGGATTATCAACTGTAACTTCTCATAAAAAATAATCAAAAATATGAAAACGTTCTGTTAATTTATAAAAAAATCATCAGTTTCAGTACAGTTTTATATCAAAATGCCAAGTTTTGCAACGAGTGTAACGATTCCTCCCTGACATATGTAAAGAAAGATAATGATGGTGGTGACTTTTCCCCAACAAGCTTCAATACAAGTGATATTAAGGTATACTTATATGAATAGCTTTGATTAAAATAAACAAGGAAAGATACTACTTAAGCGCTTTGTTAACGGGTGCTACAAATTAGGTTTATGCACATAATTTAGATTTCAACAACATTTCGGTCGTGTATTATGAGGGTGAAACTGGCTAGAAGAATTAATACTCTAGGAAGTTGTGTGAGATCGTATACCACAGTGATTGGTTATCCCTGTGTACCTTGAAAGGGATATACCGTGAAGATATATCAAACAGTGGTTTTTGCCCATAAAATAGCTATTTTTAGCCATCTATGCTATGAATCTATTGCATAAAATTAATGTCGTATAAATTTTGTAACAATAACCAATTAATGTCTTATACGTATTAGGACTACCTAATACGAATTTTAATTTTAGGCAACAACCTCAGATAGGCCATCCTAATAAGTAGTTAACGTAATTGTAATTAGTTTTTGTTTATTCAAGGAAAACCAAAATATTAATTCCGAAAAAATAGACACAACGGCAGATGATTTAGATTACTGCAAAGAAAATGGTGAGTCATAGAGTCAATACAAGTAGTAAAATGTAATTCGATGTACATACTTAAGTTAGATGATAGATGTACGAAGATTTTTTTATTTTAAAGGTAATTTCAGTAAGCCCCGTCATATATAATCTATTTTACAGACCCGACCAAATTAAAATCTTATCAATGCAAGACTATTATTCAAAGAGTCAGAAGTCTATTGGATGAAATAAAAGCAATCAAGAGAAACGAAACCTTTGGCATTTGTGATTTTTGTAAAAGGTACAATAGCTTGAGTAATTGTAAAAGGTGTGAGATATTAGCAAAGAGACACAAGATAAGTACATCTGTTAATGAAGAAGTTCGAAAGCAACGATTTAATATGTGGCTTACGAGACTAAAGCAATTTCTATATACGATTCTTGAAAAGGAAATGTGTCAGTTCAAATTGTACCATAAGGATCATAAACAAATAAATGAATTTGCGAATTTGTTAAACCAGTTAAAAGTACCTTTGGATATTCGGCAACCATATATATGCCATTTTATGTGCATAGATACAATAGAAAATTTAACTGAAAGTAAAGATATTCTTGAAGAAGTTATTTCTAAGCTTGGGAAACATAATCCTTTTGCTGATACTTGCGGTGTCGTCTCTTGTCCTAAAATATGTAAAAAAATTCCTGACAAAAAAAAATTGAGTAATGATAATGTAAATGCACCACTAAGTGAAGTACCAGTTATCGATAATACTAAAAAGAATGTTAACAGCATTGAACATGATAAAGTTCAGAAAAAGAAAAAATCTGGCATAACCAAAAAACTTAATAGCAAAGAACATAGAAAAAGTATAGACGATAACTCTTTAAGTACCTTTGACAAGAATTTAGAAGAAACTAAAATAAAAGATAATATAGTAAAGAAGGAAAAACCAAAACGAACTTCAGAGGATGAGTTGATGGCAAAATTAATGAAATCATTTAAAATACAAACAGAGAAGACAGCAAGCGAACCCAAGTCTGTAAAAATACCACAGCTGCCAAATATAGCAGACTTGCCTACCGTCCAGCGTAAAATTCCTAAAAAAATTTTAGACGATCCATCTGTTTCAGAAAGTATTGTTGAATGTGATATGCTAAATTCTGCGAGTAAAATGATGATAAAGGGCACAAATGTTGTCCCATATAAAGCAGCTGTTCCTACAAATAGTTCAATAATTCCTATACTATTTGAGAGTAAATTAGATTTTACAACTGAAGGGACTGTGGAAGTCAGTGATTTGAGTACAGAAGATTCGATGAAATCTAAAAAGAAATCTAAAAATGAATATGTAAGAAAATATTTGGGAGTAGGGTACATTTTGCTTTTTTTTAACCGGTTAGTATATATGAATTACTGCTTTTTAGGAAAGTAAGAATGGTGGAAATATTTTCAAATATATGTTATCCGATCAGAAATTTATTGAAAGGGGTTGGACAATGCTACCTACAACTAAAATACTTCGCAGGGTAAGATTGTACATTTATAGTGTTTTCTCTTGTTTCTCAGACTATAAAGACGATTTCACTGACTTTTAAAATATTAATTTAAGCAGATGAATGTATATAAAATGATACCAACAAACCCTCAAGCTGATTGGTTCAAAAAACACCAAAATAAAAGGGTTACTATGTATAACACAGGTGAAAAATTTGCTGAAATTTATGAAGATGGCAAAGGTAGATGGTATTACAAAAATGGCAAGTTGGCATTGGATTACTATAAATTACAAGGTAAATTTATTGATGATTAAAATTCATAGTTTTCTTTCCCTATGAAATATAATGAACATTTTATTTGAAACCAGGAACTAAAAAAGACTACAGATATGTTATTTATAGTTCAGGAGAAAATCATGATTTCGGCAGAAATTTACCAGTTACCGTTCTGGCATCATTTGACTCTCTTGGCAACGGGGTTGTATATGACCACTATGGGAATGAAAGGTCAAATTTTATGTATTTAATTTAGAAACCATAATTCTCAATTCAATGACATTATTCATATTTGAAATGTTTGCTTGCCAGGTTGAAGTATAATCAATCTGAAGGACTAGTTGTCGATGAAAAAATCGGACCACGTGGTCGTTGGAAATGGCACACTTTGAATGATCCTCCGGTTCTTACACCTGTCCTTGTTGATACACACGTAAAATTAGATAAATGTTTTCAAAACCTTGGGTTTCGAGATGATGATGATAAATCAGTGACGAGCAGAAAAAATAAGCAAGAACCTGATGATAGTATGCTCACTATAGAACTTGAAAATTTCATGAAAGAGAAAGCGCATAAATTAATGCAAAAATTCAAACCTTTACACATAAAAATGAAAGCGCTCAAAATAAACAACCAGTTCTCACTTAAGATATTGGATCAATCAAACATTTACCTAATGTTTCGAGATGGTAAAATGTCTATAAAGCTAAGTCTTGGTTTATTATTGATGAGTAATGAAATTATAGATTCTGAGACATCAGAATTGTCTGAAGTGGCTACAGTTTATGATATTTGGCCTCCAAAATCGCAGAGTATAGCTGACTTGCAGCAGACAGTGGAAAAGGCTAGGCGTCTAGGTAAATGTCATGCTAAGTTACGTCGTTAATAATTTAATTGTTAATTTATTGCTTTATTAATTCTCGTAAAATTATAGATCCTAAGTATGTCATATTTATTGTATGTTACGCTGAAAATGTTAATAACTCATTACCTGAAAGTTCAGTATGTAGGTCTTAAGTTTTCTCGTATCTGAAATAAAAATATAACGTATGGAAATAAAAATATAGACCGTTGCTTTCTTATTCTCTCTCTTCTTAAAAATAATTTTTGTTTCTGACAATTACAGTGCCTTTTTTTATATTTCTACATACATAACTGCTTACTGTTTTCTATTACGTAGCATCAGCGAGGCAGAATCCAAGTAGTGACTCAAAATAATTAAAACTATGTATGTGTTCAATATTCCGAGTACCTATATCTATCTTAAGAGTTTCATTATCATTACATGTTTAAAACCTCTTTGGTTATATTTGAAAGTTTGTTTTTAAATGTCAACTAATGTTTTGTTTTTTTTTTCCTCTCTCTTGTAAAAAATATGGCGAATAAAAACAGTAATACAATAAATAGGCAGTGGTTTTAAATAATGTAGTGAACAGTATGTAAGTGTGTACTGTGTGTGTTTTTAATAAATATTAATTGCAATCCAATTTTCCAGAAATGGCGCTTGTACTATTGTAGAGTTATAAGAGATTTTTTTTTTCAACAAAATATTGTAAGGCCACATTGAGTTCTCTTCGTAGTTTTATTATTATACCTGTTCAATAAGCATAAAATCCGCTTTTTGCTCACGAGGCTTGTATCCATACATCATTACTTGTTATCCTACATTCATAGGTATTAGACTAAAATGTCTAATACAAGATTAGTATGGTATACTACTAAATAAGCGAGGCCATCAATCAGGCTGCGTTGATTCTATATGGGTCCTTATTCATATTTTATTATGACCAACGAAGCTCATGCGTAGGCGTTGATGACGAATGAATAACCGGTTCCACATATAGGGATCCAAGGCGATCCAACGCGCTTTGAAAAGAAAGAAAGAAAAGTAATATTATTATATGCCAGGACTTCGTGGGGTGAATTAGTTAAGTATACTGAACAACTTTGACTATGGGAGCAACACATAATTTACGAAAAAATAATCAGCTGTTTCATATTGTCACCAATTGTAGACATTACAATTTTGTATGAAACAGCTGATTAATTTTTCGTGAAAACGATTATTTGTCAAATATAAAAATTCTTAAAAAATGCACTTCGTCCCTGGTACTCTGAAATGGGATTCGTACCCGCGACCTTACTGATACTGCTCTAACCGCTCTAACTGCGGCCCAGGACTTAACAGAACTGACGAATTTTTCAAGCACTTGAGTATTCTTAAGGAATTCTCAAGAAATTCTCATAAAGACAAAATAAATTAAATATAATATTTGTCATATGTTAGCATCTAATATGTTAAATCAAGTTAATCACACTCACACTCAAGGTAGTCTAGGGTCAGGGTTATTTTTGTTTTCTCCTAATATGCTGGGACTGTGAATCTTTAAGTATGTATCGTTGCACTTCTCATGTACTAGCTTTCCGCCAGCGGCCTCACCCGCGTACCCTGTTTTATGAATATAATTAGCAATTTTACAAAACTAATGAGTTGCACGTCGTAGACCATCGACTACTACATCTCTGACCTCGCACATTGCGATTTTTATTTAATCCCAAAAAATAAAAGAAAATCTTTAAGGATTAGATTTTATGGAAATTCATCTTGACATCAATAACTCTGGATCGATTCGACATAATATAACACTATGTGATTGTGTTAAAAACTGTAGTAATATCCAGAGTTTACTGTGGCAAAATTTAATCCCTACTAATATTATGAACAGGAAAGATTTCATTGTTTGTTTGTTTGCAACGAATAGGCTCCAAAACTAAGGGACTGATTTAAAAAAATCTTTCACTTACGGGTTTTTCAGTTTCATCATATGCGGGGAACATAAGCTTTATTTTATCCCGAAAAACAGCAAAAAAGGGATAAAAATGGGCATAGGAACATTACCATAGTTACCATTGTTTACTACTCGTTTTGACATTGTAATTGTATCCGTGTCATGATATGAATCGACGTCTAAATAAACAGTTCCCTAGGGACCTTCGAGTGAAAGTGCTGGCGGAAAGCTAGTATAAAAATAAAATGAATAAAGGGTTTTTTTCATTTTTGTTAATTTATGTTTTGAATTGACAGTTGGTTGGATTTCGTATATGGTCTCGGGTCTGAGTGTTGTGGTACCTTCGTTGTATCAGATACTCCATAGTACGAGTGCTTTAGCTCTCATCTTGGAATATGAGCAATGTATGTGATGTTGTATATATTACTCGATAACTCGTCTAACTTTGAACCTCCATACGCTTGTTTTTTATATATTATACCTTTTTATATTTTTTTTTGTGTATAAACACAAACCTTGTCCTGACAATAAGGAACACATAAAATATAATCATTCAATTTAGTGTAGACGTTCGGAAGTTAGGCGCATATAGGCATTAGTATGAATATATCCAACATTCATAAGTTAATTAAAATAAGACTATCTTATATAAAGGGGTAAATTAAACGCAATTTTATTTTGTGTACATTTATTACATCTAATAATTAATCTAATCTAAATCTAATAATCTAATTAGTTGACATTAACATTAATTATATCTAATAAACATGAAATTTCACCTAATCTAAAAATATCGTAAAACGGCATCCGCACGTGCTACGATCTACCAGAGTTCATATCAAACATACCTGTGAAGTTTTCAACCAGTATCCAACAACAGGCGATCCGAATAAAATCCATAGTCAATTATTTTAATACGATGCATTAAATGCTAGATTTTTACATCGTTACATTCTCATACAACCTAATGACGAGTGGTCGGCGTTCGCAGACAAACCTGCACAAGCAACCTCTGGGGCTGCAGTCTCGAGAGAGTTTCCGATCGCAATCTTACTGAAATTGATCGCTAACCCATAGCAATATAGCGACTTCGATTATTGCAAGTATCGAGAGTTAGGTACATGGGTTATTCGTTATGCACGCACTGAGCGCAACTGAGTGTGTCATAATAGCGATATTCGTTAGTATCTTAGCGGCAGAGTTTTACAGAGTTCTGCGATCGCTACCAATGTCGAGACTACATGCCCATGTACAGCAGACCATAGCATGTGTGGCGAACTTATGACAATAATCATCTACAACTATTAATTACCTAATACAATAGTAAATATTTAGTCAAACCTTATAAATTATTTTTAATTTAATTTGCTAAATTAAAAATAATTTTTAAATTTCATTAATTTTAAATATAAATATTTATACCTATTATTAGTATCTAGTCAAATATTAAAGCGTTTATCCCCATATTCGTTAGACTTATAATAAAAATGATGAACGCAATATTTATTTATTGCATTATATGTGTTGTGCAATATAAGTAAGATTTGTATGTTTTTTTTTTAATTTCATAATTTTCATAGATTGAACTGAAATAATTTACCTTAAGTATAACACTTTTTACTTAAAATTCGTTCCTTGGTTTTGAATAATATTAATTAAAGAAATCGACACATTTTTAACAATCATCTTAAAATTTAAATACATTTTGGTTCCATGAAAACGAATATGACTACAAACTTTTGTGACGTCAATTTTATTTCAAACACTTGTTGTAATATTTCTAGAGTAAATGGGATCTTATGCATGAATAATGAGACATTCAAATGGCACTGATTTTGACCGAAACTGCTTTAAATAGGATAAACGACTTTAATAATGGCAATCGATAATGTTACTAGTTATATAAAGAGACTTTATTATATTTACTTAATTAATTTATAAGTATAATTGCAAACAACTATGCTATTCTCTAATAAAATCATATATAGCCCGCCACACGTGTCACCGCGCGGATCGGAGTCGTGTACTTAGTATAAGACTTACGGACAGTTGCACAATAGTTTATTAAAGTTTAGCGACGACTTTAAACTAATCAATGTTCTAAATTTGAAAGTTTGTATCGGTAAAGTCGCTTTAAATTAATGAAAAATTTAATGAACGCCTGTGCAACGGCCAGTTAGACGTTAGTCACATTCCACCTGCGTGAAGACGCGCAGTGGGCTATATACGATTCTCGCTTTATTAATAATATATTTTACAAATATTTTGGCTTAGAATATTAACGCTTTATGCATTCTTTTCTTATAAGATAGTTTAGTAATTATATACTATTTATGATTGTTCATCAATTTTTAAACATCTAAAATGCTCTAAGATCTACACAATAAATACTAATATCTCCTATTCTAAATATTAAGTAGCTTAAATCTTTTTAATACTAAGTTAAACTGTTTGAAACAGTAGGATTCTTATTATTAAAAAGTTTTTAACTTCGATCTTAAATAAGATAAATTAGTTAAATATTGATTAATTATATTGACAAATGTACTTCGTTATAATTGTATTTTAAATTGAGTTCTAATATAACAACATTATCAATGACATATTCTGAATTCTGTTGTAACGACATCTATGGTATAATGCCTGTGCCAGACACGTACGCATATAAGTGAACACAAATGAACCGTTGGTCCAATCGACGTAGGGAGCAACATTTTAATTCGCAGCGAGTCTAGTCACGTGACTCGAGCTGCCTTCATTGTTCAAATACAATTTATATGCACACAAATATGTGGCATCGAAAACCCGCGCCAACACTTATGTGATCAAAATAAATACGTACCTGTATGGCGGCGGCGTAATAGTTATATATTTTTTAATTAATATTTATTTTGCTAATCTAACTACAGGTAACACCGACAAACCTCTATATAATTGGAATTCGAATTAAGTTTAATATAATAATGTCTAATTGAATAATAGTTAAAATTGATTACTTAATATTTTATTATAATTTAATAAATCCTAAATGTCTTAGTCAGGGAGCCAAGGTAGAGGCAATTATATGATGATCACCAACGTAGCCATGTAAGTAAAAATACCTTAATTAAAACCAGTGTAATATTTGATCCCAAAAACTCAAAAAGTATTTTTTTTGTTGTTTTTTATTTTTTTATTATTTTTTTTTACTTTTTTTGTACTTTCGGCCGTCTCCGCTCCGTCTTAATGTAACTGACAGCCTTAGTCATGTTTTTAATTACTCTAAAAGAAAACAAAATTAATATACAATTTTGTGATCTTTTTATATCTCTTTATAAACAATACAGCGTTCCTTGTGTGATCATCATAAAATTAAAGGGACATCTGAAAACTAGAAAAATGGGCTCAAATTTTTAAAAATTTTCAGATCTCCCTTTCTTTGGGCCAACAAACGATAAAAGCATCTTTATCTATGTCTCTTATATCTGAAACACAAAGGATAAAATAAAGTTAAATCTGCTATCACACGTGGCCGATAAAGAAATATAAAAAAATGTACTTTTTTATCTGGTACTTTGTTCGCAGGTGCTTGGAGTGTACCGTGTAATACGAGTACAACTCGTTTACTTTAAAATATAGAGCTTATGTAATTAATTATGTACTAAATATATAAAACAGCACCGCGCAAATATAATTCCAATTTAGGCATTGCAGTTTTAACGTTTTGTATGATAAACTTTTAAAAGTTTTCATTAAAGACGCTGGTTGGTAAAGAATTTATTAATAATGATGGAACTGTAAATTGATAAAAGAGTATTGGTCGTATCCAACCAAGTCGTGGGTTGCCACGTGCTGTTTTGCATATATTGCCATAATACCGGGAACTGAGTAAAATTTTTCTCTACCCTGTTTCCGTGACTATCTTAGATATTTCTAGTTGAACAACATTTACTAATTTAAAACACGTTAAATTTAAATACCTTTTCATTATAAATTATCAAACCGATTAATCCTTAATAACCAATCATTCCTATCTTTCTGCTTGTTACGTTGAGACTCAAAAGCCGGACTTTAGGGTTGTTATTCTCGGTGACGATATTTTTCAACGTCAATTAAATACACTGGCAAATGTTGATGTTTTTTTTTAAGGTTCATATAAATTATATTCATCAACTAAAAAAAAACAATAAGACAATGTCACATAAGTCAGAGACAATATGGAAAAGAAATTAATCCTACATTGATCTGACCGGGGATCGAAACTATGAACTCAAGGGTGGCGAAGTCACTCCGCTACGCCATAAGCTTGAGGCTAATTAATGTTGTAATAATGAAATGGACACATTAATAAGCTTTATGCTATGGTGCTGGGGCATAACTCTCCCTACGGCTGGAGTTAGCAAACTAGGTTATAATTTTTTTATTTAATTAATATATCATATTAAACGTTAGAAAGACGTTGAAAATTATCGTCAGCTGGTCGTACCAAATCTATTTTTTTTTCACCATTATTGATTTTTCTTTTATTGTATCAAAAATGTTTGATTATCTTTTATAAGTGACAATAGCATTAAAGATGTTAATTTCACTAATTCTTCTTTGCGTTATAAAAATATTATGCTTTTGTACAAACATCAGCACATCCGGCTATCGTGAATTGACAAATTTCCGCAAATTTTAATGATGGTATCATACGAAACAACAAAGTTTAAATTCAATTAGAGAAACTTGGCAGTTCTGTATAACTTGATGTGTTTTTGACTGTACCACGTACCACTATCCACAGCCTCGTTGGTATCAATTAGATTTTATTTATCACAAATTGGTTCGGTTCGTAGATGACATTTGTCAAAGTTTTCATTTAAACTTTCAATTTTCCATCAACATATTAGGGACCGCTGGACAGACATACTACAAATAACATTTAGATTAAAATTACATATAACTAACATGTACCCAGGGCTGTCTTAACCATATCGGTTGCACCGTGGTGCAACTAACCAGTCTCCGCCCTCCCCTTCCCCTTACAAAAAAAAATGTGTCTCTAAGGTTTCCATCGGATGGATGTCCCTAGAGACGGTTTTTATCATAAGATGTAATGTGATGCACATGTCGAGATCTGAAATATACTATTTTGTATTCAAGTCAGTCTCGGATTCGTTGTCGGCACAGCACGTTGTCTCGCACAACACTGTGACGAGATAGAGGTTCAACTAAATAACACCTACATTGATGACAATACTAATATTATTTAGACTGAACTTATGAGTACCTATATAGGTATAATCTTTAAACCTTTATTTATTTGAACCTCTAAACCTTTTAACTTCATTACGAAATAGCACTGATGTTCCACACAATACAATGATGTCAAAAAAGGAGCAGACCTCGACGAGTACATAAACTATTGTTTAGGTGGCAATATATAATAAAGTTTGGGCTATTTTGGATGAACGAGTTAGTGGTTTGGTAGTCTGGGCTATTGGGTGAGATGACGGACATCCGCCTATTCTGCATCTCACAACTCGAATAATTGGCGGACGGTGGCTCGCCACCCACAAGATGGCCCCCCTCTGTTAATCGGCCAACGGTCAGTTTTTAAATCGAGAAAAATACAAAATCTCAACTAATTGTTCTCAATAATTTAAGTTTTTTACTTTTCACATGGCAAAAAGTCATAGATTTATCAAACTACTGAACTGATCATGAAAAAATAAAATCAGAAACAAAAACCTGATCCGGTGATGTTTAAGATGGTTTAAATAAGGTTTGAAGCGTGCTCAACTTTAAATTCTCAATTCACAATGTCACGGGTGTATCTGCCGACGAGGGAGGCAACATCGTTATGGGCAACTAAGGGTGTAAGGTAAAAGAATGAGCATGCAACCACGCAGCGTCATTCCGATGTTATGACGTTTTACACTTCCACCCTTAATGCCGTAGCTCTAGCGACTCCACTCTGGACGGTCGGTGTACATAAGCCAGAGGTGGGAGTACTCAGGCCCCCTTGGGTTCCACCCCAGGTTTAGGGGACGAGGGCCTGGATTCACTTCCCGGGAGCAATCGGGTCCGTGGTGTCGCTACACACCAACAGCTCGCCACAAGCTGCCCTGCGGCCCATATATCATTGTTTATTCTGTACGCAGTAATAATATTATTCAGTTCTTGAGAATCTTGGTTATATTGTTTGAATATTTGGATTCTATAACCTTGGGGCAAATGTTTAATCACTTTAGGTGAAATACTCATTTTTTTTTTCTATTTTTAAAAACTTCTTTAAATAATATCTTCAATATATTACTACATCCTCTATTTTTTTTATTATGTTTTATCATCTTGCAGGTGATTATGATCAAAACTACTTATCTATTTCTTTTCATTTCAATACAATATTTCATGTTTACTTTAAACGTTATTTATAATCGTCCATAATAATTCGCAATGTTGAATTATTTCCAGGTGTCTAAATTTATTGTATTCTGGGATAATAGTTGTTCAAAAATATTTATTGATAGTAAAGAAACAGAAGTTAATTATACACGTTTGAGTTCTATTATTGGAATTATACAAAAAATACTGTTCAAGATTAATTTTCGACTTATCCCAACCTCTTACTCTGCGATAGAAGTGGTCGCTGTAGCGTCTTTTCAATTTTTAATTTTGTCGATTCTAACTGCTTTCCATATGTTTTTGCTATAAGGAAATTAATTATTGTGAAGATTCCACTCTGCCTTGTTCTGCTCGGTGGTAAATACTCACAATGAACAACATTACTCCAATCCATCATGCCTAAAAACTGTGAAGATAGACCGTGGGAAAAACCCGACTTTAACCATTAGACCTTTGTCGCGATTGATCTTTTGGTGAGAAATAGTTTGGTTTCACCATGTCTTAAAGAAATATGGCAAATTAGTACACGGTTCATTAGGTTTTTTGGGTGCTACACTAAATGTCAAGCTTCTTAGTTCCCGAGCGGGTGCAAAGTTCTCGTGGTCAGTAGTTCCGACGGTTATATCTTGAACAACGAAATATGATTTTTGCTGTGGTCATAAGACGTTGTACGTTCACTCATGTCTATAATTATTATTATTTATTGTTGTAAGGCGCTAGTTCCCTGAGGAACTGTAGTCACTGCGACTTTGAATATCTATTGTGACGCGCCGCCAGAGGTATAGCCCGGTAGACTTCAAAAAGTCTATAATAATCCTGGCTTTTCGAGATTTTATATCTTCTGGGCTGAATATATGTCGTCCCAGATGTATGCTTCGTTTGTGGAGCAGTGGTCCACATTCACACAGGAGATGTTTTGGTGTTTCTCATGTCTATAGTCTGATATTCAATCAAAACGTTTATTAATATTTTTGAATTATTACATTTTTACTACTAATCGATAGTAATAAAAATAACTTGAAACAGGTGACTTTATATTTAGGAGTTTATGTCCCTCAATTTATTGTATTCGATGAGTATGAGAATGTTTAATTTTTTAAACTGATTTAATTGGTTTGGCAACCCTCTGTTTATGTAGGTTAGGTTAAGGGTTATGACATTCGGACCTTCATGACGGCCCTAATACCTCCAGATCAAGACAGCCCTGCATGTACCTTTCTACTTAATAGACAAAATATTCCTTGTATACACGTAGCTTTTTTTATACAATTTTTTATCATCTAAGAATTGTTAAAATTTATACATCTACAACTTTGGAACGTTTATAAAATTTAAGAATTGGCTTAACTATTACATTTTGTAAATCTAAAAAGTAATGTGACGTTATTTCTATATTCAAAATGGTTGTTTATTTGATTTTTAGTACTTTCAATAACAGTGGCTTAACTTATTTCATTTTAATACCATCTGACGTGGACGCGCCGAAACGAACCCGTTTCAGTTTCTTTTTACAAAAATGTATCATTAAGAGATACAAAATCTGAATACTAAGCCAACGATAATAAATATTTATTTTTTTTAAATTGTCATCGTCAGCAGTGGTAGCGACCTTCGAGGTCACCTATGATTCTTCTTTCGCTTTCAAGAAATAAGTCAATAAATCGATTGGCAGCGGGAAAACGATGGTGGAATTCTTTTCAGCGGAGATGGTGTTGAGGGTCTGTGAGGGATTTCAGTAGTAATAATCAATAGCTGCTTTAATATTGCTGGTTCGGATCGTTCGATATTTTTGAAATCCAATACTATTATTAGTTATTCTATATGATGTTATTCTGTATAGCTTAAAATTCAATATAGATTTTCATAAAAAAAAAATAACAATTTAGATAGGATATCTTTGGTACCTAATTCTTACTATAATAAAATTAGATACATTCTTAACAGAATATCTTAAGTGCGTCCAACAGAACAATGACATCATCGAAGATCTCAAATTTTCAGGAAAACGTTTCAAAAGAAATATTCTTCTAAAAATTTAATTCCGTTAAGACAAACTCTATGATTTAATCTACATTCACTTCTTTATTGAAAATGTCATAGAATTTCTGATTTATTCCGTAGATACACAATAGGTATTAAAAATTATATCACTGTTCCATCGGAAACCTTTTTTCATGCTCTATAACTATGTTAAGCAAATCTTAAATTGCAAAACAAAAGTTACAAATCAAATCATGTACAGCAAGTGTTTGTGTCAAAATGTGCATTAGCTGATCGTTAGGTACAATGAAAACAGTGCACTAATATTTTTCATTTATCCTTTTAAACAGTGATGTGATAAAAAGTGTCTCTTATAAAAGAAGTATAAAACTCTACAAAAATAATAATGCTAAAACGTAATTGTAATTGGATGAGATCGCAATAGCAAACCATACGATTTTGCCGTACGAAGAGGTTAAATATATTTTCTTTAGAATATCCTAGTCTAAACTAATATTCATCGCAAGAGCACAATATCAAATGTTCATCGTACAATCTTGCTATTAAAGCGTATGGATTCTGTTTCGTGTACAAAATGTATATTTATCATTTCATCATTACAGTCCGTAACAGTCCACCGTAGGACTAAGAGCCTTCTCCACGTTAGTTTTCACTAAAACAACAAAACCCTTCGGTTTTGCCTTATTCTCCATCCTTGATAGGCGGGTTGGAGATCGCAGTATCAAAAATATGATTTAACAGCGAACGCTGCTGCCCATTCTCTGCTTAATATGTAATCCCTTTGTCGCCTTTTACGACACCCGCGGGAAGAGTAGGGGTGGTGACAATTGTATTCTATTCTGCCGTCACCACACGGCAAATTTTGTATAATAAATAATGTTGATCTACAAAAACCTATTTAGAATTCAACATTCAATAGTTCACTTTCCAGCAAAACCTAAGCATCTCTGTCGAAGACCTCGATAGTAATGGCGTCCCGTTCCATGGAAAACACGGAGGCATTGCGCGATGCGCCACTTGCGATATATGAGCACTTTAAATAAACCATCACACGATGGATTTGTATAGTTTGTTCGTACGACTCTCATCCAGTTATGACGTCGGCGTCGCCCAAATGTTCTAACCTGCAGGTAACGTAGTTGCAATGCAGCTGGGCTGTCTCCAATCACTTCAGATGCTTCGCGCAGCGCTCTCGAGGCTTTTTGTTCCCCTTCAGCTGCTATAACTTTGGCACGGGCTTCACGGGCGGCTTCAGCTTCAGCAGCCATGGCACGTTGCAGTTGAACAGGAAGACGAACGTCCTTGCTGAATAGCGGAATGAGAACAATTATATGAATAGTGTTTTATGAGTTTCTGAGGTATACACCTCAGGTTGTGAAAAATTGTAACTATAAAAACTGATCTTCAGAAATATTAAAGAATGTTTTCATATATTTAAACAGGATAATTGCAACTTTAATGGAGTCTATAAAAAAAGCTTAATACGCTTCCTATATAAAGTGCATTGTTGCATGTTAATTAAGCATCTTTTGATGTGGTATATATTAGACCACATAATTTGAAATTGCCTTTGGTTTGAATATGGTAAATACCCAAACAAAAGTTTGAAATCTTAGTTTTAAACAGACAAAAGTAGATTTAACAGTATTAGAATTCTGCAGAAGATAGCATTTATAATACGGACAAATATAGAATTGAATCATCATACGAAATGTTTTGCCTGTTGCAAAACAGCAAATTCATTATTTAGATTACCAATATGCAATCAAATGCTTAATTAGAAATCCGTAATAAGTTCTGTTGTCGAAAGATGTAGGCCGTTTAGGTACATAGTATTACAAGCTTACTATGACAATTTGCAAGCTTTAGTTAACCCTACACGAACTACATGAGCGATTAAATAAATTCAATGACAGGTATTCATTGTGTATTGGCGGTGGATATTTACTTACTCCTTAATGCCTTTTGAAACACGGAGAAACTTCTGATGCTAAATTTAAGTCACATTCAGATCTTTGACTTAAGTTAGTATTTAAGTCAAAGGTCTAAATATTTGAAATAAGTTCATCACTAGATCGACCGTTGGTAATCTTCCCAACTGCCTATTATCCCTATTCGATTCCATCTATCGAACTGGATAGATGGTGATGATAAAGACGATGAAAGAATACGTTCTGATTACTTACATTTCAACGCGCTCCACCTTGATGCCCCAAGCTTCCGTAGCCTCATCCAATGACAGTTGCATGTTTCCGGATATGGTTTCTCTCTCGCTGAGGATTTCATGCAGCGGTCTAGTACCCATCGTGTTCCTGAGGGTAGTCTGAGCCAGAAGTCGTGTGGAGTGGTGAGCGTTCTCAACGTTAGCAATGGAAATGGTAGCGTTATGTACTCGATAGTACACAACGGCGTCAACAGATACTGTCACGGAGTCTTTGGTTAGTACCTGAAAAAAATTTGAAATCACTGGATTTTTTTTTTATTTGGTCCACCTAAGATTTGAACTGACTTTTTAGAGATAGTTTAAAATTAGTTCCTAACAACTCTTAAACAATTATTTTTGATGATAACTTTGATAGAACGAAAGAAAACTCTAATTATGGATGTAATTTTAATTGTACCTGTAATAAATATTTTCTATGATATACTGATGTTTCATCAAGCACATCATGCAATGAACTCGTTAATGGATTATGTGAAATTGTAGTTACAATTGATCGATAACTGAATATGAATCGATTTAATGATATTGTGTTTTCAAAGTTCACGATCGTATCTGCCAAGGTTGGGGATTTATTAATGATTCATTGAAAATAGATAATTATAGATAGTTTTCCTTTTTATCAACTTCGTGGTCTTTACTTAAATTTAATAACTAAAATTGTCAAAGAATTCATTTAGTTAATCGTTTCTATAAACAATTTTTAGGTAGGTGCATTCAAATGGGAGTATATATTTTTATTTAGAAATCGACATTGTACGTACGTGAGCTGTCCTTAGTTTCTGAATATACTATTCGAGTTAAGTGATTGAATTGACAAGGAACCAAGTTTTAGTACAACATGAATACAAAAAGACAATTTCGTAAGTAAAACCTAACATTAAAGTGAACTTTGTAGAGTCAATAAAGTTGAAATCCATATTGGAATATTCATGCGATTGATACGTAATTGAAATCTAAGCAGTATTCTATATTTAAAATAACCCGGACCGACACTCTGAAAAAGCACTCGCGTCGTGTAGACAAAATGTATCCTTGTTTCGTAGTTTTATTAGCCCGGAATAAAGTTTGATTGTTCCGTCGTTTGGCATTCTGCTTTCAAAAAATCTGCCATCTGGAAAACTAATCTTCTACTTTCTAATCTCATAAAATGCCCTTTTAGTCCAAGTTCAGCATTCAAAAACTTCAGTGTAATCGTTTTCATTTTATTTTTCTCGTAATAACTTAATACTGTGGACTTACTTCTTTGAAATGAAAATAGTCAGTCAAAAATATAGTTATAAGGCAATTCAGGTTACTACTTTAATATTATTTTAGTATAGTATATCTTTGCACAATCGTATGAAATTCAATCAAAACTGTAAATGGCATAAAATATTGGTTGTAATTAAAGTTAATCATTATTCGTTTATCGATATTTCACACGGGAAGCGGACGTTTGACTTCGCACCTCTATTATTTAGCTTACTGCCGTTAGCTCAATTGTGTAGAATTAATCGATCCATATTGAATCACTAATGTTTCCGATGGTAATTTATATAGTGGACACCAGCCGATTCCAAGGCAATTCAAAGCATTTTATTCATGTCAACCTGCTTATTTCCTTTGATCTTGATTAACTTATAATATATGGTGTTTTAGATTTCAAGGTAGCTATTTACTTACTTTTAAAAAGGAACCTTTATGTAAAATTAATTTAGTCTTTTAATATTGGGATTTGAATTATTAAGTCTAATAATGTCGTAAGTAATAAAGATATCGTAACCTTACTTTAACAAATATATAAAAATACTTAATACGAGTTTACTACAATATATTCATAGTAAGGGTAGCTACAACTTTAGTAATATCAAATATACGTTTGTGATGTACTTGTTAGATTTGCCGAATTTTCCGAATCAATATTAGTTTGCAAAACGACTACAAATCCAAAGCCCGTCATGCTAATTAAAATAAATAAAATCACAATTGATAAAAGCGATCCACAATCGCCCAAGAATTACGGAATACAAGTACACATTACAATGAAGGTAAATGGACTCTACATTATAAATTCAATCGATATGGTGTTAGTATTTTTGTCCAGGCTTGTTGTAGCCAGTACCAAACTTGAATACAATTTTCGTATATTTGCACTAGCAGGGATTAACAACATTTTTCCATGATACAAACAAGTAAAAAAGAAAACTACTTTTAGAAGTTAGGTTAGCGAAAACAAACCCCGATACAGGTAGTAGGATCATAAAAAAAGATTATATCCTAGAATTAGAGAAGAATATACCAACTATGACAAATATTTTCCGGTGCAAACAAGTAAAATAAACCAGAGTAAGTAAGTTAAAGTCCAGGTAAGTAAATACGAGGATAAAAGAGTTTAAAAAAAGTTTTAAAACGATGCCACTTACCTCTTGAGGCGGTACGTCGTAGGTGCGAGTACGTAGATCAACACGGGCATATGTATCGATGCAGGGCAGGATAAAGAATATGCCTTAGAAAAAAAAAACACAAAATTGTAGGTATTAGGAGTGCGCCTAAACCAAAAATCACCGATAATGATGATGATGCCTTTCAACTCTTCATAAAGAAACAGAGTCTAGATAAACTGTAATGAAAAACGTGAAAGCATCATTAGGAGACAATGGTACTGATTTAAGACGAGAGTTCACACCATTTTATCAATAATAAAAATTACTAAGTTATCTCAAAAATATTCCAGTTAAAAATAATTACAATCATTGTAAAATTCGTGACTTTTATATCGAGAAAATTTTATGAACTTACGACTAGAGTAATGTTTTCATACGATGTTACTGTCGCATTTTTAATTACAGCTTATTTGGACTTTATTTCTTTAAAAAAGGCTTAAATTCCATCATCGTCTTCAGTGATTTTTGGTTTAGGCGCACTCCTTTACAATAAAATCTTTTATTCAGCTACAATACAATAGAACACACCCGCAGATTTGTGGGTAAGTCCATAGATATTTCCAAATCTGTAATTGGGACCAAAGCTCCAACCACCTTTTAGTTAACCACTCCCTCCCATAGTGGGAAAATTAACTATGTGATAATTCCTCTAATTTTAATTAAGAGTATATATCATAGACAATTAATAGTTTAAGTTAATCATATAAATTCAATTTGATTGAGTAACATAAACAGAAATGGTAGTGTTATTGTAATCCTCTTTGAACGACTTTGTTCATTATTAAGTCTTAAATTAATACTGTTCAGTAGGAAATTGTCGATCAATAATGACAGGTTCGTTTCACTACCATCAGTCACGCATGGTGTTATGTTTATATAGTTGTAAATATAATATTTGAAATGAGGTTAATGCACAAGGTACGTATGATTTTAAAAGCATTCGGTAACTATCAATTTTGTTGAAAACAATATACTCTGAATCCCAATTAAAGACTATATCAAATGTCGTTTTCATTAATATGCTTATTATTATAATATTCTAATGTAATGGATAGTATTTTTATTTAGTATATATTTTTTCAGACAGCATTAGTGAGAAAACGAGAGACAGAACTCAAAATTTAATTTTTCATCAGTTTAATGTATTTGTAGTTGGTGCATGGATTTTTATGATAGAATCATATATCAACAAAGGTTTATTCGTTACGTGTGGCCAGTGTGGATTAGTGTATGTTATTGATCGTATGGCAGCCAGGCAATAGGTTAACGTGTCTTTTGTAGGAGCTTGAGGTAGTGCATTTTCGGTTACCCATCGAGTTACTATTACTTTATTTAAAATCTCTGAAATAAAAAAATCTCTTTGCAGTTGGGAACTGCTCTGTGGAACATTTGTAATTTGAAAGCATCTGGAGCAATGATGAATTGGTAGTATGAGCGCTTAAAGGTACAAACATTGGCATGATTATAACTTAAATTCTTCAATTTGGAACCACAAAACACATTAAACTCTTCTACAATATTTATTTTTTAATAAAAAACTGTTACTTTTCTTTTAATTAACAAGGGAAAACGTGTTATTTATAAATATTTTTAGGATAAATCATACTAAATAAAAAAAGTTTAATTTTATGAGCCAAATTTTCCGAATCGCTGTTTCTTGCTTGCAGCATAAAATATTTATATTCTATTTTTATCTAAAAAAAAATCTATAATTTTTTAAAGAAAAACTGACAGTTTTCTATTAATTAATAAAGGAAAACGTGTCATTTATAAATATTTTTACGATAACCGACAGAAAATGGCCGGTAGGCCAATTTGAAAGATAAGCTGCGGATAATAAATTTGACAGCTCTACCGACGGATAGATTTTTAATTGAAACACCTTTTTGCGCCATTTTCATACATTTTGCCTACGAACGGTTATCAGTATCAGATCAATCCGTTAGTAGCACACCATCGGTAGCTTTACCTACCAATGGTATGTTATTGAAACACTTTTTTGCTACCATCGGTAGGAAATGCTACGGATGGTAGCAAAAACGGATAGTTTTTTGGTTATTGAAACCGGGGGCAAATCATGAAGTGTCGGCGTATCTCGATGTGCCCGGGCACATCACGATCAGGCCAATACAACGATCGGGCGACGACATATACAATGAGAGCGAAGCCGCTGACGAAAGGCTAGATGTTTGATAAACGATGACTTACTCTTTTATTATTTAAATATAGAGTTATATATAGAGGTTAAGTAGTTTAAGATAATAAATACATTAATTGTATATACATATTTTTAATCCTATCTTATAAAATTTATTAATTTTATATTGATAAGAAATAACTAATTACAACTGTGACTGCGACTGAGGATGCTCTTTGTGACACAGTAGCATTGCATGTTATCACACTTTTTGGTAGCCGTTTTGGGGTCCGTGGGTCAGAAGAAGGGTGACAGTTGAAAATCAGCGTCAGCCCTAGCTGACTTATGCTGAACTAGTCACCCTTTTTAGTGCAGTCATGAGACACTCAACTTTGTATTGTCCTTTTTTTTACTGTTAATTTATATGTAATGTGTCGTGTGTCTGTATTGAAATAAATAAATTGAATTTGAATTTGTAAGTGTTTCAACGATGTCGTCATTACCGAGAAAATCGCTCAATGCAATATTCAGAGCTATCTATTTCATTATTTTAATCGGTAGACCTTATGACACATAGAGTAGACTGCTGCACCTACTACTACTACTAGGTATATACACACAGTGCCATATGAATAGGACCCAGTGCATTTTCCTTTGCACTTTAAAATATAAATCAAAATAAATATCTAGGAATAAAAGATATTTAAATCTTAAGACATGCCACGTTTAACTATAAACAATTGAACACCAAAAACACTCAACGAGGTGCTCGTAACAATTCCTATAGTCAATGTGTCGCGCCACTTGAATATGACCATTAAATAAAACATAATATATATATTATTATTAAATTTTATTATTAATATATTTTATTGATTAATAATCAATGTCTTTTCCATTCTTTTGAATTAAATAAAAAATACGGGATGGCATTGAGTCGTATAGTTTTCTTATAAATGTAATTGGTAATTTGCTCCAACACTTAATTATACCTTCCTTGAGCTCGTGCTTGGTGTTATATTGTTTACTGTTCTTATAAACTGCACGTGATAGCCATCCTCACACATTTTCAATTATGTTCAGGTCGGGGGGAGAGTGATGGCCGATCGAGAATATTTATATTATTTTGTAGAAACCACTCGCGAACGTTACGTGCACTATGAATGCTAGCATTATCATTTTGAAAAATAAAACCCTCATTCCCTATTGTGCTGCTAAGCTTACATTTCTCATTCTGCAGATGTTTGAGGTAACTTTTAGAGCTTTGTCTACCTTCTATTACCACTAAACTAATCGGTCCATTATATGATCATTACTGACCTTGCATCTTTTCGCCGCCGTGATAAAATTATTTGATTTTTTCGTAAATCATGGAAATATTAAAAAAAGTTTAACTTAGACTGAAGACTTAAGAATACTCATTGGTATTCTTATTATGTTTGATCTATGGTATTTGATCTAGAGTGCAGTATCATATAATGGACCGATTAGTTTAGTGGTAATAGAAGGTAGATAAAGCTCTAAAAGTAACATCAAACATCTGCAGAATGAGAAATGTAAGCTTAGCAGCACAATAGGGAATGAGGGTTTTATTTTTCAAAATGATAATGCTAGCATTCATAGTGCACGTAACGTTCGCGAGTGGTTTCTACAAAATAATATAAATATTCTCGATCGGCCATCACTCTCCCCCCGACCTGAACATAATTGAAAATGTGTGAGGATGGCTGTCACGTGCAGTTTATAAGAACAGTAAACAATATAACACCAAGCACGAGCTCAAGGAAGGTATAATTAAGTGTTGGAGCAAATTACCAATTACATTTATAAGAAAACTATACGACTCAATGCCATCCCGTATTTTTTATTTAATTCAAAAGAATGGAAAAGGCATTGATTATTAATCAATAAAATATATTAATAATAAAATTTAATAATAATATATATATTATGTTTTATTTAATGGTCATATTCAAGTGGCGCGACACATTGACTATAGGAATAGTTGCGAGCGCCTCGTTGAGTGTTTTTGGTGTTCAATTGTTTATAGTTAAACGTGGCATGTCTTAAGATTTAAATACCTTTTATTTCTAGATATTTATTTTGATTCATATTTTAAAGAGCAAAGGAAAATGCACTGGTCCTATTCATGTGGCACGGTGTGTATATGTTTAATTATTTTGAAACGGTATTTCACGGGACTACGTAACATAACCTATTGAGCTTGTTACTGTGTTTAAAAATGTCAATGCATTCAACAAAGGAATGTACACAGAACTTCAGATTTCCGCAATCAATTTGAAAAAGTCGAGAAGAAGAGGGAGTATTAGAAATAAATGGAAAATATTATGGTTTTGTATAATCTGATACGATGTTGCTTGTATATACTATATGTATTTCGCAGCCCTTTAATTTGTAAAGTGGATTAATGATAGAAATCTTTGTATGAATAATAGATAAATTGATGCCACCGGACTTGGTGGCACATAATAAAACTCATCAAACAGGCAGACGGTTGAATGATAAGAACGTGTTATTTATATAGTACGATGAGGAGTGGGTAGTGGTTACTGCGTTAGGTCTGCAATATGATGGGTGATTAAAAATTTGTTGATTCAAGCTCCTCCTTGTTTCAGCCGTTTGTCCCGGCCGCATCTGCGTCTCAATATTTAACAAAAATGTATTAGCCCGCGTGGGCTATGGACCATTCTTTAATTATTAAGTCTAGTTTGATTACTAAGCACAATTTTTATTTTTTAAATAAAAATACAAAATAAGTTTACTGATTAAAGATTAAATTTAGAATTTTATCTCAAGGATTTCTTTAACTTTGTTCAATTTGTATTTTTATAACGTCTAACAAAGTTGCCGTTGTTTTGATTATTTTTGTAA